TCTGCCTCTTCCTATAGATCTGGACTTCAGGGTTTATCTTGCTCTGCCTGGGGCTCACTTGGCTCATCTCCCCTCCCCATGCAGTGCTGCTCAGTGGGGAGATTTTACAATGACAGTTTTATGTAAATTGTGGGTTTTTAAAGGCAGGAACCTGTGCTGGGGTGCTTGCCCCATGGCATCTGTCCTTCCTGCAGCCCCCATGGCTGCTGCCTGGTTTTGGTGGGCAGGGGGGCTTGGCCTGATGTTCTCAGATATGAGCTGTGTCCCTAAACAGGAGTACCAAGCTCTTAGGAGGTGGCTGGGAGTCTCCTGGTGGAGGGAGGGCAGGGAGGGTAGGAAGTCCAGGTGTCTCTGTGTTTTGCATCTGACACATTGGTGGTGTCAGGATCTGATGTGACCCTGCCTGTGGCATTCCTTCCCAACTCACGTGCACCCCATCCCTATCTAGTCTCAGCTGCAGAGGTATCTCACCAGGCTGAGAATTTGGGCTGGAGCGAGGAAGCCTCTCTCCTCCCCTGCAGTTCTGCTCTCGAAGGGCTGTGAAAAACTGGAGGGACCTGAGCTGCCATCTCTGCTTCCGGTGCTAGAGGCCAAGGCAGCTGCCTGTGCTGGGCTGTGCCTGCTGTTTCCTCTGACACACCTGTTCTTCAGCTCCTTGGCTTGCTCTCTAGCAGGGTTCAGGTTTTGTTCCCAGAGGTCAGATTCCTGTTGCAGATGTCTCTCTACCTTCTTGCACTCTTGCTGTCACACAGGCCTTGGGGTCTGCTGAGCTCCTGGCATGTCCCTGTTTCCAGAAGGGTCAGTCCCACTCTCAGCACCCCTGCTGCCTGACTCTTCTCTATTTATTTCTTGACTGTGAATAAATGAATTGATTGATTTTGCTAAAGACCATCTTGGCCTGTTCTTGCACTGCCCCCAGAGTGCAGCAGATGCACCCTGGGATAGGTTGCCCTAGGCTGTATCCCTGTACCCTGCCTTTGTGCTTTCACTGGAGGGGGCGGGTGCAGGGGTAAATCCCAGCTGGTTCAAGCAGGGCCTATGAGAAGTGCCTCCCCTGGAGCATTGACCTGCCCTAATGCAGAGGAGACCAGATGTGGCTGCAGGCAGCTGCCTCCATGGATCTGGGAATGAGAGGTGCCCCGCATCCCTCTGTATGGGGCAAGTCCTAGGAGACCATGGAAGACCAATGAGCCAGGTCTCCTGGGGCTGTCTGTCACCATGGCCAAGGCATTTCTCTGCTGTTGCTATTGTGGGTAGGTATCTACAAACAAACCTGACCGTTGCTGGATATGGTGCCCTGTCTGCAGTGCTGGAGCAAAATTTCCATTCTTTGAGCAGCAAGGCATAGGTGGCAGTCATCATCCTTGGCACCAGCACTGTCACCTGGGTGCTGTTTCTCCACAGCACATGCTTTTGCCAGGGTCTCCTCTTGCTTGGGATCCAGCCCCATCTGTTATTGCTGGCCCAAGCTCCATGGGATGTTTCAGCAATTTTATTTTCCCTGTGTTTGCTGTTGGATGAGGTGCTGTCAACTCCAATCCCTCCCTTTCCTGCCAATCTCAAAGTTTCTTTCCCATCCTGAAAGAGTGAGAAACCACAGAGCCCCAGGTTCTCTTTTGCCCCTTGTCCCAGCTAGCCACATCTTGGTGATGAGTGGGGAACATCTGCTTTTTTGGAAGCTCACAGATCTGAGCCCTATCAATCATTAACCATGTTCTGTTGATTCATGCAGGCAAGTGATGATAAAAGACATGGGGAGGGGCATGCTCCCAGCCCTGGATACCCCTAGATGCCATTGCCCCCCCCCACCCCCAACCTGCTGCCAGCACCCCTTGGACCAGCTGGGCACCTGGAGATGGGTGAGCACTGGAGTTTGTCACCCCAGCCCTGTGTCCATTTATACACTGTGGCAACAGGCTCTTGAGTCTTTTGGGATGGGCCCCTTCCTTGAGTACCCATGGGTGCCCAGGGGCTGCTCCAGCAGCAGGATCACCTCTGTGCTGGTTGTGGGAAAGGTGCTACCACAGAGATGGAGGAGCAGTGATTCAGGGAAAGATTCACTGTCCCCAGATGACCCCAGCACTGTGCCTGCATCATTGCTGAGACTGCCAGGCGCAGGGTGCAGTGACCCTAGCCTGTTCCCTGGGTGCACCTTGCAGGGATGATCTTCCTGCAGATCCCGCAGCTATGTGAGCCCCTTAGGCACAGCCTGGCATTCCATTGAGGACCACTAATCCTGGACATTAGCCCCAACCCACCCTCAGGTAGGGATCTTGCCTATGGAGCTGCTGCTAGCCCCTTTCTCTTCCCCAGGCCAGCTAGTGCATCCCTGTTCCCTTCTGCCTTGTTCGAGCTCCTTCCCCTGCCCCAAATCCCACACTGAGGCTTTGCTTTGTTTCCACAGGGTGCCCATTCACTATCCCTCCTGCTGCCCCTCCTAAGTGGGCATGAACACCTCACACCCCACATCCTGTAGGCTGGCACTGGGCAGAGGGGGGATGTGTCCCATGTGCCCTTGCAGTGCTGGGGTAAATCTAGGCTGGGCACAGTACAGGGACACCAGGATGGAGATCACCCAGCTGTGGAGAGAAGGTGCTCCCCAGGCACCTTGCCAGGACTGTAGCTGTATGCAAACTGTGATGGCCAGGATCCAGATGCCTTATGGGTGTCCTGCAGAGATGCTGGCAGCCCCCAGCTGGGGCTGTTTCTCTGCCCAGGGCCACTGAAATATTTGTGCAGAGCCATTACCTGAGAGGAGCAGTGCCTGAGAGGGGGCACCTGACAGATGGAGTTTGCAAGACTATGGAAGCCTCAGCACTCAGAATGGCTGACAGGGCCCGTGCAGTCCCCACTACCATCCCCAGGAATCACCATCAGCCTAGCACTACTCCTCTCCCTCCTCTTGCTTCTCTACAGCTCCCTCCAGGGGGGTCTTGGCATGAAGGGTAGGTGCCACGTGACTCAGGACATTCCTCCCTTCCCCATCTGCCCTTCTGGGTGTTCCAGGAGCCCCAGGGGGTGGGAGGCATGTGGCCCTGCAGATGGCCCATGCCTCTCTCCTCCTCCTTCTGGAGGATGGAAAGCAGCAGACCCCTGGGTGCCCACTGCTGGCACAGCACTGAGTGTGTCATCAGGGCCTGCAGTAACTGGGGACCCCTGCTCATCCCTTGCATCACCCCCTGCCTAGCCTTGTCTGCATGCCTGGGACTCCTAATGTCTCTCATCCCTACAAGTCCTGTGGCCTGCTCCATGTACCCTGATGTCCCCAGCCATGGGGCCTCACAAGTAACCCAACCCCACCAACCTTGGGAGTTCTCGACTCTAGGACCCCCACCTCTACACTATTCCTCACTGCCCACATTCCAGGGACCTCCTGTGCCCACCATTGTGGTGTCCTCCAGTTCCAGTGACACCAGCCTAGGCATCCCCCCAGCAGAGCCCAGCTGCCCAGCTTTGGCCCCCCCATCCAGCTGCCTCCAGCTCAGGGATGCTCTCCCTCTGGACACCATGGCACAGTGCTCTTGGCTGCTCTGCCCCACAGGGCTGGGGGTGTGCCCCACCACAGTATGAGTGCTGACAGCCACTAGCATGCCCAGGAATGTCCACTGTGCACTAGAATCCCCAGAGACCAAGGGACAGCATGCACTCACTGCTGGGACAGGACTCTCCAGCAGCCGTATGTCCTGTGGGCTGGGCCAGGGGGAGACTGTGCTGCTGAGCTCCCTGGGGCCATGCCGTGGCTGGGCTGCTCCAGATGCTCTGTACAGAAAATAAGCCTAATGCACCCTGCCACATTCAGCACCTTCTTGTCCCTGCCCAGCTGTGCAAAGGCAGATTACATGGATGACAGGGTCATGTGTGCCTCAGGGTGGCACATGGCACCTGCGGGGTCCTGTCTCTCGCCCAACAGCTGCAGAGTCCGATGCAGCACCCACTTGGCCCCCACCCACCCAAAGGGGTCCCCGGGATGAGGCGTGCTGTGGTCTTCAGGAGCCCACTGTGTGCCCAAACGCTGCTGGTGCACCTGTGTGGGTGTACATCTGTATGATGCACATGTGTCTGCCCGCACCTGTGCACGCAGGTGTATGCCTGTGTGTGCGCATGTGCATGATTGTGTATGTGCATGGGAAGCGTGGCTGTGTGCTTATGCATATGTGTGCTTATAGGTGAGGGTACCTGTGGGTATCCACAGGTTTGCACACCTGTGAATGTACATAGGTGCACGAGTGTGGGTGTATTTCTGTGTGCTAGGGACACACAGAAAAGCAAAGCACAGCTGTGTACACATGAGTGCATGTGGAGGTATGTGTGCACACAAGTCTGCCTGTGCATGTGTTCCACTGCAGGTAGGTGTGTGCACACCTGTACGTGTGCATGTGTGTGCATGTCCATGCTCCTACGTGCACGTGCACACCTATGGACGTCTCCATGCCTCTGTCCACATGCGTGTCTTTGTGTCTGCACCTAGCTTACGTGTGCGTGTCCATACAGACCCACACTGGTACGTGTACCTATCTGTGTGTCCGTCTGTGTGTCTGTACAGTCTCACACCAGTACGCGAACACATCCTGCGTCCCTGCGCCACACTACACACCAGTCCGAGTATCTGTTCCACACCGGCACAGGTATCTGTGCGTCCGCGCGTCCGTCCGTGTATCTGATTATCCGTGTGTCCGTCCGTGTGTCTGTCCTTGCAGCCGCGTATCCATACTCAGCGTTGCTCGGCCTTCGCCCGGCAGGGGGCGCCGAAGGCCCTCGCCGCCACGCCCGCGGGGCCTCCATGTCCTCCAGGTCCTGCCCACTCGGGACTGAGCGCCCCGTGGACCGAAGCCACCGCCGGCGAGAAGCGCCGGGCAGCGCGGGTGGGGCGGCCGCTCAGGGGCTGTAGCGGTGCTCGGGTAGCGCCGTCGGCGGCAGCGAGCAGGCGGTGCCGCGGGGCGGAACGGGGAGGGGTGGGGCGGGGCTTTGACAGGACCCGTGCCGTCCCGCCGGTGCCGGTTCCCATCCTGTTGCCGCCGTCATGAGGAGCCGGAGCAACTCGGGTGTACGTCTGGACGGCTACGGGCGCCTGGTGCAGCAGACTATCCTCCGCCACCAGGTGCGGACCCTGCCCGGGAATGAGGAGCAGACCCGGGGCCCCGGCGCGCTCCGCCGGCCGCTGGGCCAGGGAGTTCTGTGTGAACGGTGCGTCCCCTCCGCAGGACGCGGTGACGGGGCTGCTCCCCGCCAGCGCCGACCACCAGGACGCCTGGGTCCGGGACAACGTGTACAGCATCTTGGCGGTGTGGGGTCTTGGCCTAGCCTACCGCAAGAATGCCGACCGCGACGAGGACAAGGCCAAGGCCTACGAGCTGGAGCAGGTAGGAGGGAGCAGGAGCCGGGGGCGGGGCTGGTGTCACTCGGGGACAGCAGTCACCCCGGTCTGGTCGGCCACAGGTCACAGCTGGGTCAGGGGCAGTGCAGTGAGGACGAGGACGCGGCTCTACCCGGACACGGGAGGCAATGGGAATGGATGTCAGAGCCTGCTCTTCCCAGACCACACTGGAGCCCAACCAGAGGGTCTAGACCTCTGGCTCTGGGGTGATCCGGGGCCACAGACGTTTTCTCAAGGGCCGGGGAGCCATGTCCTGCAGCCATGCCCTCTGTCCTCCTGCACAGCATGGCAACCTGGCCTTGCTGGCAGACCAAGAAATCTTCCCTCTGCTGTCACCCAGGGGCTGTGAAAATGTGAGCAGGGGCTCTGATTACGGACACTGAGCCCCACAAAGGTCAGCAGCCAGCTGATCCTGAGTCAGGGCTTCTCCTGGAGATTAACAAACCTATTTTCCTTGTTCCTGCAGAGCGTGGTGAAGCTGATGCAGGGGCTGCTCCAGTGCATGATGAGACAGGTAGGGGCTGGGGATTACCTCTGAGTGTCACGTGGTCTTCTTAAAGCCCTGCTATACCACAGAGGCTATTGTCCTAGCTCCCCCAGCCCTCCCCAGCCTTCCTTGATGAGCAGAGGGAAGGCCTCCTTCCAGCAAGTCTTGAAATAAATTCTGAGTGAGCATCTGTCATGGGTGCGATTGAAGTTCCTGAGCTGTGGGCTGGCAGCCAGTGGAGCCTTTGCCAGCTGCTCCCTGTCATGAGGCCTGGCAGGATTCTACAGCTTCTCCTCCCTGAGGGCATTTGGGGTAACCCTTTTCTCTCTGCATGGTGCAGCTGTGGCAGTGGGCTGTCCACTGCTGCAGTCCTGTGCTGCAGCAGCATGTGAGCCTGAACTCGCTGCCTTTGTGCACAGTGGGGCTCAGCCCAGGGGTTTCGGAATTTCTACCCTGCCAGGCATGACTCCATGTGCTCCACTCATGGCATGGGGCAGCCCTTGGCTCAGGAGCTGTCAGATCTCTCTGTAGACAGGGTTCGATGAATGCCTGCATCTCTTTGCCCTTCTCAAGGTGGACAAGGTAGAGGCCTTCAAGTACAGTCAGAGCACCAGGGACTGCCTGCATGCCAAGTATAACACCCACACCTGTGCCACTGTGGTAGGAGACCACGAATGGGGTCACCTACAGATGGATGCTACCTCCCTCTACCTCCTCATGCTTGCACAAATGACGGCTTCAGGTAATGCTGGGGGCTCCCATTGCAGCTTTGAGCATGCTACTCTTCAGGTTCTTCAGAGTCTCAGTTTGGATGCAGCGTCCTGGGTGCCAAGCTGTTGCAATGGCTTCCGTGACTCCCACTGTTTCCTTATGCTCACAGTACCTGAGGCGGGTTTGGGCCCCCTGATGTTGGTCTCTCCAAAAGTCCGTTTGTCTGAAGCCCCAGTGCTGCTGTAAGGGGTGGGAGTGGAGATGGAGTCAGCTAAGACATAGCTCCCGTTGGGCAGGCATGCAGTGGGGAGGAATCGTCCCTGGGTTACTGCAGCCCCATTCTGAGTATGCTTGTGGGCTTGGAGCATAATGTGAATTCTTCCCTCTGCTTTAGGCCTCCACATAATTCACAGCTTGGATGAAGTCAACTTTATCCAGAACCTTGTGTTCTACATCGAAGCTGCCTACAAAACTGCGGTGGGTAGCATGTGCTGGGGAGGAGGGGTGTGCTCCAATGGTGGCAATACTGCACTGGTGTCTAGGAACAGCTGTGGGTTCCACCTGAGCCACACCTGCACCCTCTGGAAGCACCGTGGATGGGTGTGATTCAAAGACTTTCTGGGTGTGTTCTGAAACAGTGCCTGCTTCACAGGACTTTGGCATATGGGAGCGTGGGGACAAGACAAACCAGGGCATCACCGAGTTGAATGCCAGTTCTGTTGGCATGGCCAAGGTGAGCTGGGAAGCAATGCTGGCTGGTGGGATGAGGAGCACCAGTGGCCCTGAGCTGCTTTTTGACAGGGCAGGCTGGGCATGTTGAACTGCTGAGGCTCAATGCAGTGATAGGTTCCCCAGGAACCTATCTTCTTGTGCACTGGGATAAAACTGTGCCCTTCTAGCCTGGATTTTGCCTGAACTGGGAGTGAAAAGTTAATTGGGGGTGTGTTGCAGAAATGTTCCAGACCCTTTTGATGTCTGGAGATGTCCCATTTTGACCTGAGATGTTCTGCAGCCACAGCAGGGTTCAAATTCTTTTAAATTTGGGCAGTGCTTTACACAGAGGGACTAGCATGGAATGAGAGCTCTTACAGATGAGCAGCAAGGTGAAGGACATTTTGTGTCTCACCCTGCTTGCAGGCTGCCCTGGAGGCACTGGATGAGCTGGATCTCTTTGGAGCCAAGGGAGGCCCACAGTCAGTGATATGGGTGCTGTCAGATGAAGTGCAGCACTGCCAGGTGAGAACCCCTCAGCCATGACACTATTGCAAGAGGAACTGTGATCTACTGGGTTTGCAGTGTTAGCCTGACAGCCTAACCACCTTTCCTTCCCCTTTGCCCAGTCGATCCTCCACTCAATGCTGCCCAGGGCCTCCACATCCAAGGAGGTGGATGCCAGTGTGCTCTCTGTCATCTCCTACCCAGCATTTGCTGTGGAGGACAGCGAGCTGGTAGAAATCACCAAGCAGGAGATTATCACCAAGCTGCAGGTGAGCATCTCTGCCCTTGGCTTACTGTTCCCAGGAGACAGCTGCAGTCCAGACTGCTGTAGCCCTTTTTTCCTCAAAAACATGTTCTGTGGGAGGTTGCTGGGGCATGTCCTGTCCCAGTCTCCATGACCTGTGGCAGGGGTGTGCAAAGAAGCAGCCCTGTGTGCTGTGGCCCCAGGCTGTGATTGTGCTACCTGAGTGCTGGGTGAGTGAGGGAGGGGGTGTTTGGCTGAAGGAAACATCCTGCCCCTGCTTCTGCATTGAAAGTACAAGATATCTCACACTGTGCCTCCTGCTCAGCACATCTTTCCCTCCCTTCCAGGGCCGCTATGGCTGCTGCCGCTTCCTCCGGGATGGATACAGGACTCCCAAAGAGGTGAGGGTCCTCAGCCCTGCTGCCTGGCAGAACTTGACTGCCAAGCAGCAGCCTGCCTGGATGCCGCACAAAGGCTGTGTTAGGGAGCACTGGGAAGACAGGAGCCCTGAGTAGCCCCAGGCAGTGTCATGGGTCTGGGCAAGGCTCCCCAAAATGCCAGAGCTCATTGGAGAGGTGGTATGTCCCACCCACGCCCATAGCAGATGGCCAGAGACTGGTTTTGCCTGTATCCTGAGACCTGATGGTGTGTCTTTCTTAGGCTGGTAGAAGGTGGGACCAGTGCCCAGCATGGGAGCCTTGCTGAGGTGGGCTCTTCCAGGGCTGTATCAGCCCTGAGCAAGGTAGCTGTGGAGGTCACGAAGCTGCTTCTGTCTCTCCTAGACCAGCAGCCAGCTTGGGTACTGTCAGAATGGCCCTGGGAGCAAGTGGAGAGTTTGCTGCTTTGGGGAGAGAAAACAGGAAAATTTTATAAGCAGCAGTCTCATTTGTTAACTGCTGAACTAGGAAATGATATTTAAAGGCTCTTAAGTCATCACCAGCTGCTGGACCTGTAACCTTTGGTCTTGAGTACTTCTGAATGCTTCTCCTTTGCTGCATCTCTGCAGACCTGCCCATAATAGGCAGTATGTGTGGCTGCCTTTCCTCCAGAGCCAGAGGGAAGCAGCAGCATCTCCAATCCAGTGTTCCCAGTGCTTGTGAGCTTTGGCAGCATGCAGAGTTGTGGATTACTTACTTCTGGGGAGCTGTGAGGCATGGAAAGAGCAGCAGTGCCTGCAGAGGCATGCAGCTAGCTGGAGTCAGATGGGATTTTGGAAGCTTATGGCTGGAGTCCAGGTAGAAGATATCTGCTCTTTCTGCCCTCTCTGCCTGAATAGTCTGCCAAGGCAAACATTCTCCCTTCTCTGCAGCAGACAGAGCAGTTAGCAGGGAGGGTTGAGGAAAGGGCACTACACCACACAGAACTGTAGTGGGAAGGCTCTGTGCAGGCAGCTCTTCATCCTGACAACTTCCCTTGTGTTGGGCTCACAGTGGCACCACATGGCAGGAGGGCCATGAAGGAACCTCTCTGGCCCTGTGTGACCAGGCCAAGCCCTCTCACCTGGCTGGGCCAGCTTGATGGTGCTGGAGGAGACAGATGCTGAGAGGCTCAGGCAGAGCAGGCAAGGCAGAGGGGACCCAACATGGCACAGGGGATGTAGACCCCAGGAAGGGTAAGTCTCTCCATTATCAGTGCAGGGGGCTCAGGAGGGGGTAGTCCAATGGAGAAAACAGAGGCTGGAGGTGAAATTGCTTTTCAGTTCTTTCTTGGCCATCTGCAAATAAGGGCTGGGAGGACATTTGAGGCTATGGTCTCATGGGGAGGAGAAGCCCTGTCAGTTTGAGGGTATCCTGTTACATACCACCTGCCTTGATGTCACTTACAGGACCCCAAACGCCTCTACTATGAACCTGCTGAGCTGAAGCTGTTTGAGAACATTGAGTGTGAGTGGCCTCTCTTCTGGGCATACTTGATGATTGATGGGATTTTCAGTGGAAACATGGAGCAGGTAAGAGAGGTGAGACCTGCTGGGCTAGTGGAAAAAAGTCCCTGGCAGGAGAAGTGTGTGGAGGAAGGAAGCAGGTAGCTGGCAGCAGATTTCCTCTCCTCTCTTCTCAGGTGCAGGAGTACCGGGAAGCCCTTGAGGGGGTTCTTATCAAGGGGAAGAATGGGGTACGCCTGCTGCCAGAGCTCTACAGTGTCCCACCAGATAAGGTGAGTGAACCTGAGCTATGGTAGAAAGCAGGAGTGTCTTACAGAATCACAGGATATTCTGAGTTGGAAGGGACCCACAAGGATCATGAAAGTCCAGTGCTGAAACTCCTGGTCTCCTTATCAGATAATTAAGTTTTAAGTGCTTATTAACCCAAATTGTTAGTGAAGGGGCACATGTAGTGCATGGAAACCTCATGTATAAAAAGGATGGCTTGGAGCTGTTATGAAACTGTGATAAAAATTGGGGTTTTTCTCCCAAAGCATTTCTTGTTCCCACACACAAGAGTTCTTTGCTGACAGTCTGCTTGCTCAGAGACTCAGTGCTCCGAGAGCTCAGAACAAGCAGACCTGGGCTGAGTAGGTGGAGCTGAGCTCCAGTGCAGCGGTGAAGGAATTTGTGTGGGCCTGGGCTAAGAGCAGTAGCCTCCTGATGCTCAGGTTATCCAGGAGAGATGTGCTCCTCACCAGTATCAGAAAGCATCTCTGGGTGCTCCTGGGGCATGTCAGTTCTAGTGGGATGGCCTGAACTGAGAAACCAAACATGGTTTGAGCAGCTGCTCTGTTGTCTGACACAGATGCCTGGGGCAGTCATAGTAAGAGAGGAGGAATGTAACCTGGGTCTGTGACAAATGCTGTTGTCAGGCCTTGTTTTAAGCCTTGAACTGCTGGACTTCAAGATGCATTGAGGATGCTTCCTTCAGCATCCTGTGTCTATGGATCCCTTCTTGACCTCCTGACTTGTCTTCTAGGTGGATGAAGAATACAGGAATCCGCACACTGTGGATAGGATACCCATGGGCAAGCTGCCACACATGTGGGGACAGTCCCTCTACATCCTGGGTTGTCTGATGGCCGAGGTAGGGTCACCCTGGGTGCTGGGGAGGGCTGTGGGACTAGGCTCTGAGCTGTGAAGGTGCAAATGCTGCCACTCACCATGGGGAAGTTGTCACCTCCATCCCCCAGGACCTCTTAAAGGTGGGTTGTCCGTAGGCATCATCCATTCTACCCTACCTATAAAATGTTAGTCTCTTTATACCTTTTTTTCCACAGGGGTTTCTAGCTCCTGGTGAAATAGATCCCCTCAACCGCCGTTTCGCGACTGTCCCTAAACCTGATGTGGTGGTCCAAGGTGAGGGAAAGGAACCAGTCCCAAACCCCTGAGTCTGGCAGGTGGGGAGGACTCTGGCTGTGCAGAATTCAGAGGTGCCTCTGGGGTGACTCTGCTTGATGGGTTGCTGCCAATACAACCCAGTCTCAGTCCTGGCAGGGTGGGTGAAAGACGGGGTGCAAGTCCTTCCGTTTCATCCTGTGTTGACCCACAAAACTATCATCTGCTGCAGCCTCCTCTGCAGAGAGGTTGAAAATTGTCTTCCTGCCACTTGGTGAGGAAGACTTGTGTGTATAGAGTGTTAGGAGGAGCAAAGCAGACTTCTGCAGTGGGAACTGGTTCCCAAGGGACCCCAGACAGCTTCTTCTCTGTGGTGTGGTGCCTTGTATGTGTCCCCAAAGGCATGGGGCAGTGTTGTCACACACCCTTGTGCCTCTATTGCACTGAGACTGTCTTCCATCCACAGTGTGTATCCTGGCTGAAACAGAGGGGATCAAGGCAATCCTGCAGAAGGAAGGCATTAACGTGGAGACTGTGGCAGACGTCTACCCCATCAGAGTGCAGCCTGCTCGTATCCTCAGCCACATCTATGCCCGGCTGGGTGAGCTGGGCTCCCTGCTCCTGCAGCAAATGGGGTGCAGAAGGGTCTGTCTCACCCCTGGCACTCCTGCTCATAGACAGTCATGTCCTGCCCTCTGCTTGGCTGATGAGGATTCTGCTGCCCATTTCTAGGCCTGATAAGGCCACTGATGGCAAAGGGGAACAAAGTGGCAGACAGTGCTGTTCAGTGTGATTCTGACAGGAATAGAGCTTTGGCTTGCAGTTGCACAGTCACCCCAGGAAGAGACAAGAGACTGATAGATGTTGAACCTCATGTGGGCAGGAGTTGTCTTCTGTTCCTGTATTCAGATCTGGATGGGGGAGCCAGATCCCAGAAGCGTCCTCTGGCTGTCCCTGGCAAAGAGGGCCCAGAGCTCAGGCAGTATGGCTGTTGCTAGTGGGTGGGCAGGGCTGAGTGTGAAGGGAGGATGTGCTCACCTCTGCATGCTTGCTCCTTGATGCTGCAAACCCTCGGGCAGGGGGTTTGTTTTGCAGGAGCTAGAGATTTAGCCTGGGCCAAAGGAGACACCTGATCTGCTGTGATTTAATTTGGCAGCTAATTTAGGCCACCAAAAGGCCAAGCGTGATGGGCAGGGGGAGCAGCCTGGCAGCTGCCAGAGCTGACAAGCAAGGGGTAATGCTGTTGCTCCACCATCCTGGGCTTTGGGAGTCATCCAGGAGCAACTGGAATGCTGATAGAGCTATCAGCTTAGGGGGCCCAGCCCTATGCAGAGGGGCACCCCTAGCACTGCTCCTGCTTCTGACATGCCCAAAGACCAGAAACTGTGACACTGCAGAAGTCAGGACAGGCTGTGTATTGCTGTTTCATCATGTCTCTACCCCTCTGGGCAGGTGTGGGGACAGAATTACTGTCCCTTAGAACTGTACCGGCTTGACACACAGTTCTGGGATTTCCCAACTTCAAACCAGCATTTCCCTGCTGGCTGGTAGCAAGATGCCTGGCACTACTTGCTGCTGCAGCCCTTTCATGAGAAGGCTTGTACTAAAAACTCCTCTCCCTGCCTTCCCAGGCCGCAACAAGCAGATGTGCCTTACTGGACGGCCCTACCGGCATATGGGTGTCCTTGGGACTTCCAAGCTCTACAAAATCAGGAAGAGCATCTTTACCTTTACCCCACAGGTGAGTGACATTGCAGAGGCTCATTCCTAGCTATTCTGTGATATGAAACTGGGCAGGAAGTTTCTTCAATGGCTGGGTACTCATTCTAAGATACACACTCTAAGGTGTGACCCCAACGCTCTCTAAACAGCCTGGGGGTGTGGAGTAGTCCAACTCTGTGGCATGAGGCAGCACAGTTGGTGGTCCTGGCTGTGTGGATGTTGGGACAGCTTGAGCCTTTTAATGATCAGTATTGGATGAAAATCTCTGCTCACCCTGACGAGGACACCAGAAGGATGCTGATGGCAGGCCACGGACGTGTGTCCAGGGTACAAGCAGTAATCCCAACCTAGCACTATGGGGAGTGCATATTCACATGAAACAGGCACAACATGGACTCACTGTATGGGGCTGGATGCTGCTGCTGCTGAGCTATGGTGTTAGTTATGTCCCCATAGTTGTTAGTGGCCAGTAGCTGCCCTGGGGTATGAGGGTCCCTTGCTGGGCTGTACTAGCACCTGCCAAGTAAGGGATGAGCTGTTAGTGCAAAGGCACATGCCCTCTGGGTGCACAGCATGGCTAGCTTGACTGTGTGCCTGTGGGAAGACATAGGTGGCACCATAAGGACCTAGTGACTACATGTAGGGCTGATCATGTCTCTTGCTGTCCTCAAAGTTCATAGACCAGCAGCAGTTCTACCTGGCTCTTGACAACAAGATGATTGTGGAGATGCTGAGGACAGACCTCTCCTACCTGTGCAGCCGGTGGAGGATGACTGGGCGACCAACCATCACCTTTCCCATCTCCCACACCATGCTCGGTATAGATGCTCCAGCATGGCAAGGCATTTGCTTAGAGCAGCCCTGGGAAATAGCTCTGCAGGAGGAAGGGGGTGGGCAAATGTGTGACCATCTCAATAACAGGGACATGGTGAGGCTGGAGCAGCCAGTAGTGTCCTGTGCAGAGCTTACTGCTCAGAGGAGCCATGTTGAGTGGGCAGCTGGCCTGGCAGCTAACAGGGTTGTCTGTCAGGCACTAGTACCTGCAGCTCAAGGGCTGTTTGCTGGCACAGACGTATTCAGGCTCCAGGCAAATAGGCTTGTGGGAAGGCCTTTTGGGAGCAAGACCAAAAACACAATTTCTCTGTAGAAGTGTTCTTGGTGCTCTTTCTGTGTCTTGACTCTTCCCTAAGACTGAGCACCTGCTAAAGGCTTTCCTAATCAACAGAGAGGAGAAAACAGTAAACCGGAAGGAGTAAAGGCACAGAGTAGAACTGGCTTGCCTACAGCAGCTCACAGGTTTCCTATGAGCCTGGTGTAGGAAAGTGACTTTGTTCTGCTTTAAGGCCTTTCTGTCTCTCCTTGTGTATTTAAAATCCCCTTAATTTCTCGAGTGTGCCTTTTGCTGTGGTGTCTCCTGACCTCGACAGCAGCTCACTCCTCTGCTTCTTTATGTGAAAGGCAGAGACAGAGCAGAGGGCTGTTAGGGGCTGCTGTCTAGTACTGTCTGCTTCAGCCAAAGGTGAAATCCGTGGAGCCTGGAGTGCATCCTGGCATGGTTTTCCTTGAATCCAGCCTGGACAGTCCAGAATTTCCCTTTTTGGGTGGTGCTTTTGGTACCACAGCCTGACCACATACCCCAGAGTAAGGGTCTGGCCATGGTGCTTTGGGTGTCTGAATGCTCACCTAGTCCTGGGTTACATTCTGGGGGTGAGTTTGAGTGTGAGGGCCTGACTGCCTGTGCATCTTCCACACAGATGAAACCAGCAGCAGTGTGCATCCCACGGTGCTGGCAATGCTGCAGAAGCTGCAGGATGGGTATTTTGGTGGTGCAAGGTGAGTGCGGCTTCCTGCAGTGCAGGAGGGAGAGGGCTCATGGCCTCCAAGAGCCTGGTTATGAGGATACCTGCTGGGCAGAGTATAGGGTGTGGGGGAGCAAGCTGGGGAAGATACACTGGGGTGTGCTAGGCTATCAGCGTCCCCTAGGGCTACAATCCCAACAGAGGAGATGAAAGAGAGGACATGGCCCTTCATGTCATCAAATCCATGGCTACAGGATTTCCCTAATAGCTTTTGGGCAGCCCTTCCATGCCCACCCACAGCTGAAAGATTTGCAGGCAGCTAAAGTAGACACCAGTGTGTGAATGCTCCTGGTGAACATGTCTCTCCCCATCAAAGGGCGGGAGCCAGGAGGTAAAGCCAAGGGTATCACCTCCCCTTTCCTCTCCATGTGACCTTCCTATCTCTTGCCCAGAATTCAGACTGGTAAATTGTCGGAGTTCCTGACAACATCATGCCGAACACACCTCAGCTTTATGGACCCTGGGCCAGAGGGTAAGGTCTTTGCCATGAGTTACAGGCTCAGCAGTGACAGCTTTGAGAAGCTAGACACCTAGGAGTGGCTGTATGGCTTGCAGGTAGCAGAGGATGGTAAACAAGAACAGGCCAGTCACTACTGTGGGGTGGCAAATGCCTAACTCACCCTTACAACCATAACACCCAACCTCCCTGCCAGCATACACCGCTGTGTTCTTCATGTGCTTGGGTTTTCACCATGTTCCCATCTGGCTCTCTGTCAACCTTGTCTGGAATGAGCAGCTCTGACCTTCATAAGCTGCTATGTGGAGAAGAGATAAAGGATTGGCAGCCTGCCTCAGCTTGGGAGATGTGGCTGAGGGTCTTTGATGCATAAATGGCAATGCAGAAGGTGATAGCACAGTGACAAAGGTGGTGGGGAAGAGCCACCTAATTAATTTGTTTTTTTTCCCAAACCCTTTGCCCCTCCCCTGGGCAGAGCTACTCCCGTGAGTGCCAAATTGAAGCCTTACTGCTGTATAGAGAGTACCTGAGAATGCTTTGGTCTGTCACAGCATAAGGGACCCCCCCCCCCGCCCAGTTGTGCTGGGACCATGGCAGGGTGCAAGTTTTGCTGTTCCCCTTGCAAGCAGGCCTGAGGACATCTCCTGTGTGACCTAGCACTGGTCATCATCAGCCTTCCCACTGCAGCTCCTGCAGCCAGTGAACGCACTGCTGGGACTCTGAATGCTCATTTTTCTTGCCCTTCTCTCACTTCATCTGCAGCCTCCTTACAGGCTGCATCAGGGTTTGTCCAAGGTGTCTGCTTTGCCTCCCAGCTCCAGTGAGAGGATCTGCCTGGTCTTTTAACAGCATCTCAAAGATGCTAAATTTTAGATTTCCTGTGGACAGATGCTGCAGCCAGGTGAATGTTCTCAAGGGTGGTGCTTAGACGATTTTTCCAGCCTAGCCTTCAGGCACTGTCACGAGGCACACTGTTGAGGGGTGGAAAGGAGATGCCATGCTGCTTCAGGTGCAGTCAGCAGCTTGTCTCCTGGGCCCAACACATCTCTAAGTTTGCCAGTTGGAGAGCAGCATAACTTTGCCCTGGCCCATTGGTAGTGCATTGACATCTGTGTTTTATCTGGGGCAGTTCCCCCCCAGGGGCATCCCCTCACTTTTATCTCCTGACTGAGCAGAGACCTGGCCTCTGAGCACCGTCTTCCATGCTGCTGTTAGTGCATGGCTCCTCTCATGATCCTGATGTGGTGTTGGGGGCTGCTTGAAGCTGGGCAAAGAGCAAAGCAGGAACCATAACTTTTCCTGTAACTCCAACTTACAAATAACTGTTGCAAAACCCACCTTGCCTTGCTCCCTTGCTGGAGTCCTGCTTGGAAGATGCCCTTGCTGTGCTTGGGTGCTTGTAAGTGGTCTCTGCTTGGACAAGCTGCCTCTGGCTGTACCTCCCCACTTCTTCCCTGGAGAGAAGGAGTGTGAGGGTTTTCCTGCAGGGTTTGAGTGGGACGTTCCTGTCCTTGCACAGGCTTGGATCAGAGACATGCTGCAGCAACATGCTGTTGCTTCCTTTGTCAACATGGGACATGGAGAGAGCCCCAGTTTAGGGCAGGCAGTGTCCTAGGCAGGAGTCATGCAGGAACAGGGGTGCTTTGTGTGCCTGGCTGCTGGCACTGTCCATTAGTCTACCTGACTGCCAGCACTGGCCCTACATTGTCACTTTGTGCAGCCAGCAAAGCTTTCTCCCTGCTGAGGCACAGGTGGAGCTCTCTGGGCCTTTGGTGCTATGACTCAAAGTGGCTTCTGCTCTGCTCTGCTCTTTCCCTTCCAGAGGACACTGACGATGAGGTTGCTCAGTATCTGGATCACCTGCTGCAGCGCACGACTCCGCAGTCAAACCTGCCTCCGACCACCCAGCGGGGAGGGCTGAGCCGCTTCAGGGCTGCTGTCCAGACCACCCGTGACCTCATGTCCCTGGCATCCAAGGCCAAGGACCTGCATGTCCAGAGTGAGTAACTCCAACACCCTCCATATCTTCCCTTGAGCCCAGGGGTGAGGTTGAAGTGCTTTGGGAGCTTTCACAGCTGTATGATGCTAGGGTTACCATGGGTTGCAGAGAAACTAAGCCTTTACCTGGGCAAAGGCACTTTATGTCCATCATGTTAGTCCTGGCCATGGAGTGTCTTGGAGTTGGTGCCTGGGCAGCCCCATGAAAACTCAATAAAGGATGGCAGCTCCCTGTGGTGTTCCTCTGAATGGGTAGACAGGGCCTCCTTCTCCCTTAGCCAACTTCTCTGCAAGGACTGGTTGGGGAGCAGTGTCAGTGTCTGAGGTAGTTTGGGGCACAGTAGTGGTGACTGGGGCTAGATGTGTCTCTGCCAACCTGTGGGGTTTTTTTTAGATGTTGGGATGTATGTCCCCAGCGGGATCTTCCAGGCATCGCAGCAGTCAGTTAAGCTTCTGAGTTCACTCCACCAGCATGACTTGGATGGCAAGGTGAGTTCTGTCTCTCCCAGACTGAGCTATCCTTTCAGCTATAGCCAGAGTGTCCTTGCAGGATTGCAAAGGGAAGTCCTGTTGTTTGATGAGGGAGAATATGCATGGGTCCATTTGGTGCAGGGTGCTGGTGATGCTAATCATCAGCACAGGTCTCCCTTCCTCCAGAGCCACGCACTCTATGCAGAGATGAACTTGCCACGTGATGAGGATGGCAACGTGGACTGCAAGGCACTGGTGGACCAGCTGCGCATCTGCCCCACGCTGCAGGAACAAGCAGACATCCTTTACATGCTCCACATCCTCAAGTAGGATGATCTTTGTGTCCTGAGGGCTCACTGTGCATAGAGGGGTTTGGTACAGCCCAGGGGGCCTGCCAGGGAGCTGCGATAGACAAATTGCTGGACATAAAACGCAGCACCTCCTTCATCTTCATAGGGGACCCGAGTGGCACACAGGGCTTGATAGTGAGCCTGGCCCCACCATCAAGGAGCTGCTCACTGAGTTGTATGTGCGTGTGGGGGAGACACGCCAGTGGGCCCTGATTCGCTACATCTCTGGTATCCTCAAGAAGAAAGTTGAAGCTCTGGATGAGGTAACAGCTGTACAGCCAGCCTCTGAGGTAACAGCTGTACAGCCAGGCTGAGGTCTGTCAGGGAGGAGGCAGCAGAGTGAGCAGGAGAACCATGGCTGCATCAGCTCTGTCTCCCTCTGCCTGTGCTGAGCCCCCAAACCCTCAGCTGTTGACAGCAGCTGCCTTTCTGTCCCCAGGCCTGTACTGACCTCCTGTCTCACCAGAAACACTTGACAGTGGGGCTGCCCCCAGAGCCACGTGAGAAGACAATCTCCACGTGAGTGTGGCACCTCTCTCTCCCCAAGCATGCTGGGCTGGGTCTGGATGTGAGCCTGCTGCTCTGGGGTCCATGGGCAGGAGTGGCCCTGGGTGGCTGTCCCCAGCCTATATCTCTCCTCTTGGGGCTGTACTGGGGGTATGCAGGGTTTGCTCTGCTGCCTCTCACTTGCTCTGCTGTTTGTCCACACCCCAGCCCGATCCCCTATGAGGAACTTGTTCACCTTATTGATGAAGCCAGTGAGAAGAACCTCAGTGTGTCTATCCTCACCCAGGTGAGGGGCTGGGACGTCAGGGGAGCCTAAAGCTGGGTATCTGCCCCGGTGAGCAGCAGTGAGGTGATCTGCCTTTGTCCCTCTAGGAGATCATGGTATACTTAGCCATGTACATACGCACACAGCCTGCACTGTTTGCTGAGATGTTCCGCATCCGCATTGGGCTCATCATCCAGGTGATGGCAACAGAGCTGGCACACTCCCTGCGTTGTTCAGGTACATGTGGCAGAGACAACACCCTTGCTGGGGTAGGTGCTGTGATGCTTGGGGCTCTGTCAGCCACAAAGGAGTACTGTTAAAAGTGGGCAGCTCAGGCTAGGACAAGACCCTGCATAGAAGTGCCAGTGTCTGCAGCTGGACATGTTCTTGAGCAGTACAAACAAGTGATTGCACTGCAGTCTCCATCCCAGCATGTGCTGGGCTTGCCATGGGAAGAGTCCATGTTATGGGCAACACCTGGAGCCTAGTGTATGTCCTTGCCAGATGACCTCCTGTACCAGTGCTCCCCCTGGTCACAGAATGGCATGCAGGGTAGAAATGTCCTAGGAGGACTGTGAGGTAGGCTACAAAATCACAGTTCTCTTCTTTCCAGCTGGAGAAGCCACGGAGAACCTGATGAATCTCAGCCCATCAGACATGAAGAGTCTCCTCTACCACATCCTTTCTGGCAAGGAGTTTGGGGTGGAAAGGAGCGGTGAGTTGCAGCAGAGAGCATCTCGGGGCAAAGCTGAGTGCACAGCATGGCCAGATCTACATGTTCCTACCTTTGAGTGCTGTCCCTGTTCTCCCCCATGTTCAGCACAGATGCTTCAGCACTGGAGGGGTCCAACAGGAAGTTCTGCTCTTCATAAGGATGGGGCTGAGTGACTTCTGGGATCAAGCCCGAATCTCATGGCTATTTGAGCTTTGCTTAGTTTGACACTTGATCTGGTTGGGTCTAAATTGAAGCAGTTCTGTACTGCGCTCATGGATCTGTGATGCTGTCATGTTAGAGGGCAAGGTCATGCAGAGGTCCCAGTGCCCAGGCAGCGATGTGGGATGAGGGATGGCCATGCCTTGAGCAATGTGGCCCACTATAGACCTCTCTTCCCCACCAGTGCGTTCAGTGGACTCGTCGCTCACCACTGCTGTCTCCATCTGTGACATGGGAGCTGTCGGGACCACCAGGCCTGAGCGCACTGGCCTTGTCAGGCTGAAAAGTGAAATCAAGCAGGTGAGGGCAGGTGGTGCAGGCCACTCATGACAGGTCTTGTGGGTGAAAACCAGCTACAAACCAGACAGAACTGATGGAAGAGTGGGAGACACAGATGCTTCCAGGAGCTAATTTTGTCTCCAGTTCTGTCCTGAGAGGAAAGTTGGGGTGAATCTGGTAGTGGGTAGGGGTTGCTCTGGCAATTCAGTGGGAGCACAGGGGTGCTTGAGAAGGTGCAGGGGTGAGGAGGACCATGTGGTGTCCCAGGTGTGGCCAGCATCTTGGTGGGCATCTTCCAACAGCAGAACCTTCATTTTGTTCTTCTCTTGCAGCAATTGGATAAACGTAGGCAGTCTCTGCCTGGGAGTAAGGTGAAGCCTCCCTGGTCCTGCAGCCTCAGCTTTTGCCCCTCATGCCATGCACCAGGGCAGCTTCCCTGCATGCACAAGTCAATGAGCTTCCCTCAGCTACTGCAACAATGAGTTGGCTTCTCCTCTAAGCAACTGCCATTATAGCCAGCTGGGAGCTGTGCTCAAATACATTCCATTATACCCACAAAATCTGCTGAGCAGGATGGCTTGATGCTGCCAGTGCCCTGACCAGTAGTGACTCTGCTGGACAGTTCACTGGATCCTGCCTGCAGGTTCCCCAGCTATTTCTTCTCTGGGGAAGGACACCTGTGGTCATCTACAAATGCCAAGGACCTCCTCTTGTGCCTATGTCCAGGAGGAGTCCTGAGCTCTAGAACACGTTTTGTCATTAAAGAGACAGGGGACAGAACTTGCTGGGGCCAGGCTGATGCAGCAGAGTTAGGACCAACTTGCTGCAGTGTGAAACCTGACATCACAGAGGGTTGTCTGTGGGCAGTGACCTTCCTACTGGTCCTTCTGTCTGCTCAAGACTAAATCCCTGCCCATACCAGCAAGCCAGCAGAGCAGTAGCAGTCCTATTCCTGTGTGCAGGCCAGTGCAAACCCACTGCTGCTGCGGCTCTGGCATGTGCAGCCCTCTGCAGCTTTCCTTTCAAAACTCCCTCTGTCTCCAGCCAGCCCTGGCCCTGGGATAACTGCCCTGGCACCTGACTTTGACCTGTGCTGCTGCTACTCTGTTTGCTGTGACTGCTGCCCTGCTCTGGCATGGTCTCATTTCCATCTCTCCCTTTCTCCTTCAGCCCCTCAGTTTGCAGTCCGGAGACACCGCCCTCAGGTCCTCTCTGGTAACCTATGTTTGTTGGCTGCACACATAGGGTCTGTCTTGTTTGTGGTTGCAGGAAGGAGCTGTGCTCTGGGGGATGCTACAGGGAGCTGGGGCTGTAAGGTGGGCTTTGCTGGGGGCAGGGGGTAGCAGCTCTGTCTTGGGAATGAGGCTGGAGAACCTCAAACAACAAACTCTTGAGCAGCAGTAGGCTGCGTTCCTGTGGGATATTTAACTTTGCAGCAGTCTCTGTGGTTCTTGTTTTGTCTGCCCAGTCTGCTGGGCACACAGAGCTGCTGGGCAAGGACTCCTTTTCAAGGATGCTAGAAGACCAGGGCACTACGGACAGCCGTCAGGGCCAGTGGCAGCGGAGGCGCCGGCTGGATGGGGCCCTTAACCGTGTCCCTGTGGGCTTCTACCAGAAGGTCTGGAAGGTCCTGCAGAAGGTGAGTTAGACTGGTGCCTCTCCATGCATGTGAGCCTCCGGTCCCAGGCACCAGCCTTGCCAAGGGGACTTAGGCACTCAGGGCTGGTCCCTGATGCTATGTAGATATATGCTTCAGAGACAAGGCCTGCAGCTGACCTTGGAAAGCTGTAGAAGATGTGCACTTGCCTTATAGTCTTGTAGGATGTGCCTCAGCCTGTACCTTGCAGAGGGGAACTGCTCAGGTGCTTCATGCATCAAGCAGACAAATGCATGGCTAGAGCCACAGCTGAAGGTGCTCTGGGCACAGCCAATCCTCAGCATGGTGAGCCAGGGAGCAGAGCCCGATGCAGGGGGCTCTGACTGACGCTGAACTGATGGGAAAGGAGTGATGCTATATGGAGTCAGGAGGCGGAGCTGGGGTGTATGGGCAGCATGCACCAGTGCTCAACTGGGAGCAAGTTCGTGGGCTGGACCTATGTACCTTAGCATGATGCTTCTCCAAGCCATAACCATGATCTCTCTTTCTTGTTCTGCAGTGCCATGGTCTCTCTGTGGAGGGCTTTGTTCTTCCCTCCTCAACAACCAGAGAGGTAGGAAGTTCATGTGAAGGGGGGATGGGGCACATGGGTTGTTGTGTGCTGGTTACCCTGGGTGATTGCCCAGCATAGCTCAGGAATTCAGCAGGTGATACAGTGCTTTAGGTACACTTCTTTCTACCTCCTCACAGATGACCCCAGGGGAAATGAAGTTTGCTGTGCATGTGGAATCTGTCCTCAACCGTGTGCCCCAGCCAGAGTACAGGCAGCTGCTGGTGGAAGCTATCTTAGTGCTCACCATGCTGGTGGACATGGAGGTGCACACCATTGGTGGCATCATAGCTGTGGAAAAGATCTTGCACATAGCAAATGACCTCTTCTATGAGGAGCAGGTAGGGGCCAGGCCTCACCCAGGGCTGCTGGCTACATTCCCCATACCTGTGCAGGGCTCACCCACTTGGAGAGCCCTGCCTGTTTTACCTGTTGTATTCATGGGGCACAGCAAAGCAATAGTGTCTTCCTCCCACTCCTCATCATCAATGTGTCACACTGAGTGCAAAAGAAAATACTTGGGATGGAAGCTGATAATGGGATTGCCCTTTGTCCTAATGATGTCTCTCTTCTTCTCTGTCCAAAATCCAGAAAGCCCTGGGTGCTGATGAGCACATGCTGGAGAGGGATCCTTCGACAGGCATCTGCAGCCTGCTGTATGACAGTGCACCAAGCGGCCGGTTTGGCACCATGACGTATCTGTCCAAGTCGGTGGCCTTGTATGTGTACGACTTTCTGCCCACAGATGGCTGCTCCATGCAGTAGCTCTTGCAGTTCCTCACTGGGTTGCGGGTGCTCTGGGATGGTTGTTTCATACAGCTTCTAAAGATGAACGCTAGGTTAGTTTGCAAGGCAGTCTGTGTGGCCATCTCTCCTCCCAGCCCTGGCCTCTTGGTGAGTGAGCAGCCCTCTGAGGAACTCCACAGGAGGCATGTGTCCTAAACTGACCCGTGCCTGTGTGGTCTGCAGAGCAAGGGAAGGGCTGAGCTTTGAAGCGTGCTTGTGTTAGAAGGTTCTGTCTGCATGACTCCTCCTGATTCATCATCTCCTCCTGATTCATCATGGAAAGACCTCTGTTTGAGGGAGTTGGAAAGGGGTTCCCCTGACCAGACCATTGTGCTCAGCATTACAATGCTCTCTGACCAGCTCGAACTCTCCCTGCCTCTAACAGGTTTGCAGTTTTTAACCTCTTCTGTGCTGCTTATTATTCCAAATCTGCAGGATTTATGCTAGTGCAGGCTGAAGCTCTTGCTCTTCCTGCTGCTGATGGAAAAGTTTTGCTAGAGAATAGGGGATGGTGCCTGAGCCTTTCTCCCAGCACATCCAAAATCAATATGGTCCAGCCCAGCCACAGCTGTGCTGCCTGGAAGCAGGCAGCCCATCATCCCCCACTGGGTGTCCTGTGTGGAGAGCTGGGGAGGTTATGGTAGCCAGGATCCCTTTTACCTCCAAGCTGCTAGTACAGGGCTTCTCGCTGGCTGGGACATGCCAGTGGCAGCCCCTGTGTTCCATCTACTCTATCCCTGGCAGTGGTTCAAGTGGCCAAGTGACAGGTTCCTGAGTTCTCATGCCCTGTGAAGCAGCTCTGAGCTGGCTATTCGGTGTTACCTGTGCAATCAAAACCATGCTTTTAATGCTCATCTCTGGCTTCCACTCCATCTTCCACAGCCTGGCAGAGAGGAGGATGGGGACATAGCAGATCCCTGCTCTAATCTACCATGCAGGTCAGCCCCGACTCAGGATGGTGCAGTTGGACTAATGAGGATTAGGCACACATGCCACAAAGCGGTTTTAGGAAGTGGGGTTCCCTTTTGGCTCCCTAGTTCACCTCCCTAAGACTTCAGGTGTGCTCCAGTACACTCAGCATGTTGAGCAACAGGCCAAGAACCCTCACTTGCACGCCCTGACCTTGCAATGTCCCACAGCTTGTCACAGGCCAGCCTGATATCATCTATGTCCCCCTCCAAGACTGGTTTACAGCTGTCTGTGAGCAAAGCTCTGAGCAAAGATCCTCTTTCCCTTTGGGAAAAGTTGATCCCATCTAACCGCAGCATGCCTTGTTAAAAAAAGTATTAAAAAACTTGAAATTGTGGCAGTGACATCGGCCACCAAGCCATATATTCAGCAGACTGAATCCATCTCTTTCAATGTCACTGACCACAACTGGAAGGACAGAGGAAAGAAACTGTGTTCCAGAATCTCTTACCAACCATCCCCAGGCTCTGAAGTCTCCTTTGATTGCCCTTGGACTGTGTGTTGCAGTTTCATTGCCACCCACATGGAAGAGCAGCAGTGGATAACAGTCTGAAGCTGAACCTGGCTGGGAAGTGTCCTACTGCTGTGCTTAACTTGGGCCCCAGGAAGGCAGCAGACTTCCCTAAGAGGACTGTCTGTGTGGCACATTGGACCCTCAGAAAGGAGTCACCTACAACTGTAACCCATCTTTCTTTAGAGGTGGACATGGTCTGGGAGTGTCACAGCCATGGCAACACCTCTGGTGTAGATGGACTAACATCTGCATCATCCATTGCCTGGTCTTCCACATGAGAGATTCATACCTGCTGTACAGAGGCATGTGGGTAAGCAAGGTGGGCAAGGAGGGGATTTGCTTCCACCCACTCCTTTTAAGTTACTGCCTTCACCTGGGAGGGGAGCATACAGGATTCCCTTGAACCTGTGTATTCTGGGGTGGCTGTTCCTGTCAGGGCAGAGCCTGGTTCTACAAATCTTTCTCAGACTCCCTTATGCCCCTTAATCTTTCTACATCCTCTCATATCTGAGCCCCGAGGGTGGGCAGATCTTGGCCACACTGAAGGCAGTTGTTCTCACCACTGCCATGCTTCCCAGTGAAAGGCTCTGGCAGTCCCTGCACCCAGAGGCCTGGATGGCTGTGTGGTTTCATGGGAGCTCTGTCTGAGGAGCCACATCCACTCTAGGAAGCACAGAAGATGTTGATTCTGTCAGGTAGATGTCACAGCCTGAACTCCTTCTGAGAGGGTGATGGACAGCAGCTGAACTTGTCTCTTGAGCTGGCAGGGTGACAGTGCTCATGTCGTGCGCCACTCTCAGCCCATGTAGCCTGTGGTGCACCCTGGGCTGGCTGTGTGTGAGCGCAGGGGTGGCTGCCAGGCAAAAGTCAGCCACTCCACTGTGGATATGGCTGGCTCCAAAGCCAGATGTTTTCCTCTGTGCCTGCCTGCGTTTTTTGATGTCCAGGTTGGTTTGGCCTCAAAGCCAGGTGGTCTCTTGGGGCAGAAGCTCTTCTGTACATGTGGTTGTAGGGAAGATCATGAAAAGCCAGTGTCCATAAAGGAGACAGAGGAGTCCTGCAACTTTATTCAAATAAAGGGAGAGAGTCCACTGGGACATTAGCCTGTGGGATATTCTCTCTCTAGGTTTCAGAAAGTGCAGCTTCCTTTTATCCTAAACTCCCGGGTGCTTGTTGCCCTCCTCCTTAGCCTATTTGCTGAGATACTGGGAAGGTACAGCCTTCCCAAACGGTCTACCACATATTCTCCCCTCGAGCCTGTAATTTTCCCCCAAAGTTCAGAAACTCAGGCTTGTGTGGACCCATTTGTCTGTTTCAGGAATCAAACTGTCTGCGTTTTGTAACAAACCTGTGGCTTGAAGTGGGTAGAAACATTAAGACCCATTTCTAAGACGTTAACACCCGTACCCTCGCTCTTGGAATTGTTTGTAAAGACATTAGCACACATCTTTCCTATCATGGCTAATCCCTCCCTTTGTGATCCCTGGTCCCGTCAGGGGAGACTTAAAGGGCCCGAGCCCCTGCCCGGCGCCTCCCTCTGACCCGAGGGAGCCGGTGGGAGCTGTCGGGGGGGGGGCCCGGGCATCTCCTGAGCTGCGGCTCCTTGAGCAGAGCGGGCGCCGCGTGGGGGGGTTGCGTGCAGGCCACGGGCCTTTTAAAATTACATTCTTAGAGAATAAACACCACCCGAGCTGCGTGGAGACCCAAATAAAAATGCTTCTAACACTAGTTGGCTGCCTGTTCTTACGCGGCAGGAGGAAGGATAACGGCGGGGCGGGCTTACAGCTCCCGGCACGCCGCGGGGCCGGAACTGCCGGTCGTGGCGTGCCCTGACTATCGGCGTTGCGGGTGCTGGTCCCGACTGTGCCGGCTCCCATGGCGGCGGTGCCGCCGCCGGTCTACGTATACAGCCCGGAGTACGTGACCCTCTGCGACTCCCTCTGCAAAGTGCCCAAGCGGGTCAGCGCCGCGGCGGGGGCGAGGGGGCGCGGGGAGCACAGCGGTGAGGCCCGGGCGCGGAGGCAGCCGGCGCCCGGCACGGCGGTAGGAAAGGAGGAAGCGGGGAAAACTCCCGGCGAGAGGAGTGTGGGGTTAGAGCGGGGATGGTTCGTCTGTGCGTTCACATCGCCCCTGGCACCGCGGGCTTGGACACTGAAGCGACAATTTCCCGGGAGGCTGTGCGCAGCTGTGCTTCTGCCCGGGACACTAGAAGGCCCTTTCACACTGTATGGGCACGGGCCGGAGAAGGGACCCGGGCAGGGAAAGTCGCTGCTGGGAGGAGTCTGAGCCACACCTCGTCTGCGAGTCCTTGGGCCCCTGGTTGCTGGCTTTGTGTCTCCTGCTCTCACAGTCTTATTCTTTTCTTTAGGCCAGCATGGTGCATTCACTGATTGAAGCGTATTGCTTGCTTGACCAAATGAAGTAAGTGCTCCCGTTTCTGTGAAGGAATGTTTTAGTCTCCACTAAGGTTTGGAAGGTGCTGAGTAACTTCCAGTTTCACACTGTCCCTGCTGGCGGTGTGATTATAGGAGCCCTCACTGCGTATTTGCAGGATTAAAGGAAAATGTTTGTTTTGCTACATGGACACGATTACAGTAATTATGGCAGGTGTAATTCATGGTTACCACCTGGGCTGGTGGAGCACTTATAGGCTTGTGCCTTCTCTACAGAGTGTGTATCACCCCCATGCTTGAGACTCCTGGGTAGGGTGACAGTCTTGGTGCTGCTGCAGATCCACTGATCAATCAGTGCTGATGTAGAGAGGGACCATATTGTTTTGGTGCATTGTAATATATCTGAGAGACTTTTTGTGAGGTCTGCATGCTGTTCAGGAGAGAAGACCGGATGAGATCTGGGGCAGAGAAGTGAGGTACCTGCTGCCTAATTCGGCTCTTGACGCTGGGGCATGTGAAGGGCAAAATAAGAAAGGCATAGCTCAGCCCCTCTTGTGAAGCTTCTCATAAAATCTTAGAAAAAATGTACTCCAGTTCAGCACAGCCAGAAAGTTTTTTTGAGACTTCTTTTTTAAAGGAAATTTTTTTCTGGCAGAGTGTGCTTGGGAAATGACTGCAGGCATCGTTATAGAGGAGACCTGAAGGACTGTTTGACTGGTGGGAAGCATCAGGGCCAGCCTGGAGCTGGGAGCTTCCTATGTTCTTCCTGTAGTAACAGAGCTGTGCTGCACTGCCTGTGCATGCTCCCACTGTCCAAGTTTTGGGGAGGGTTCAGTGTGTTGCAGGATTTGTTTAGGCATACTGCAAAGCACCCAGATCCAGGAAGGTGCTGTGCAAGTCGCTTGGAACAGTGACAGTCTCTGCTTTGGGGCAGGTCACAGCATGTGAGAGGCATTGCGCAGCTCCTGATCTAGGCTGAGGTCCCACCACAGCGCTGTGCTGTGCCTGGGCTTTTCCCTCCATTAGTTCCTCTAATGTTTGTAAACTGAATGTTGGATATGCTGGGGAATGCACAAACAGAGAGAACACGCAGAACAGGGAAAAAAAGTTGAAGCAAAGTGGGAAGGTTAATGCAGGCAGCACCTGCAGTGTTATTCACTGGGGTGGGCACCACAGGTAGTGCCAAACTAGGGGCATGGCCTGCTTCAGCTTAGTTGGGTGGCTTTCTAACTTAAGTGACAGCCCAGTGCAAGAAGAAGAGGGAGTTTTGTTTGCTTTTACAACAGTAACAGCCAAAAGAAGGCTCTTACTGTAAAGGCTAAAGCTGGACATTCCAGCTGAACACTGGATCCTCTTGCCCTGATGTCCTCCCTTCTTCCTCTCTGCTTAGGATAGTCAAGCCAAAAGTGGCCTCCATGGAGGAAATGGCGAGTTTCCACACAGATGCTTACCTGCAGCACCTGCAGAAGGTCAGTGAGGAGGGGGATGATGACCACCCGGAGTCTGTGGAGTATGGACTGGGTAAGGATGCACATCTTCAGGAAGAGATAGAGTGCCAGGGCCAGGATGCTTTTTGCTGGAGCTGCAGTTAGAGGGGTGAGCTCTGGGGGATGCTAGACTTAGTTTTGAAAGGAAACATTCTTTAACGGGGTGCTGCTGAACCCCATCAGTCATCTGACAGGCTGGCACTTTCCCTAGTGCCAGCTGAGGGTAGAGCTAGCCTCACTTTGCTGCTCTGTATAGCTTGGCCCGTCTCTTGCCGACTGGGTCACTCTGCTGCTCTGAGGCTCTGGAATGGGATGGAAGGCCTTGACGCTGCCCTCGGGCTGGAGCTGGGACTGGCTGCTGCAAGCCTGCTGTGGGGAGGGCATGTGTGAACAGTGGCCTGGAGCTGTAGTGACCAGAGCAGCTGCAGAGCAATCTGGTGACTTACGTGTGGAGCAGAGGGCTCTTGCCCTCCTGGACCTAAGACAGCTTGAGAAATGCAGCAGGTAAAGCAGGTGAGATGGCTATGGGCAGTCTTGGTATCAGGAATGGGAAGAGCGACCCAGAACTGAGGCAGAGGTGCAGATTCTTTGCCGCTCTCATGAGTGTGCCTTAGACTTTACATTCCTGAAGCTGCTCTGCCTACAGGAAGACAAACAGCCCTGGTATCATGCTTTGTGGGCAACAGCTGCAGGGAGGCTGCTGTAGGACTAAGTGAAGATTGTACTATAGACATAGACCTACAGTTTATCTAGGCTTGGCTAGTTTGTGGATGTCCATTTTTAGGGAAGAGGTACGTCAGTGACCATGCTAGGGCTTTTCTGGTCAGGTAGACAGAGACTTGAAAGTAGTTTTTTTGCGAGATTGGTGTGAGGAACCAGTAGGTTCAGCAACCCAGAGTTGATTCAGGACACATTTTTAAATGAACTGAGTGCAAGAAAACGTTGCTTTTTGTGGTGGGTTGATTTCTGTAGTGTGGTCAGGGGTTTTTTTGCTAGATGCTCACCAAGATACAGTCTCTCTCCCCCTCAGTAGGGGGGGGGGAGAAAATCCAGGAAAAGAACATGTAGAGATAATAACAGGGAGGTGAGTCTCCAGTTACTGTCACCAACAAAAGTGACTCTACATGGGAAAATTAATTCAATTTATTGCCAATTAATAATGGAGTAGTATAGTGAGAATTCAAAATAAAACTGAAATCACCATCCCCCTCATCCACCTTTCTTCCCAGACTCAGCTTCACTCACTGCTCTTCTACTTTCCCCCTCAGGCAGTGTAAAGGGACAAGGAACGGGGGTTGTGGTCAGTTCACACCTCTCTGCTGCTCCTTCTTCTTCACTCTTGCCCCACGTGTGTGTGGGGTCCCTCCTGCAGGACACTTTCTTCCATGAACTTTTCCAGTGTTAGTCTTTCCTATGGGTAGCAGTTTTTCAAGAACTTCTCCAGTATGGGTCCTCCATGGGGCCAGCTCTTCAGGAACAGGCTGCTCCAGCCCGGGTCAGTCTTGAAGACTCAAACAAAAGGAATGTGCTTCCAGTGAAGGAAAAGGCCTGTTGTGTCTGAGGTGCAAACTCTTACATGGACTCTTACCTGCAGGTTACGACTGTCCAGCCACTGAAGGGATCTTTGAGTATGCAGCGGCTGTGGGAGGAGCCACCATCACTGCAGCCCAGTGCCTGCTGGATGGCAAGTGCAAAGTAGCAATTAACTGGCCTGGAGGGTGGCATCATGCAAAGAAGTAAGAAAACAATCTCTTCCCTTGTGTTTTCTCATCTGGTGTCTGAACCCAGCTTCCTAGCTCCCAGCTTCCCTGAGAACTCTCAGGGTGCAATGATCTAGTTGGAAGAGAAAGCAAGGTGTGAGGGAAGGCAGGAGATAGAGAAGAAGGAAACAGAGGGCAGGGCAGAGGCCTGAGAAGAGGCAGGTCACTGCCCAGTGCTGGTGCTGTCACTGTCATGTGCTGCAGAGCAGGTCTGGGGCAGGTGTACTCACACAACATCTCAGCCCATTTCCTGGTGGGCACTTGGCTGAAAATGGCTTCAGCTGCAGCTTGCTGTGAAAGGAGACTTGCACTCAGCAGAGCTGAGCTTTCGCTCTGTGCAGAACTGATGTCTTGGGAAATCTTTTGTTATATTCTGTCTGGATTGCATGGCTTAAAAAATGCCTGTAATGAAAAAGTCTTAGCAGTGTTGCTGCTGCTGAGCTATTAGCACTGTTCTGGGAAGCAAAGAGTCTGTTTAAAAATAGGCATTTAACACTCACCAATCCCAAAGGAGTCTTCCCAGTCACCCTAGTAAGTTGGTGTGTGATGGTTCAGGGTAGATGCCAGCCCAGTGTGAAAGTCCAGCCAGACTTACTCCAAACTGCAGGTGCTTGATTCTAGGACCTGTGTCCTTAGCAAAATACATTCCTTTTGTCAAAAACACCTGCTGTCTGGTGGTTTAGTTGGTTTCCAGGGTCCTAAAGGTAGGAATGACCTGGAGCTTTGGAAGCTCTTGGTTCAGATAATGCCTTTGGGGTTGAGAGTAAGATGCTGAGTAAGTGCCTTTTCTCAAGGCAGCCTCACCCTCCCTTCTGGCAGTGATACTCAGAACTTTGCTGGGTGGATTTAGGGCAGCACAGGGGAATCACAAATGCTGGACCTGAACTGCAGCTCCGACACTGCTCTGCTTTTGACTGAACTGGTGTCCTGCTCTGCTTTGAGTTTCAGAGATGTGTATTACTGCATGGAGAGAGTGCCCAAGACATGCTTCCTTGTGGGCTACGAGGAAGGGGAGAAGTATATAATCACAGTTGAGTCAGATTTTCAGGATACCTGTTAACACCTCTATTTTCAGCATTACCGTAAATGAACAGAGTCACTGGAAAACACATGTGCTCCATGGCACCTGCAGAGAGTGAAAGCAAGTGTAGTTCTGCCACTCCTGGCTTGCTCCTCACTGTTCCCAGCTGTCGCTGAGCGGGAAATATCAGAGAGAATGAGCTGAGTGCTGTGACTGGAAGCCAAGAGGAATTTTCCAGAAGTGCCTCTTGTATCCTGATACAATTTGTGGAAAAGGGATTTGGGTACTCCTGTTGCCAAGTATAATGCTTCACTTTAAAACAGCTATCCAGAGCAGATTTAAGAATGCACGTGGACTGGTGCTAAGTGGTGAGGGGGACTTGACTTCAGAGTGAGGCTGGAGTAGGGGTCAAGAAACTTTCTTGTTCCTTTGATGCCAGCAATTAAGCTGTCCCTGATGAATGTCAGTGATATATCTTTACATGGTACACCTGTCCTCTGTTTAGCTGCTGGGACTCTCTCCTGGCTGAGCCCAGGAGCTGTATCGTGAGGGACTGCATGTGGGACGTGCCATTTGCATTTTCCTGGGAAGAGAAAGGAGGGAGTTACTTTGGCAAGAGGCTTAACCTTCATAGCCTGAGACTTTAAAACAGCAGGAGAATCCTGTGACTGGCTTGGGCCTGCCTTTCACTGCCAGGACCTTCCCAGGACTTGTGACCCAGCCAGCAGGGATGGAGTGGCTGCCTATCTATGCCAGTCCAGAACTCACAGGAAAATGGCCAAGGGGACTCTCCTTTTCACTCAGAGTGGGTTTGAGTCAGGTGGCTCTGAACTTCTTTAAAATGTCTCAGGTGCAGAAAGCTAACATTTTATTTGTTCAACAGTGCAGTGGTCAGAGGTACCCTCCTCAAAACAGTGTCTTTCTGCAGAGCTGACTGATGCTTATCCAGCTGCCAGAAAGCCCAGAGTTGAGAAGCAGTTGGCACAAGCAGTCCTGTTCTCTGTGCTTCTCAGCCATGCTTTGAACTGTTCCTGACCCGTCTCTTGGTCACTGCTCAGCTGAGTTTTCGTACTCCTCTGTGCCCCTGTGAGGTGGACACTTGCAAAGTCAAAGTGAGAATGCTGAAATCAGTGGTGATTGCATTGGCAATATTCAATGTCACAGACATTGTTTTCACAGGGATGAAGCTTCTGGTTTCTGTTACCTGAATGACGCTGTCTTGGGGATCCTGCGACTGCGCCAGAAATTTGACCGCATCCTTTATATTGATTTGGATTTGCATCATGGGGATGGTAAGGCCCAGCAAAGGCTGCAAACAGCACAGCTACACAGACTCAGGAGGGAATGGGAGAAGGCAAGGCCTGTCTGCACAGCAGGGGTTTACGTGCTGCAACAGCCGTGGCTTCGGCTCCTTTCGGTGCAGTGGAGTTCCCTCAATCCATTTATGCCTTGTCCTGCTTTACAGACTTGCCCAATGCTGCTCTTTAGACCTCTCTTGTGGGTCTGGGCAGAAGTCTTGTACCTAAAGCAACAGATAATGTGTCTCAGTATCCCATCCTGGCAGAGCAGTTGCTGTCAGGGTTTAATTGTTTAAGGGTCCATTGCAAGAGGGAAGCAGCCAGTAGTAAGTGCTGCTTTTAAAAGAAGGCTTGATGCTATAAATCTAGAGGCAAAGCTGGCCTTGCTGAAACTGCTCCCTCCTTCAGGGACATTATTTCTACACCATTTAACATTTCCTGCTCTCCTAAATTTTATGCCGTGTTTCATTTTGTTCCATTTTCTCCCTGCATTTGGTTTCTGTTAAGTTTCCTATTATTTCTTTTTTCCCTCTCTACGCCCACTGTCTTAATAGTGTCTTTAAGGAAAAGGCACGTTGAACCACAGCAGCATTGAGAAAAAGCAAGAAAGCCCAGTAGCACTGGTTCTGATCAGAGCCAAGCTCTGGCCAAGTGACCCCTGCTTAGATCCCTCTCTCAGCTTCACAGGCCTAGCAGCACAGGCAAGTGCTGCTACCATGGGTAGTGACGTGAGATATTCAGATCCATTCAGTACTGATTAGCATGAGACCTGCCAGATTCATAGCAGTTGTGATTTTTGCTGCAGTTGAACTCCAGTCTCTGTGGATTGAAGATGTATTGAGCCACATCTGCATTTCTACTTTGCTTATGGTGCTCCTTCTCTGCTTGCTGCCTGTGTGTATCAAGCAACTCAGTGTGTTCAGACTCTGTCATTTATATAAATGATTCATGAAAGTTTTTTTTCAATTTCCTAATAGGAGTTGAGGATGCCTTTAGTTTCACCTCGAAGGTCATGACTGTTTCTCTGCACAAATTTTCACCAGGATTTTTCCCAGGCAAGTTGAACTTGTGAGGTTTGTGCTCATTTGGTTCACACGTCACTGGTGAGGCCTCCATAAAGGCAAGACATAAAAGCATGTCTTGCTGTCTCCTGCGACCCAGGAGAAGGAAAGAGGAGGAGCTACATGTTTTGCATTTCCCCCTTTCTGGTTGTAGCTGAGCTCTAGGCAGAGTTCCTTTGATGCTGCATGGCAGAATTGGGTGAAGGATAGAACTGGGTCACTCCACCCCGTCTTTCTTGGTGGTGGCAAGTGGACTTCTTCATACGCATGTTGAATGTCCTGGCTCTCATCTTGCCTTTGAGACACCCCACGCATCTCTTGCTGCTGCTCTACTTTCCGTTCTAATTGGGGTATTTCTGTTGTGCAGGCACTGGTGATGTGACAGATGTTGGCCTGGGAAAAGGTCGCTACTACAGCGTGAATGTGCCCATTCAAGATGGCATTCAGGATGAAAAATATTACCAGATCTGTGAATCGTAAGCCCTCTTGCTCTGATACAGCTGGCTTGGATGGGATTTTAGAGAGAGAATAAGATACTACACATCTTAGTGTTTTTAATTACAGTCCTTTCTTAAGCTTTGTCCCTTCCCCTGTTGCAGCCTTTGATTACAATGAACATGGACTGTAAGTTCTCAGAGGTCTTGTATGAATCCTTAGACAAACTGAATATACAGAGACATTGTGGGTGGCTGGAGGGATCTCTGCCGCAGGTTAGCCTATCTCCTTAGATACACCTCCACAGGTGTCTAAGGAGAGACTGAGAAGTGACAAGTATTTTTTTAGCTGTAGACTTAGGGCTAGATGTTTTTTCTTCAAGTAAGTGCTCTGAATTCTGACTGTGGGACATATGCTTGGGGCTTAGCTAAAAGCATTTTCCTAGCACCTTCTGTCTATGCTGGAAAAATAAAAGGCTGAAGGCTGAATATCTGACAGTGACAGCTGCCTCCTGGCAGTCCCCTGTGTCCTTCAGCTGATGGTTGGCCTCACAAGCTGTTGCCCATGTCAAAACTGGGCTGCAGGGCTTGTTCTTTTCCAGGGGAGAGGAGTCTCAGTGCAGGGCTGCAGGATGTGGTAGCATCCACCTCTAACACTTGAGGGCTGAAACCTCTCTAAACTTGTAGGCCAGTAGGGCAGTCATGCGGGGACCATGCCTCCTGTTGGCTTATTGGTGTTTGCCATTGCTGGGGCAGAGCAGCCCTCTTTGTGCTGGAGGACATGCTTTCAAAAGGCAGCTCTAGGGTCAGGAACCCACTCAGGAGGAGCCTGCTGCATGTATTCACCGCTGAAGGACATCATAACTTACAATAGATTGCAAGCTGTGTATAGCTGAAGCTTCTGCAAAGAGACTTAGAGATCTCTTTGAGATCTATCCTGGCTGGGAGGCAGTCCACGGGCATGACCGTGGATGTCTCATCCAGCTGTTGTTTGAGGGTAATTGCCTGTATTTCCTAAAACCACGATGGGCTTGAAGCATGAAGCTCTGTCCAATGCTGGTTTTTGCAGGCTGACTACATCCAGCACAGAGCTTTTCCTCGTAGTTTTGCCTCAAGAGCCATACAGGAGAGAGGAGAGTAAGACCCTAGCCAGTCTTCCTCTGTTTCTCCTGTCCTCTCCTGGCCTGTCCTGGTGAGAGGTGTCTGAGAGTTCAGGATTGTTGTTTTGCCAGACCCTGATTTCCACCATAGCTTTCACAGGGCAGAAAAGCCCCTGGATCATCATGCAGCCAAAAGGCAGACTGTAAATGTGGAGTTTGATGCTACCACTAAACTGGTGAGGTCTAGATCCCCCTCTGCCATGTTATCAGTGGTGCTTTTGCATTCATCAGCCTTTTGATAAGTGCTCTAGGAGCTAAAATTGCTGTGGAGGTAGAAGGCTCAGAGCAGAGGCTGGGAGCAGAGGTAGTGTAAACTGGTATGAGTTGGGTGGAAGCAGAGAATGCAGAAACCCTGAGAGGCATTGGTGGATCCGAGTGACCAGGGCCATGCCACCAGCATTCCTCTGGGGTGTGCTGGCAGTAACTGGACTGCTCCTCTTCTCTAGAGTGCTGAAGGAGGTGTATGCCGCCTTCAACCCTGATGCAGTTGTGCTGCAGCTGGGGGCGGACACCATTGCTGGAGACCCCATGTGCTCTTTCAACATGACACCTGAGGGAGTGGGGAAGTGCCTTAAGTATGTCCTGCAGTGGCAACTAGCAACTCTTGTCCTGGGAGGAGGTAAGTGCATCCTGCTGTTCTCAGAGAAATGTGTTTGTCCTCCTGTGACCCTGCCTGGAGTGCCTGCCTGCCCTTGGGCTCAGGACTGGCAAGGGTTTAGCAGGGTGACTGCTAGGCAGTGTCAGGAGGATGCACTGTGGCACAGTACTCTTTTCTCACACCTGAAATCATTTATACCGACAGGTGCAAGTCTCAGTACTGACTCAGATCTTGAGTTAAAAGCTGCATGGCTCCTCTGGAGAAGAGGAGAGGCCAACAAACTGACCCTGACTTCTCAGTGACATCTCTGATTCCCATCTCTGCTGATCAGCCCTTTGGTGCTTCTCTTTAAAAATGAGCACTGTGTTCCCAAACCTACCTTGGGCACCTGGTGATGAATGGTTTCATTAAGATTCAAGCAGGGGCTTGGGATGAGGCCTGCAAGATATAGCAGGGCTCTGATACCCACTGAAAGCTAAGCTGGACTTATCTCTGTTGTGTTACCTAACCAGCTGCTTGTCCAGTGGGGAGAGCACAGGACAGGTGTTATGTTAACAGAGCATTTCAGAACAACAAAAGCCCCTGTGTGCCAGGGAAAGCTCCTGAGCTCCGTGACTGGAGCCGGATCAGCTCTAGGTGTTGTCCTTTTTTAGATGGGGGAAATCATGTATAGCATATTAAGACTAAAATTTGATGTGCCTGATGCCCTTTGTTTTGGAAAGGTCATGAGTGTTCAGTCCTGCTGTGGCTTGCCTGTGAGTGTGCTGGAGATGTCACCTGTCAAACAAAACCCAAAACTTCTGTTAAAAAATGAAGATCAACTATGTGTCACTTGTAAAAATAGCAAAGGAGTGTCCCACCACTGCAGTATGTGGAAGCATTTAAAGTGGTAATTGGGGGAGGAGTAAAAAAAAAAAAAAAAAAAAAAAAAAAAGCAGGGAAAAAAACCCACTGCAAACAGAAGGAAATATTGGAATAATATGGTCTGTCGTGTCAAAGTGCTTTTCTCCCTTTACTCTTCTAGTCCTCTATTCTGGAAAAAAACGTAGCTGAGTCTCTTGCAGGATTGCTTTCAGCTAAGGTTTCTCCTTGTGGGCTCATGTTCCTTTACCATGTAGGTAAACATTTCCTGCTCACTGTGAAATCTCATTTCAGTGTAAAACAGTTGCAAGTTGTGTTTCATATTTTTCCTTTCAAACATGACGGTGCTGAAGAGCTCACCAGTGTATAGCTGGGCATGTGTATTTTGCTTTATAGGTCAAAGGCTGGTATTAAAAAGCAGGAAGCCCCCATTTCTGCTGCAGCCTGCTGCTTGAGAATGGCTCTTCTTGTTGCCAGGAGACAGTTGAGCACATGGGGTTGTGAGCTCATCCTGGGTCTGAGATGGTGGCTGGAGGACTGGCCTCTGCCACACTGGATGTAACTGGGGTTCAGTTTGAGTGGTCTGCTCTTGCATACACTTTCATTCAGACTTAGCCTTGTGTAGCCAGCAGGTGCAGAAGGCAGATTTTGGCTTGAGTGGAGGAAATAAGCTGAACTCATGTAACCTGCACACAGTGGTTTCATGATTTGTTCCCTCCACCTAAATCTCTTTTTCTCTTTTCCTTTTCCCCACTCTTTCTCCTCAAATCCCAATTCTTGCTGGAAACAGGAGGTTACAACCTTGCCAACACCGCTCGCTGCTGGACATACTTGACTGGGGTCATCCTTGGGAGAACACTGCCCTCTGAGATCCCTGATCATGAGGTAATGCTTTGAAAAGCCCTCCCTTCTCCTTGCAGGAGAGCCAGTTGTTCTGCCTAATCCACACACGCATCCTTGCCACACAGTCCTGTTTTGTGAAGACACTTATGTAGCAGTATGGTGAGTGCTCGTGCCCAAAACCAGAGGCTGTCTGCAGCTTTCTGTGAGGGGTTTCATGTGCCCATAAACTCCAGTCTCAGATAGTAACAGAGAGGATGGGCAAAAGGATTCTCTGGTTTGCTCAAAGAGCTCTTTAGGATGTGCCTTTTGCCTTCTCAAGGCTTTAATTTTTTTTTTCAGCTGAAGTTTGAGTGACCACAGTGCCTGTTGCTCTGCTTTCCTCCTCCTCCCCCTGAGGGTTCTGTCTGGTGACAGCAGTGTCTGGTAAAGAGTAGCCAGGGCCCAGCACATTCCAATAAGTTGCTTCTCTCTGGAGCTGACACAGAATGCACCTTGCAAATATTCTGTCACTATATTCGAGTCCTGTAGTTGTACAGGGATGAACTTCCAAACCACTGGAGCAGAGAATTTCCCCAGAAGCTGGCCCATTTTCTCCCATTTTCTATGCCACTCGTGACTGTCCACCCTTGGGGCAAATCTCTGAATGACCTTCCTAGAAATGTCTATTCTGACTCTAAACATGGTGCAGACTCCACTGACTCTAAACATGTTATCAGCTGTACTGAGTAGACACACATAAGAGACATAGAAACCATAGCAACATGCTTTCTGTAACATCCAAAGGGAATTCAAAATTCTCGAAAGCTGTTGTAACAGGCTTGAAGGAGGAAGAGAGGGTGACAAGCTGGGGAAAATCATCCTCTCTTGTTTCCCCCTCAGGCTGAGTACTATTATTAATGGACTAACAAAGGTAGTGCCTGAGGTAAGGGTAGGAGAGGAACACTGAATACACATCCCAAATGACCCTCATTGCCATTGTTATCATTTCATAAACTGGTATCACAGAGTACAGCAACAAAACAATCCTGATCCCCCTCCCTGCTCTGAAAAATATTATCACAAGGAACACATATATGCTCACACATATGTACCACACCCACATGAACAGACCAAGCAGCATTGTCACCAGTGGTTCTGTACCTAATATGAACAAATGCTTAGAATCAAATTTGTTTCCAACCCACTGTAGGCAGATCTGTTGTTATATCAACCCTTTGTGCCCCATACTGGGCACGAATTAAGGTTGTCTTAGGAATGGTATTTTCCAATTTAGCGCTCCTGCTAAGAGCATGAACAATTTACTAAACAATAACAGCAACAATACTAATGACAGAGGGAACAAGAAAACAAAAAACAATTCACATAGAAACATCCCTGCCCCCTGGCAATAGACAAAACTGCATAGCTTCCTCTGCCACATTATTTAAGCTGGAAGGAATCCCTTTTGTCTGGAAGAGAGTCCCTTTCCCCTGCCCTCAGCAATGATGAGAGGTGGTGTAGAATAACCTCCGTGTCCTGGCCATGCCTCCTCCCAGCTACTCTAAAAACTGACCCTGTCTTGGCCGGAATCATGACACAATCGCTTACAGTAACCTGTGATTCTGCGTTAGCACATCAACCCCATGTGCTGCAGATTTCCTGCACACTATCTGAGCACTCAGCCAGGAGAGACACTATCCTTGCAGCACACTGATTTTTCCTTTCCCGGGTGTTTCAGTCATGTCAATGCAGTGTTCAGCAAGATGGGAAGTGAATGGCAGGATATGTGATTACAGCACTTGAAATTTAATAAGAAAAAAATCCCATTTGCAGGTAACTGTGAGTAAAATGAGTGTCAACAGCTTTCCCAAATAAAGCATTGGGATAGACATTTGACTGCTTTTTGGTTGCTTCACTGGACTCTGCTTCCCATCCCTTGAACTGGGAAGTGGTTGAAAACTCCAGGTGGACACAGACACTGCTGAAGTACCACCTTGATGTAGTGAAGCTACATGTGGCCCTTAGGCAGAGAAATGTTTTTTTGCCTTTTTACAAACAGGTACCCATGGGGAGACCTCTCTCTAGCCTCAGCCTTCAGAGACCTCCCTGTTGATTTTCCTCTCCTCCTCCCTGCAGTTCTTCACAGAGTATGGTCCCGATTACGTGCTGGAGATCACACCAAGCTGCAGACCAGACCGCAATGAGCCACAGAGAATTCAAGAAATTCTGAACTCTATCAAAGGTGCGTTGTCTAAGCCAACACTCCTGCTTCAGGCTTACAGGTTTTTTTAGAGAGGGCTTCAGAAGAGCTCGTTGGAGTCTTTCTCACTAACTGGAAAAATGAACCACATTCACTTGGCTGCTCATTAGTGCAGTGTCATTGGCCTCCCACATCCCTTGGGATTTTCAGGGTTGGTGGTACAGAGTTATGGGTTCCTGTAGCAAAAGTTGCCATTGCCTTTGTTCTGGCTGGGCAGGGAGCATGGGGCCTTGTCTTTTTTGGAATCATAGAACAGCCCAGGTTCTAAGGGACTTCAAAGATCATCTGGTCCAAACTTTTCGTGGGAAAGGGAGCACAGACAAGATTATCTAGCAAGTCACATCCTGAAAACTTCTGACAGTGAGGCCACTACCACATCCCTGGGGAGTTTCCTCCAGTGATTGATTGTTCTCACTGTAAAAAAAAAAGCACTTAAAATAAGGTGAAACTTCTCCTGGTGCAACTCACACCTGTTGTCCCTTGTCCTCTCCATGTGCCTCCTTGTGAAGAGAGAGCCTCTGTCCTCTGAAGCCTACAGAGCAGGCTTCAAGCACTAGATTACTATGATGAGGTCCCTCCTAAGCCTTCTCTTCTGCAGGCAGAGTCTTTCCTCATCGGGCAGGTTCTCCAGCATCTGATCACCTTTTTGGTTCTCCTTTGGACCCTCTCTGCTTTGTCCATGTCTTTCATGATTTGTGGGGAACATAACTGGACACAGTACTCATCGTTTGTCAGATGGACCTGGAATGAGATGATCCAGTTTTTCTTAGTAATGCTCCTACACATGCTGCACAGGATATAGTTTGCTTCGCTGCTGCAGCAGCACACTGCTGGATCCCATTCAGCTTGCTGCCTATCAGGACCCCCACATCCATTTCCACAAAGCTGCTTCCCAGTCACACAAATCCCAGCCTGAACTGGCTACCTTCTATCTCAAGAGCAGGACCTTGCTTTTGCCTTTGTTAAACTTAAAACTGTTATTTTTAGCCCAGTCTTCCAGCCTGTCCTGCTCTCTAAGATAGCTCTTCCTTCTGACCAGTTCACCGCAGCACCCAGGTCGGTGCTGTGGTTGTTTTCAACCACAGCAAGGTAATTTATGATGTTGAGCAATATGTATCAGTATGAGCCCCTGGAGGACCCCACTTGTGACAGGCTGCAAGACCATGTAAAAACCATTGATCACCACCCACTGTGAGCTCCCTGTGAGCCAGCTCCCTCCCTATCCCCTTTGCAGATGACCCATCCAGTCTGTGTCTTTCCAGTTGGTCCAGGAGGAGGCTGTGGAAAATAGCTTTCTGGAATTGGGACAGGTCTCCAGCAGGCAGGACTTGAAGCTCTTCAAGTCCAGGACAGGCAGCTGGGTGAGCTGTGCCAGCTCCAGCATTGAAACTCATTCAATGCCCTTACCCATCTGTCTTGTCTCTCTCTGCAAGAAGGGCTTGGAGCAGCATGATGGGGCTTGGCACCCCTTTTCTGTCTGTGTGTGTTGCAGTGTGCTGGTGTTCGGGTAGGAAGTCCAATGGCTGTGGATTCCTTCAGGTGTCCATTCCCAGGCACAGGCCACTCCTAGGGAGAGGGCATCCCTTCCCTGGGGACATGTCCAAGAGGGTAGGAGGAGCCACTCCAGAGCTGGAAGGGAGGGCTGTGCACTCCTGTCTGTGAATCCAGCCTGAAAGAAGGACGAGGCAGCAGGGAGTGAGCATGCTCATCTCGGATGCTGGTCCATTAATCCCGAAGCAGCATTCAGCATAGTTGAAAGCATTGGCAAGGTCCCCTTGTGGTAATTTCCAAAGCCTGGCTCGAATGAGGGCAGCAGCCTCTGCAGAGGGAGTGAGGGGTCAGCAGGAACTGAGATCTGTGCTGAGGCTGGAATTCCCATTTCATGGTCTAGTCCATCAGGCATAGGAGTGGCACCCCTTGCCAGGTAACTCCATCAGGCTAAAATATCAGTGGAAATACCCTTTTTTGCTTCCTTTTGTTTGCAGGAAATCTGAAGCATGTTGTTTAGCAGAAAAGGAAGGCTCAGGCAAGAGCATTTCCTGTGGGGAAGACAGCATATTTATGTGAACAACTGATGAAATTTGTGGCTGCAGGGAAACTTTCAAAGAAAGTACTGTTGGTTGGTTAATTTTTTTTTCTCTTTAAAGAAGAAAAGCTGCCGCATGCCACAAGCACTGTGGCTCTCCCCAGGCAGGATTGGCCCTCCAGCCACAGCCTTCCAGTGCTGGCAGAGCCTCCCTTGCTCCTTTCCCCTTCCTTTTTTAACACCACAGTTTGTTCTCACAACTGCTTTTAAATGTATTTTAAGAGAGGAGCTGCTCAGAGCTGTGAGCCCTCCCCAGCTGGAGCCCAGTGCTGTGTTACCTACTTGGCAAGGCCACAGCCTCAGAACTGCCCACTTGGGAAGTAGAGTCTGAGGGCTACCCTGGTTGTGTCTCTTACCCGCAGAAAGGCACAGCCATTGTGGTTTTAACTGGGAATTTTAAAAAAAATAAAATACTTGAAATACTCTTCCAGCTCTTTGCTTTCTTCTTCCACCCACCCTGTCTTGCCAGTGCTCTTTTCCACAGCGCACCCTCCCCCGCCGCCCCCCACTGCAAAGCCATTTGTGAGCTCCTGAAGTCCTGCACAGAGGGAACAGAGCCTGGAGAGCCTCTCAAGAATGTCAAGGGCAATGCAGGGCATTGTGGCAGCTCCTCTTCTGGGAGATCTTGGATGAACTTCCAGATGCTCTGGTGCCCCATGAGAGCTGCCATGAGGTGTCTCAGCAAGGGAACAGGTATACAGGTATGTGGAGCAGAACTCTCTCAGTGCCAGGAGCCATGGAGCCTGGCCTCTGCCGCCCTTGTCCCCTCATTCTCCTAGCCCATGGACTTTTTATTGTGCTGTTTTTTATAAAGATGCCTAGTCACTGTAGGAAAGCACATTTCCTGTGGCTTTAATTAGATTATGCTGGAAGAAACAGCAAGACAAATGGGTTCCCAGCCTGGCCTTGGCTTTGTTTCTTGCTCTGTTGTTTTTCACTGCTGATCGAAACAACAGGAAATCTGGTGTGGAGACAGGTCAGCAGGATGTGGCTCCCATAACTCCTGACCCCTTGCCTGCTTCCATGTACCCCTGGCACCTGGTGTGGTGTGCTGTGGTGAGACCAGTCTTGTGTGGTGACCGCTGGCAGGAGGCTGGTGCCCTGAGAGATGTCAGGATTTGGGACTGCCCATCCAGGGAAAAATGTGAGGAATGAGGGAACAGAGAAGCTGGCCAACTGCTGCCTCTGACCCACCTCAGGGCCCCATGTGCTCTGTCCCCACAGCAGGTAGACTGCCCTTGTGAGAGCTGTGGGAGCTGTTTCAGGAACACAGTTGGGAAAATAAACAATAGGAAATCCCACAAGTGTCAAGGGTTGTGGCTTTTAGGTGAGATGCCTCTTGGGTGGAAATCCCCACATCCCCCATCCAGAGTGGGATGCCCGTCTTGCCGCCCACTCAACGGGAGGGGGTAAGCCGGAGCGCCGTTCCAGTCCCTCCCTGTCCGGGTACGTCGCTGTACCCGACCCGCCTGGGGCAGCCCGCGCTCCTCTGAACGCTGCAGTGTCCTCGTGGACGCCGGAGATGAGCTGTTGACAGTCCCCTCCCCGGGGCACGAAGGACCTCTCGTGGTGGCGATCCTGCGCTGCTGCCCTTTCGGGGCCGAAGAGATGCCGGCGGTAGGGACTCCGCCTGCTCCCCGCCCCTGTGGCCCTCCAAGGCGGGTCCCAACCGCCTTGTGGGTCATCTTGTGCCTGCAGAAATTCCACGTCCAGAACCGCGCCCCGGGGAGACTCTGGAGCCCCACGGAGCCCGGCTCGCCGCTCGCCTGGGGCTTGGGGACGCAGCCGCGGGGCGCGGGGAGCCGCCCCCTCCAGGCCGCTGGCCCCGGCCTCATCGACTCGGACCCGACGGACAAGGTGCTCAGGTCGCTGGTGGTGGAGCTTGGCCTCAACAGGGCGGACGAGCTGCCGGAGCTCTGGTTCGGTCACCACGAGCTAGACTCCCAGTCCGACCTGCCGGCCGGAGCGCGGCTGGGGCGGGGGCCTCCTACCTCACCCCACCAGTGAGCAGCGTCCCGGCTGCCCCGGGCACCAGCGCAGCGGGAGCGGAGAACGCTCGGCACCCGGCCGAGTTTGGGACGGGGCGGGAGAAGGAGCTGCGGTCGCGCTGCCTGCCCCATAACGCACAGTCGTCGCTGTGGGCCCGACGGGCGAGGGTCTCCAGCCGCCGTGTAATAAAATCCGGAAGGATCGTTGTTCCCGCGGCTGTGCCCCTTGTCCATTTCGGCGAAGGACATTGCGTGAAGCAGCCCTTGATGGAAGGAAGGTGGGCGCCCCAAAGCTCCAGTGTGTCTTCTCGGCTTATGATGTTCCCATCCTGTTGTTGAAAATTATACAACTTTCCTAGTAACTTCTAGTTAAAATTTTTAATGAATTGTTTTAATCAATCATGAACAGTGTAATTTTCCACCGTAGCCAAGCACTTAGCAAGGTTAGTCATAAACTGCTATTGTGGGAACGCAGGTCAGGAAAATTACTAAAACTTTTAAGTTTTGCTAAACCAACTTTGGTACACTTCATTGGACTAAGCATGGGAGAGACAAAGTGCTGAAACTGGACTCACGGAATGCAGAATTTATAGTCTGCAAGAACATTTTGCATAACCCAGAGATAAAGAAACTAACAAAGACAATTCAGCAATTGTCTTATCTGGGAAAAAGATAATAAGATAATGTTATAGATACATATTATAATATTGGCTTTTCACAAATACTAAAATAGATTTATATGTGTGATGTTAAAGTAACTTTCTAACAAATACATTGTTTTTATTTCTTTTGTTAATTTAGCTTAGACATAGTAGTGAAATAGCTATGCTTGTGTTAAAATGCCTGCTTGTATGAAATAACATCCAGTGAACACAGGATGAGGACACCTGCTACAGATATGCCAACTATCAGCACTCACCCAAAACAGGAGATGATAAGAATGGATTAAAACCACAAGCAAGGAATCTGCATGCTCTAAAAAGGCAGACACAAGGAGGAGCCATGCTAAACAATTCTTGGAACATGTAAACTAGTTTGGGGGGAAAATTTACTATGCATAAGGGCCTATGAATGAGTAACAGGCTGATGTAATGGAAAAGGTATTTAAGGGGTATCCCTGAAGATAACAGTGTGGTCTTGGCTAAGTGCCAAGATGCACCTGGCCGAAATAACCTTTGCTCTGTGGTCCTTGTCTCTTACTGTCCTTTATTAAACTTTTTAAATTTTCACAGGAGAGTGAACAGATTTTTCACAGATCATAACAAGACTGAAAATGTAGGCTAATGAGCATGAGAAGTAAGAAATCTGTAACCAGTAGAAGATAAAATACTAATCAATGAAGAGAACTATGTATTTTACAGCAAATGAACATTAATTGCTTTGCTAAAGTGCATAAATAATGAAAACTTTTGGAAGTGTGCAAAGTGTGTAAGTTGCGAGTGTGTATCATAGGTGGAGCTCCCTCTATTCACCCAGCACTGTGAATAAAGTAATACTGCTCTCTAATCTAAACGTAGAGTTTCATTTATCCCGCCGTTTTCGGTGACAGAGTCACCCTGGGGGAATGGGACCTCTGTCCCAGCCACACCCTGCTACGGGAGCAATGCTGTGGAGACGTGCTAGGTGTGGGGCTGTTGCACTCACCGGGGTGCCTGGCAGGATGCGGGAGCCTGGGACTGTCCCGGGGACTCCCGGAGCACTGTGGGGTGGGGACACGTCTGCCGCCGCCTTTGGGAGGGCAGCTGGGACCACTTGGCGCTAAGGCCCAGCATCAGGTTTGGGGGCTGCGTGGGGTCCCAGCTCTACCCTGGGAGGGGCCGTGGCAGGGGGGAGACGCAGGTGTGGGGAGGGCAGGTGTGGGCAGGGAGAAGTCCGGGCACAGGTGTTACCCCTGGCTCGGCTCTCCCAAACAGCAGGACCAGAACGTAGCGGGCTGTCCCATGCCATCAGCGATGACCAGGATGACCACAGTACCCGGCTAGGAGCAGGGAGTCCCGGACAGCCGTGTCCCGGATCGGGGTGTCCCCGTCAGGATCGCCGGGAAAGGACAAGCCGTCCCGATCTGTCACCTCGCGAGTGGCTCTGGACATCCGAGCCGCCAGGGGGAAGCATGTCGCTGCCGCCATGCTTTGTACTTCCGCGGCGGGCCGGAAGCACCCGTCCTTTCTCGGCAGAGCGCAGCCATGGTGAGAGCGCGGTGGCGCGGCTCCCCGCCGCCATCCGCCGCCATCCGCCGCTCACCGCGGGCTGTGGCCACCCCCCCTGGGCGAAAAGCGGGGGAGGGAGCCCGGCACTTGGGTCCGGGGGACGGGAGTTGGAGGGAGCCGGGGAGGGATGGCTGGGGGGGCAGTGCCTGGCGGCGGCCCGTAACACACCCTTTAACACGTCCCGTCCTGTAGGCCCGCGGCCCCAAGAAGCATCTGAAGCGCGTGGCTGCACCTAAGCACTGGATGTTGGACAAGCTGACGGGCGTCTTCGTGAGTGCGGGCCTTGTTTGGGGTTAAAGCTGGGGTCGGGCGTGGGTTTGGGGTTGAGTCTGGGGTCGGAGGTGTGGCCCGGGGTCGTGGCAGCCGCAGTCACATCAGGAGAAGTGTTCGGGTGCTGCGTGGGGGCGAGCGGCGAACAAGGGCAGTTGGACACGGCAGGAGGTGTTTGTTTAGCGTTAGGGTCTTGGTGAATAGCTTTCGTGTTCCCCCGTTTGCAGAGGATGTGATGGGGTCGTTGAATGTTCTTTTTTAGTCTGCCTATTGTGCTTTTCCACCTCCAAGTTGAGATGGATGGTTGTGCTCTTTTGGGGGCTGTGCTCTGTGAGGCTGGCAGGACTTCGGGGAAACTACTGTGAATACCAAGAACAGAGAGCTTCAGCCGGTCGCTGCCTGTGTGGCAGCTGCGCTTTGTGCTGCTGCCCTTCCGTGGTCTTGCGGGAGCTCTTGGCGCTATGGTTTCCTTCTCTGGGGTGGTTGATGCTGCTTGAGCCTCCAGCAGAAACTTTCTGTCGGCAGGCTCCCCGCCCATCAACAGGCCCACACAAACTGAGGGAGTGCCTTCCCCTTATCATCTTCCTGCGCAACCGGCTGAAGTATGCTCTGACGGGAGATGAGGTCAAGAAGATCTGCATGCAGAGGTTCATCAAGATAGATGGCAAAGTCCGCACCGACATCACCTACCCTGCAGGCTTCATGGGTGAGTAGGGTTGGGGCAATTTCTTAGGCAGCTTTTCTACACTGGCAGGAGAGTGTTTTGTGGGGCTGGCATTATTTGAGGGGTAAGGTTTCCCTGCTGGAGTTGAAAAAAAGATATGTATAAGCAGTGGTTGCTTAGTTTGGAATTGTGCACTCCAGTGAGTACCATAGTCATATACTTGTAGCCTGAAAGTGCCTACTTGACCTGAGTATGTTGCTGTTCAGATTCCAGCCTTCAGCAGTTTTTGCTAATTTGCAATCTGTTGGTGCAAAAGATGTGAGCCTTTGCTCAAGGGTAAATCCCAGCCTCATCAGTCACACCCTAAGTGTTGTTCAGCAGTTTCTGTTTCTTTTTAAACGTGAACTTCATCCCAAGTAAGGGTCTTGGGTAATGAGCTGGTAACAGCTGCTGTTATATTTCCCTGTCTGCAATCAGATGTCATCAGCATTGAGAAGACAGGTGAGCATTTCCGCCTGGTGTATGATACCAAGGGTCGGTTTGCTGTTCACCGCATCACACCTGAGGAGGCCAAGGTGAGGAGCTTTGTTGTGGTGTAAGGGTGGGCCCAGTTGGGTTTGGTTGGGGCAGTGCTTCCTCTTTGGTATCTCCTGAATGAGAGCTGATGTCTCTCTTCTCTGACAGTTGAGGCCATGCTGCACTTGAGATTGGGGCGCTCAGAGTTGGAGTGAAGATCTCTTTGTTACATAGAAGTAGTTCACAGATGGCTGTAGCGTCATTGTCTGGTCCCGGAGATGATGCTGTTGGCATCAGAGAGTTTTGGGGTAGAGGGGAATCTTGGCTTTGCCAGCTAACAGTGACTAGAAACATGGAACTGTCTGTGGCATTAAAGCCTTGAACTTCTTCCCAGAGCAACAAAACTACATACTCACCCCAGATGCTGGGGAGCAACTTCCTCATGCATCCCTTAATCCAGGCATGGTGTTCCTCAGCTGCAATGCCACTCTCTGGTTTGCATCTCCTTCTTTCAAGCAGGCTGTGCAGGCACGCAGCTGTGTGGATGGCAGAGCTGGCTGTGCTGGAGCCAACTGTGGTGTAGTTCTCTTTGTGATGTACTTCTCTGATGACTACTCTGTGTTGATCTGTGAGGTCCAGAGAGGCTGTGAGGGAGTTAGGGTAATAGGCAGGAGGGAAATCAGTGCCCTTGAGGGGACAGATCTCTGTTCGGTCCTGGAGAAATGCAGCCTCTGTCTCTGTTGTGTGCCATGGGCTTTGAGGAAAAATAAGGGAACTGTCCTGGTAAAGACTTGGCTGTGAAAGTGCAGCCAGTGTTTGTGAGGAGGCTGAAGCTCAAGGTAGGCTGCTAATCCCAACAGCAAAGGTATTTTGGGGTGGGGCCATAGCAGAGCTGCATGGCAGCTGTTCAAAAGTAGTTACTGAGGCAGGGAGCTGGACAAGTCACTCCGTGGGCTCATGTTGTAAGCCCTGAGTGTCTGGGTGTTCTGCTGGCTGGTGGCTCTTTGCAGTACAAGAGTTCACTAGTCCAAGGTACTTCTTGCTGCCTCAGCTGAGAGATGTTGGGTTTTGTTTGCAGTACAAGCTGTGCAAGGTGAGGAAGATCTTTGTGGGCACCAAAGGAATCCCTCACTTGGTCACTCATGATGCCCGCACTATCCGCTATCCAGACCCCCTCATCAAGGTGAATGATACGGTCCAGATTGACTTGGAGACAGGCAAGATCACAGACTTCATTAAGTTTGACACAGGTAGGTCTTGCATTGTACCCTTCCCCACCGTGGAGAGCAGTCTAAGTTAAATGCTAGGCATATTTGCACTGAAATAGAGAAGCAGCGGTGTCAGCCTTGGGAAGGGGTTTGTTTCCCAGGAGCATGTCCACCTGGCGCTGGAGCGGGGGATTCTTCCTGCAGTGGGAAGCATTTCACAGGGACTTGGCTGTTCTGAGGCACCAGGTAGAAGCAGCGAGCTGGTGGAGAGGTGCTTCAGCTTGTCTCTTGGTGGTGAGAGACAGTTTCAGCCACAGAGCTGTGAGCGTTGCTAGCACGGGTGGGATGGGAATGTTTGGTAGTGGGCAGAGCCCAAGTGGAAGGACTTCACAGCACTTGGTGCCAGCTCTTGTCACACCTGTATTCCCTTACTCAGGTAACCTGTGCATGGTGACCGGCGGTGCAAACTTGGGCCGTATTGGGGTGATCACCAACCGGGAGAGGCACCCTGGGTCGTTTGATGTGGTTCATGTGAAGGATGCCAACGGCAACAGCTTTGCCACCCGGCTGTCCAACATCTTCGTTATTGGCAAAGTAAGGCTGTGGGGGCACCAAGTGGGGGGGTTCTCTTCTTGTGAGGGGCTGCTGGCTGAGACAAATAGCCTTGCTGTTTCCTTGGGCAGCTGTCTTCCCACACAGTGGAGCTTCAATGCTGGCCTCAGTTCTGACTCGACTCCCTGTATTTTTTCCTGCTCTGGGAAGGGGAAGAAGCATTTGCAACTTTATCAGTGACTGTGTTTTCAAGAAGCAGCCCTGAAACCTGAGAGCTGGGGGCTGAGCAGTGCTCAGACTTGGTGTGATCTGAGCAGCTGCTGTGACTCCAAGTGCCCCCAGAAAGCCTCTGCTGTTTTCCCATCCCTGAAGGTTCTTTGTTCAGGTTATGGAGGGGGCAGTGTTTTGGTTTTGGCTGAAGCGCATTCTTCATGGATGTGACTGAAAGGCAGCTGTAGATCTGTGCATCCTTGGCGCCTTCCTTAGGGGCCTCTGCTGCACCAGTGCCATCACCACATTTACCTGACTGACCCAGTATGAGCAGGGGTGGGCTTGTGCTTCTTTCCCCCTTAGAGAGAGAGAGAGCTGTGTTGCTGTCTGGGTTTCCTGATGTGAAGTGGTTTCTTCTCCCTTGCTGCAGGGCAACAAGCCATGGATCTCCTTGCCCCGTGGAAAGGGCATCCGCCTGACCATTGCTGAAGAGAGAGACAAGAGACTGGCGGCCAAGCAGAGCAGTGGATAAAGTCCAGCTCAGGCTGGCTCTGGTGCTGTCAGTGTGTTAATTAAACTGTTTACTACATGGCTCTGACTGCTGGGGAGTGTCCTGGGGCTAGGGTGGGGAGCCATGCTGCCAGTGCCAGGCCCTGCTCCCCAGAAGGTCCTGCTTCTCCTGTCAGTCTGAGCAAGTACCACAGCCTTATTCCAGAAAGGCAAGGAGGAAGGGTGGGAGAGCCTTCAGACTGCTCTGTCTGTTCCTGGGAAGGTGCTGGCACAAACGCTTCTGGATGTGCAGGAGGAGCAAGGATATGGGGAGAGCTAGCTGGGCTCTCCTGTAGACAGTAGTGCCAGATCAGTTCGAGGAGCTACTGAGGGGCTACCCCAGCTTTGTTGGCTTCAAGGGTGTTGGCACTAAGTGTCCCAAGTGGGGCTGCTCCTCCGTGTCTTTTCTGTGGAGGTGGAGGGTGCAAGTGATCACACGGACAGCCTGGCCTAAGCAGGAGGGGAATGGGCTGCTGGAGACACTGACCATCAGCCTGGCCTTCAGGAGCCAAGGAGCTGGGGACTGGTGGTGGCTTTGGGAATGGCCCTGGAGGACAAGGTGGGCTGGTGTGGGCAGTGTGCCCAGTCAGGAAGGCCCAGTCACACTGGGCTGTGCCAGGAAGGGTGAAGGAGGCATTGTAGGGAAGGGGAGGCTGTGCCTGGGCATGGTGTACAGACTGGGGCCATCAGATCCAGGCAAGTCTGGGCACTGGAGTAAGGCCAGTGGAAAAGCTGGAGTGATGGAGGCATAGAAGAGGCTGAGGGCACAACCTCTGATCTGCTCAGCCTGGGGAAGAGGAGTCCTGGGGCCACTCTCACTCTGCCTGTGTCAGCGTTGTGAGCACCTGTCTTCCAGGATGGATGGGGCACAGATGTGCACGATTGCAAAACTGGCATCTTTTATCAGCTTCATCAGGTGTCCATGGTGAAATGTAATTGAGCCTCATGAAGTGTCTGCAGCCAGCTGTATTCTGATATGCTCAGGAAAGCTGAATGCTTGTGGCACTGCCCATGTTCCCTCGAGTGTTGCTGTGCTGCTCCCTCTGGATGCTGTGCAGGCTCACAGCAGCATCTCCAGGGTCTTACATGGTGCTGGCTGTGGGCTTGGTGCTTGAGCTGTCCTGTGATGCACAGATGTGAGCAGCCAGAAATGTGGAGAAAATCCCCACATTTTCATGCACAGAGCCAAAAGCAAAAGTCACTTAGTTTTTGTGTTGTGAAAAAGCTTTAGAAAATAGCCAAATTGAATATTTGGGAAGGTAAAACCCAGTTGTTATACTAGCAAAAACTCCAAAATGGCAATGAAACCAACAGGTGGGAAAATTCGGGGTGAATGAAGTGTGTGCAGTTTGGGGGTGGGTATTGCAATGGATTATCCAGTGCGGGTCAGTTAACCAGATGAGGTTGCTTTGTGTGGGTTATCCCAAATGAACTGTCTGCTGAGCATTATCGCGGGTGGATCTGATGTATGTCATCTCTCTGTGTTTCTCGTGCATCTCCCCGCCTCCCTCCGTGTCCTTTCCCCGCTCCTCGGCTGTGACCTTCCGGTCTCTGTCCCCCACACGGCGGCCCCGCGGGGCTCCCCGGGCCGGGGCCCCGCCGAGGCGCCACCGTCCGGTCAGTAGCTGCTCCTGCAGCCAAGAAAGCCGCGAATGCGCGTTGACCGAAAAAGGGGGTTTCTCCCTGCTGCCACCCCCTGGCCAAACTGCCGCACTGCAAGTACACAGCGAAACCCGCGTGTGCGGCACCGCGGTGGGAGCCGCCTCCCGGTAAGGACGCTCCGCTGCCGTCCCACGGGCACCATGTCGGCGCCTCTCGGAGTACAAAGCGCGGAACTGCGGCGCCGGTACCGTCGGAATGCTGCTGCCGCCCAACGTTTGAGTGCCCCTCGCGGCCGCCGGGCCTGGTGCCCGCGCGGGTATTTGGGAGCGGCGTGGCAGAGCGTGGGCGTGGGGCCGGGCGGTTGCAGCGGTGAGATGACAGAAAGCCTCAGCGAGTGCGGAAGAGCCGCCTTGGGGCCGCCCGGGATGGCGGGGAAGAAGCTGCAGCCCACCGCCGCGGCTGCCGGCCCGGGCGGAGACGGCCACATCCCGAGGCCAGGGCTAGGTGTCTCTCCATGTGGCCAGAGCTCCCTTGAGCCTCTCGACCGACCCTGTTCGCCTTGTGCCACTGCCTCTGCTCCAGCATCGCCCCTGAAACCTGCCCTGTGTCCACTAGCCACCCCACGCGGCAGGTTGGCCGTCGAGGTGTCCCCCAGAAGCCCCTGCAGAAGGAGGGATTCGTGCAAGGTATCTACGGTAATAACAGTCGCTGCTGCTTCTTTCCCTTTGCCAGAGGCCGCAGCTGAGCGTCTGCATGTCCATTCTTCCCCGAAGCATCCCCAGGCAATGATGCCAGTGACTGCACCCGCCTGGGGCTTGTTTGGTGTGAAAAACGCCAATCACTTGTTTTTAAAATTTTAAAAGTTTAATAGTAATAAAATGGTTATAAAAATAGTAATACAATTAGAGTATTAATAATTTGAACAATTTGAATCAGGACGGTATGAGACAACAAACACAAAGAGTTACGGATGTCCGGGTACCTTTTTCTGGGCAGCACGAGCCCGAAACAGGACACCCGTTAACAAAGGATTAACCCTTAAAAGCAATAGCCTGTTGCATATTCATACACTTCATACATGAGGCACAAATTCCATTCAAATACAGGATTCTGTCTGGTCATTGTCAACTTCTTCCTACGAATCCTAACAGCGCCTTTGAGGCGGGAAGAAGTTCATTTCTTCTGATAAGAGGGCCATAAATTCTTTTTCTCTGAAAGATTTAGGTGTCCTGTGGCTGCTATCTTGCTTCGAGTCCTTTCTTTAAAAAAAGTATCCTACATAGCATAGTTTCTATTTTAACAATTTTTATAACCCAAAACTATATTTAACACAATACTTAAGGGAATTAATACAGCATTCCTTTCTAAAACAACACATATAATATTCATTTTAATATTTGCAAAAAGCCAAGCATAAAATACATGCATTTTTCACATTTGGGTCGTTAGTGTCATAGATACATATTATAATATTGGCTTTTCACAAATATTAAAATGGATTTATATGTGTGATGTTAAAGTAACTTTCTAACAAATATATTGTTTTTATTTCTGTTGTTAATTAAGCTTAGTGGAATAGCTGAAATAGCTATGCTTGTGTTAAAATGCCTGCTTGTATGAAATAACATCCAGTGAACACAGGATGAGGACACCTGCTACAGATATGCCAACTATCAGCACTCACCATCTGAAGGCAGTGTGGATCAAGGCCCAAAACCAGGAGATGATAAGAATGGATTAAAACCACAAGCAAGGAATCTGCATGCTCTAAAAAGGCAGACGCAAGTAGGAGCCATGCTAAACAATTCCTGGAACATGTAAACTAGTTTGGAGAAAAAGTTTACTATGCATAAAGGTCTATGAATATGTAACAGGCTGATGTAATAGAATAGTATATAAAGGGCGTTTCCAAAGTAGCAGGCGTGGCCTTGGCTGAGTGCCAAGATGCACCCGGCCATAATAAGCATTGCTCTGTGGTCCTTGTCTCCTTTGGTCCTTCATTAAACTTTTTAAATTTTCACAGGAGAGTGAACAGATTTTTCACATTAGTGTCACTGAAACTGCAGGAAAAACAAAAACAGCTCTTCGAAGTTTTTAGTGTTAGAGAATCAAAGGATTACTTTATTCTGGCCAGGATGCTGTTCTGGCCAGCATGTGCAACAGAAATAATTTCATCCACACATTGCCTGGATTGTGCAGAGAAAATAATTCCATGACTCAGCTCTTTACTTGATTTTTACGTATTTTATACAGTCAAAAGCCATAGAAATTAGTTGGTTAAATCTTCATTATTTCCAAGTTGCACAGTTCTTAATATTTGGCTTCCTGTTGATACTGATTTCTTCACCTTCAATGCTAATTAGGTTTTCATTCTTATCTCTGTTTTCTCAGACCAGGTGCCTCTGATCATGCTAGGGGTGATGTCTGAAGTTGATGGTCATTAATGGTTGTTAATAGTTATTTCCTTTTGTGTATCTTCTGAGCTACTTCCAGTCCCTTGAGTTGTTAAGCTCATCAGACCTCACCTGGTGAACCAGTCCCCTGAAAAGAAACTTCAATTCTCTTCTCCCTGGGCAAAGGTGAGCTAAACTGACTAAAGTTACATTAGAATTTAAAAATTTTACATAAAAAATTGAAACTGTATATAATTTCCAATCTCAGTACCAGCCTTACCCCCTCCAGGGCGTAGGTTGAAGAGGGACAGGATGAGCACTTACTGGCTCAGAGAGGAGCTGCTATGGCAGAGACTGGAGAGGCCATAAAAAAGACAAGGAAATAAAAATCGGAGGCCATCCAGCAGGTCTCTCTGCAGACAAGTGAAAGCCTGCCTCACTGGGTGAGAACGGGAAAGATGCATCCAAACTGGTAAATTTTCCTGGCAGTGCCAAGAATCATCCAAGAATCACAGCTGAGGTAAGTATAAGGTCCCTTGGGCCCCGTCTCATGTGTCTCAAGGCCTCTTTGCTTCTCTCCTGACCCCCATTTTTTCACATGCTGCTGTGACTACTTTATTTTGCTTCCCTATATCTCTACTTTTGTCTCTTATTTGCTTCCTCTTCCTACCTGTGAGAAACAGCTACTCACTTTTCATAGTTTAGGAAGGTTTATTAAACCTTACGAAAAATACAACAGAAGACTGAATAGAGAAAAAAGGTTACGGTGATGGGAGCAAAAGATTTCCCCCGCCATGTGCTCAGCCCCCCTCACAATGGAGGTTTCCCCTTTTTAACCCTTTAACCCCTCCCAAAGTTCTGTCTGTCAACCCCCCTGCTGTCCAGTGGTGGATATCTCTTCCTCAAATCCTGATTGGAAGTCAGATGTCACCATAGTGACAAGCCAGCCCTCCCAGATGTCCCAACCCAGCTGTCCCTTGGTAACAACGTGAGGGGGTAAAACATAACTAAAAATCAATACAACTTTTGTTAACCTATATACATGATATTTGTCTATTAATTGTGAGAGTCAATCATCACATTACTCATCTGTCACGCTGCCACACTTCCTTTCCTTTTTCTCTCTGTGCTTCTGTCCCATACCAGTTCTGTCTCATTTTTTCATCCTCTGTCTCTCTTCTGCAGCTTACAGCTGTTTTTTCCTTCTCCATCGATTTGTTCTGAGTTGAATCTGCCTCTTTTCTCCTCACAATTTATCTGGCCTGTTATTTGGCACTTTTTTCCTCTCTGTACCTCTGTCTACTGCAGTGTGTTCCTGCATTCCTATCTCTTTCCTCCTTCCTTTTGTTTCTCTCTCTATCCTTTTGTTTTGCTAACTGTTGCTGTTTGTTTCAGTTCTGGATCACACCTGTGTTATAAATAAGCAATATGATGGTTAGCTTTCACAATTAAGAGATGAATATTAGGTGTATGTAAAGAGAAGTTTTATAGATGTAGAGTCACGTTATATATTCTCCCCATAGTCCTCTTCCACTTCCCCCTTGTATTGTAGTCACCGGTCGGGGCATTTGGGGGGGCAGGCTTGTTACTAGGAGGTGCGGCATGGCAACACCTGACCGCTAATCAAGTTGTAAGAAAGGGATCTCCACCAATAGACGGCAGAGAAGGAATTGACTGAAAAGACTTTGGGAGGGGCCAAGAATATAAAAAGCAGAGCATCAATTTTCTAGACAAACACGTGGCTGCTGGTCACGGAGACTTCCAGCACTGTAATTTTTTCTTATTTGGTCCTTTGTTTTATTTTTGTTAAGGTTTAATAAACCTTTGAAATTTTAAAAGTGAGCATTCATTTCTCACACTTTCCACTTTCCTGTTCATTTATTAGTGTGATCCTTTTGCTGTTTCCCAACCGTGATATTTATTACTTCACCCATCTGGCCCTGTTTTTTCTTGTTCTTCATATCTCTGTTATTCTCTGTTGCTCTCATTGTCTCTATCCCAGCGTCCTTCTCCCTTTCACAATATCCCACTTTCTCACTCCTCGGTTTCTATATTGGTCTGCTCTTCCTGGTTGCTCTGGCCTGCTGCCTGTTGCTGTCTTCTGTCTTATTATTGCTTTTCCCTCCCCCATTGCTCTGCCTTAGTCCTGTCATTCTTCTGCTCTGTCTCAATGTTTATAAACACAGAGACAGATAGGTTTGTGAGAATCGAGGCTCACTTTTAAATTTTAAAGGTTTATTAAACCTTAACAGAATACAACAAAGGACTGAATAAGGAAAAATTACAGCGTTGGGAGCATGGGACTAAACCTCCATGTGCTTGCCCACAAAATGGCTGCTCTGCCTTTTACACACTTGGTGTTGCATCAGCCAACCCTGGCCCCTCCTAAAAGTCTGCCAGTCAAATCTTCACTGTCCATTGGTGGAGACTGCTTTCTTGCAACTTGATTGGAGGTCAGGTGTTGACATGCTGCACCTCCTAGCAGAAGCCCGCCCTCCTTCCAAATGCCCCATGCAAGAGGAAAGGCACCGGCCCTCCCTCTACATGTTCCAAGGCTGTCTCTTGGCAACCATACGGGGGAGAAAGGGGACTATGGGGAGAAGGGAGGATGTCCAAACAACAAATCTCAATAACATAACTATACATCAATAAAACTTCTCTTAACATACACATAATATTAATTCATTAATTGCAAGAGCCAGCCATTGCAATACCCATCTATAACAGGTTTGTGCAGAAGTGATTTTACAATGGTTGCAGAGTATTTTGAAGTTTATTTCCCTAGTGACTGGTAAGGAATGGACCTGAGCCATGAGTTGAAATATGCTCACTGTCTGTATTCTCTGATGAGGGAATGCTCTAAGGAACTTGTCTGCTGGCAGAGATTAGGATTCGTTGGTCTGCACCTGTGTTTGAAAATGTCTCTTGTGCCTTGAGATGCAGAATAGAGAAGTATTACCCTTCCAAAGCCATCTGAAGATAATGAAGACTGTTGCATAAAAGTTTTACTGGCATTTTGTTTTCTTTTGAGGGAAATGTGATACTTGTTTATAGATATTATTTATTATAGATGGATAATGAGATGATTGGCTCTTGCAATTAAGGGATGAATATTGTGTGAATATTAAGAGAAGCTTTATTGATGTATAGTTATGTTATTGTAGTTTAAATGTCCTCTGTTCTCCCCATAGTTCTGTTATAAATGATCAATCAAAAGCCAAATTATCAAAAATGCAAAAAGATTTATTTATCTTTTTCCGCGACCAAAATAGGGTCCTCAAAACGACCACAGCCAAAGAGACAGCATCGAGCTCGGGTTCGGCACTGGGTGAACCTAGATCCAACCTCTATCGCATCGGGCCCCCTCTCGTTCGCGAGAGCCGCTTCTAGTGGGGATGTTTTATACAGTTTATTATGCCTGAGGCAAAGGAGTCCAAGTTTCTTTTGTAACTCTGCATATTCACAGTTGGTTCTTTCACTGTGCAGAGCTGGACAATCGCTGTTTCCTGGTTGATGGCCAGTGTTTCTTGGGCGATGTTATCAGCAGGGCAATGATTGCTCTTAGGCGTCTTCCTCGGGATAATCATTGCGCTGGGTGCGTCCATTCATAAGCTAAACAAGCCGATTGTTATCCTGCCTCTTTCAGGATTTTCAAGTTTGAATAGACGTCTGCCTCTCAGGCTGCTTGTGGTCAGAGACTCATTTGGATTTCACAATCTTTATAAAATACATTCTTTTATAGCATGAATTATTTCCCAACATATGTTACAGTTCCCTTTTTCCCTCCTCTGTATTGTTCCCACCAGACAGCCTGGGTTGCCTAGGACAGGTAAAAAGAAGGCGTACACGTGTCCATTGAATGGGTCAGTTGGGAGTGGAAAAGCTTGGTGCTTAGGGGGTGTGGCATGGCAACACCTGACCTCCAATCAAGTTACAAGAAAGCAATGTCCACCAATAAATGGCAAAGAAGAGTTGACTGACAGACTTTGGGAGGGGCCAGGGTTGGCTGATGCAACCCCCCCAGGGGTATTAAAGACTGAGCGTCCATCTTCAAGATGAACTGCCCACAAGGAAGGCAGCTACAAGGGCAGTTCTCAGCACTACAATTTTTCCTTATTTAGTCTTTTTGTTGAATTTTTGTTAAAGTTTAATAAGCCTTTTAAAATTTTGAAAGTGAGCAGTTGTGTCTCATGCTATTGCAGTAACAGTGGTTTGTGTGAAAATAATCACAGTATTGTGAAGTTCCTTGTACTGCTTTCCTCTCCCCGTTTTCTGCGGGAGAATAAACTTACACTTCAGTAGCAGTGTAACTGATTCTGTGCAAAGTTCATGACTTTGGGAATGCTGGTGAAGTTAAAAGGTTTGAACTCTTCCCTGTGGTACAAGCTCATAGAAATGAACAGCCTTGCTTCTCTGTCAGGTTAATGTTTTGGTTATTTTAAGTATCAATAATTGCATTAATCTCCAACACACATACCCAGTGTGAAAAATGCCAATTTTTTTTTTTATTTTAAAAGTTTAATAGTAATAAAATGGTTGTAAAAATAGTAATACAATTAGAGTAATAATAATTTGGACAATTTGAATTATTACAATATGAGACAATAGAAACAAAGAGTTACGGATGTCCAGGTACCATTTTCTGGGCAGCACAAGCCTGCAAAACACGTTAACAGAGGATTAACCCTTAAAAACAACAGCCTGTTGTATGTTCATACATCTCATACATGATGCATAAATTCCATTCAAACAAAGGATTCGGTCTGGTCATTGTCAACTTCTTCCTCCTAATCCTAAGGCGCCTTCGATCCTTAGGCAGGAAGAAGTCTATTTCTTCTGATAAGAGGGCAATAAATTATTTTTCTCTGAAAGATTTAGGTGTCCTGTGGCTGCTATCTTGCTGCGAGTCCTTTCTCTAAAAAAAGTATCCTACATAGCATAGTTTCTATTTTAACATTTTTTATAAGCTAAAACTATATTTAACACACTACTTAAGAGAATTAATACAGCATTACTTTCTAACACAACACATATAATATTCATTTTAATATTTGGGAGAAGCCAGTCATAAAATATGCATTTTTCACATCCAGGTATTGAGTTGATGCTGTGCATTTCATATGCTCAATTCACATTTTTTCCCTGAGGCTACTGATGAGTCAAGGCTTTTTTATTTTGATCCACAGAGGTGAAATAGTCTGTCTGACAAGCAGTTGGGCTCAGGTAGTACTTGGCAATGCAGCTCGTTAACCAAATCATTGCTCTAATTTTTCACCCTGGCGCAACTCAAGCCCAGTCTGCCAGAAACAGGTCCTGTAGAGTTGCTATTCTGCTTCCTGTGTCCCTTTGTGCCTGAGACTTCCTGCTGGCTCTGTGGTCATCGCAGTTCTCAGTCCAGCCCGGGCCTGTCAAGCAGGGAGATGCAGAGGTGCAGGTGGGCCTCCTGTTGTCTCAGCTGATGCCCTTTGGCAGTGTTTGCAGGTTAATAGGAGCTTGTAGACACCTGCTGCTTCATGCCCAATTGTCTGGGAGGGGCTCAGTGTGCCATCACTACAGAAAACCAAAGATGCTCAGGCTGATGCTCACAACAGCATACGACTGGTAGTGTTAGTGATTGATCTGGTGTTTCTACAAGAAGAAAGTGTGAAAAACACGTTCACTCTCCTGCGAAAATTTAAAGACTTTAATGAAAGACAATGGGAGACAAAGAGAGTAAAGCAAAGATTAAAGGGTGCATCTTAGCACTCAGCCAAAAGCATTCCATCACCTTCGGGGATACCCCTTCAATACCTTTTCCATTATATCAACCTTGTGAAATATGCCAATCACTTGTTTTGAAATTTTAAAAGTTTAACAGTAATAAAATGATCATAAAAATAGTAACACAAATTAGAGCAATAAGAATTTGGACAATCAGAGTTAGGACAATAAAGGACAATAAAAGCAAAGAATACGAACATTCAGATGCTTTCCTAAAAAAGCATGGCTTTCTAACAAAGGATTAACTCTTAAAAGCAATAGCCTGTTGCCTATTCATACATCTCATACATGATTCAAAAACTCTTTTCAAACAAAGGGTGTTTTCTGGTTATAATTCAAATTCCCCCCCTTCGTCTTGTAAATCATTTCAGACTCCACGAAGTCTGCAAGGAGACTAGTTTTTCACGATAAGGAGACAATAATTCTGTCTCTTTTGGATTTTAGTGTTTTGTTGCTGTTATCTCTGTGCGAAGAATTTCTTGATTATCTCATCTCTTTCTTGAGCTACTTAAAAAGTATCTTACGTAGCATAGTTTCTATTTTAACGTTATATTATAACCTCAAACTATATTTAACACACTACTTTAGAAAATTAATACAGCATAACTTTCTAACATAACACATATAATATTTATTTTAATATTTGCAATAAGCCAGTCATAAAATATGCAGTTTTCACAACCTGTTGCATATTCATAGATGCTTATGCATATCCATAAACTAGTTTACATTTTCCAGGAACCATTTAACATGGCCCCTCCCCGGGTCTGCCTTTTTAGCACATGTGTGTTTCTTGAATGTGGTTTTGACTCCTCCTTGTCACTTCCAGTTTGGACCTTTGTCCATACTTTCTTCAGATCGCAGATGCTGATAGTTGACATATCAATAGCAGGGTCCTCATTACATATTCACTGGATGTTATCCCGACCAAACAGAGAGTTCACCCATAGCTATCAGCTACCACTACTACTATGTCTACGTTTTTGTTAATAGCAGAAATAAAAGCAAAGTTATTTTAACATTTTGCATATAACATTCATCCTAGTATTTGTGAAAAGCCAACGACATAATATGTATTTATAACAAAAGTTTGGATCAGGAATTCTCAGTGTGCCGTGAGTTCTGCTCCCTTGCCCAGGAGCTGCTCCTATGGCTTTGGGTACACTCTTTTCCCCAGCTTTCTGCCTGTGACCAGCTGCCTTTGGAAGCTCATCAGGAGCAAAAGTCTCTGTTCATTTGCCGAGCTGTGACTGGACAACTCTAGCAATTTATTCCAGAGATTAGGTCAGTCCGTTGTTCCTCCATGGTTTAAAATCACTCTGCTGTTCAAGCTGTTATGAATAAGAAGCTTGACTAGGCCAATATTCAAGCAGCAATCAATTTATTATTTAATATGGTTAAGTATGAGCAATACAGCGCTGGGTAGTGGGGGAAGTTTTCCCTCCAACTGCACACCGATAGTTGAGGGTTACAGGTATTTATAGGGGTACTCATGAGCTTTTTCAGCAGTTTCTATTTCCAATTTTTACTCATCAGCAATTTCTATTCCAAATTATTACATCACAATTCTATACACTATTGTGATTTTAGTTTCTCTCAGGATGTATCTCAAAGGAGTATCCCAGATGGTGGCGGTCCAGTTTCTGAAAGAAGAAAGACGAATCCCATCTGGTGGAATCCAGCTCCCCAGATGTGGCTCCACCTTTTAATTGCAGAGACTATAAATCTAATAACAGTGATGTCCAGCTTCCCTTTGGTCAAAACCATAAATCCTTGAGGTGATGTTCATCTTCCTTTCTCAAGCTGTTTTTCTCTGCTTCAATAAGGCGTGAGATAAGCATATTTCCTTTATATATATTCTAAAGCTATAGTTTCAAGGATATAAGTAATATTCTAAAATTATACTTCAAAAGGTTATTATTGCAGAGCTCTTTATGGATTAACTGCAAGCAAAAAGCAACATCCTTAACGCTTTAATTCCAATGCTCCTAAATCAACCGGGGTTAATTGCAAACAAAAGATAGGTTCAAAGGCCTCTTCCCATGCTTTATTTTCCTCAGTTATTGTTAGAATTCACAGCTCTCCCATTGTCCGCGTCCGCACATTTCGCACTCACAAATACCCATGTCACCTGTTTGTACCTGATACGAATCACAGCTTTATATTTCACAAAGCCGATGTTATAAAGTGGGCTATTGTAGGCAGGGTTATGAATTGTTAATGATGTAATTTTATTCTGAATTGTTAATTAATTGAATAGATTGTGATACCTAATTTATGTAGTAAGTTATGAAGTAATAACATAGAGTTAAATGTACTGTAGTATAAATGTGTGCCCACTAGAGGGGGGTGGTGAAATGAGTGGGGGAATTTTCCAGAAAGCTACCTCATGAGATGATGACATTAATATGAACTGTGATTGGAAGACTAGTCAGCCAATGAAGCCTCAGAATTCTAGAATAACTGGCCAAGAATGCACTATCTTGTGGGCCAACCAGCAACCAGGAAAAGGACCGATCAACAAGTGGATTGAAAGCACAGCACCTGGCGCCTTTCTTCGAAACTCGTGTCCAAGGAAGCACCCTGTGTTGAACACAGTTTGTTAGTTTGTATCTCTGACTTGTCACGTAGGCCCCAGTCTTACCCTGAGGTCTCATCTTCAGTTGTCTTGATTTTTAATAAACAGGCCCAAGCCTTTTAAAAGATCTTGGCCTCATTTCGCCTGTTTATATCAGCCAACATTGTAACACAGTGCAGAAATAGGTTTTCTGCAAGGCTGGCATGGATTTCTATCTGATAAAACCCTCTCTCTTTGCTCCTGAGCTGAGCACTTGCTCTGTTTGCAGCTTCTTCTACAGTAAGGGCCCATTGCAATGGTAATAGCAGGAGTGGATGGTGTGAACACACTTGTGAATACTAGTCTGAGAAGGTGGATTGTTTTTCAGGGTTGGTCACTTTGTTTTGCACCAGTTAGCCCTGCTAGAACTTAAGATTCAGTGGCAAAAATACAGGAGAAAACCTTCATGTTTGTATTTACCATCATTACTACACACCGAACGATTAAGTACGGTGTCACAGATGTTGGGGGTGGTGTCACAAACAGACGCGACACCTTCCTTCCCGCGTTCCCGTGTTGCCAAGAGCCGGCCCGGCCCCTCACACCGAGTGCAGCTTCCCCGCAGCTGGGACGCTCTTCTCGCATTCCCGCAGGGCTCCCACAGGCTTTATGTCATCCCTGGGGCGGGCCGAGGCGGCGGAGCAGACTCTGCTCGTGGGGAACTTGGAGAGCCGGGTCAGGGAGGAGATCCTCTACGAGCTCTTCCTGCAGGTAGCAGACGGGTACCCTTATATATCGAAATGCTGTTCTAATGCTCGAGAAGAAAAATTCGACCAGCGGGATGTTCAGTTAGGAAAGCTGGACAACATGCTCTCCAGAGGTCCCTTCAAACCCTGACCTTTCAGTGACAGTGTAGAAACACAAAATAGTTGGACCTGTTTGAAGCCCGTGCTTAATTCCTGCCTGTTTTCAAGATTAAAAAGTAGTCTGCTTTATAACTGTAAACTGTAAATATGAGCTTAAGAAGTTTATCTTCTTAGGGGACATAAATAATACAAGACAAAATGTAAAAGTGATAAAGATGGTCTTAGAACACAGTTTTGCATTATTCTTCTGCATAATCTGCAACAGCCATCCAACTCCCAGCTTTTATCTGGGTCGTTAGGTCATCCCAGTAACTTGTCTTTCCCTTGTTTTATCTTGTTTTCACTCCCTTTTGCTGCAACAGCCTATGCTTCTCATTTTAGTCTTGCCTTATCATTGAAAATATCCAATTTTCAATATCCAAATATTCAATATTCAAATATCCAATATTGAACTGAAAACATCCAGTTCAATATTCCTGCTATGGCATAGTCCTGAACATACATCCCTGACCTCTAGCTCTTCCCCTCCATCAAATGATGAGCACGTAACTACTGCTACTTCTAAACTATTAATATTTTTATTTATGAACTGGAAGGTAACTTTTGCTATGGAGTCAGCAAATTATTCTTCCCCTTTGGGAAACGAATTATTATGGTATGGTATTCTAAAAATAATAAAAATTCTGGTTATGAAAGATTAAACAGGAATTGATGCTTGGTTCCCTTTTAACATTTTTGGAGCTGATTTTTGTTTGTAGAAGGCTCCAAATTTGAGCTTTGGGAATGTGGAGAGACATTTTCAAAGTAAGAAACTTACGGTTTCTGACTACGGCTGAAGAGAAATAATTAAATATTCAAAACATAATGAAGTGTCAGTTCCTCCTAAATAATAGAAATTTCTTTCAGGCTGGACCATTAACCAAAGTGATGATTTGTGAGGACAAAGAAGGAAAACCTAAGTCTTTTGGATATGTCTGCTTTAAACACAAAGTATCAGTGCCTTATGCAAAAGCTCTGCTGGATGGAATCTGTTTGTATGGAAGACCAATTACCGTGCAGTATTGGAGGGGTATGTTTTGTAGTCCTAATGGTAAAGTGTAAATGTTTATATTTTCTTAAGAACAGTTTTGAATCCTAAAGCCTTTTATTACAAAGATAAAAATTTGTAGTTGGAAAATTAATTTTTTGTTAAGAAACAAAGACTTCCTGTGGCTTTTACATAGGGAAAGATTCAGTCTTTGTATTTTTTTGTTTGCTGAGAGAATACAATAGATTGGTTCAGAACATCATAACTTGCAAGCTGTGTCAGAGACTGCTGTATGGAAAACAGCAATCCAGGTTTTCATGCCAGATTACATTTAGGAATTGGGGTGTAACTTTGCCTTGCAGTCTGACAGAAAAAATTGATTCAGTATGGCCAGCCACTATTGAACTCTTGGATAATTTTTAGACTAAAGCCACAGAGTTTTCAGTGCTTTTGTTTTAAAGGTAAGAGATCGTAGTTTATATTATATTCTTAATCAGGCATCGTTTGCAACCCAGACATTAAGGACTCACATTCCTTCAGTGCTACTGCTTCCTTCAAAGGCTCTACAGAGCATTTGCTGGGTTTAAGCAGAATGTCTGTGGTTCTTAAAATCAGAAGCATCTCTTGTGTCTGTAACTAGGTGATGATATTGTTCTTGGTTACTTCAACAACCCTGAATTTTGCTTCTCTAAGTGAATAAATGAGAAATGAACATTTTCAAGCTGTAAGGTGATGCTATTGATTATCTGCCATAAAATGGCACCATACCTTTGTATACTATCTTCGATCTACTAGGAGACTACAGATGACACAAAACACTTTCTGTGGTTTTTAACTGGTTAATTGAATTGTCAAACTGAATAGTCATTATGCTCTTTTCTTATTTCCAGGGAGTTCTCCCTCACCACAACCAGACAGTTGTACAGACGGTTTTGAACACTATATTGACTTAGAGTCTCCTGCAGACAGGTAACAAAGATCACCTGTGAATGAACCTTATGATCATAATTTAAAAAAAATTGTATAAAGAAAGTGAGTTGATGTGGTAGAGCAAAGAGCAATTTCAAAGTTTTTCATTGAAACAGCATCTTGCTATTGCATCCTTACCGAGGGCTTGTGACAGGCTGCAGTTAATTATAATGTTTGGTTGTTAAGCTTACCAGATGATTAGTTAGATTCAATTTTCCATACTTTATTTGTTTCTGCAATATTCAGAACCATGAGAACATGCTGAACCCTGGGGCTTGTACTAACAATGTTTTCAGTCATTGGGGAACAAAATCTGACAAGTCTTTTTTTAACCCCACCAAGTTTACACCTGCATTTTTTGTGTGTTTATGCACAAGCAGCTGTCATATACATATGAATGCACAGTTATAAACCTGTTATAATGGAAGTCTGAACACCCCAGATTCAGTATTTAAGCTGAACTCCCATGGTGAAATCTAGTACCCTTTTGTGCATGCTCATAAGAGGATTCCTCATTAATTAAACCTTTGGGTATATTTCATTTGTTTTATCTTTATTTTTCATGTAAGTCCTGTTGGATATTACCATTGGACATTACCATTACATCAATTGTCCTCTTGGATATTACCATTACAGCCCAAGAGTTAAGTCTCAGTACTCTGATCGGCAGTATGTGGTGGACATTCAGCCTTTGTACATTGGCTTGTTTTTTCTTTAGGCATCAAGAGCTTTCTGGAAATCCTCCATTTCCTGTTACTCCTTTGCCAGTGAACAACAGTTTACTTCATGATCACCCTGGCTTTCAAGAGGTGGTGAGTTAGTGTTAGAAGTTAAAAAATTTGGGAGCTTTTATGAAGCTGAATGCATTTTGCATTCCTGCAAAAACCAATGCTTGCTTTAGGTCTCAAAATGTGCTATAAGCACAATATTAGGACACTTCAGGATCCTCTAATAACAGGAATCTACCAAACCAAACTATTTTCTTCCTGCAAGAATATCCTAAAGGTATATAGGTTAAGAAAGCTAAAAACAGTGAAGTCTACGAAACTCTTTCCTGCACTGTGTTCCAAATGGTGGGACAAGTTGACCTCATTGGACTACAACCATGCAAGCAACAGTGTCTTCACAAATAGCTACCTCTTAATTCTTCTTAATTCAGAAATGACCACCAGAAGTTTAAAATGTGTTAAAACCTAATCTAAAACTCAGTGAATCACCAAGTTTGGGAAACAACAGTTTGAGGTTTTCTGGCCAAACCTTCACATGCCTGTGTAGGTCTCTCCTTCATGATTTACTTTCACAGCAGTAGATGACAAGAACCCACACTTCACTTCCCCTCTACAAGACTCTGGTGCATCAGACCATTATCACCCTAAATCTTTTGTCTGAGATATTCCACAAAGCAAGGAAACTGGTCTCTTCAGGTGGAAATCTGTTCATCAAACCTACTCCCCAAACACATCATGAAGCTTCTGAATCTGATGAGTCTGTGGACTGATAGGGCTGAAGAAACTCAGCCTTTAACGTGAGGTACCAACTTTAACATGAGGTACCAACTGTGGACAGTCCTGCTCACCGATTCTGACTGGCCAGCCCTTGGAACTAGAGAAGGAGAGCAGTCTGGATCAGACTACCCTTGTTGGTACAAGATTACCCTTGTTGGCTGCAGTCTGAGCACAGAAATGGAGAGCATCTATTCTCCACCTGTGGGGTGGGGGCCTGCCCTCCCATCTTCCCACACTGTGCCCTGAGAAGAGCTAGTACTTGTATGAACTTGCCCATCTCCTCTACTCCCTTTTGAAGGCTCAAGTGCACCATCTTACCCTCTGTGCTTGCTGATGAACCTACTCCTCAGTAACAAGGAAGTAGACCAGCACACACCACCAACTTCATCCCATTTTCTGCTTGCCAGAGGAGATGGTATTGAAGTGTGTTTCACATGATAGTTTGTTGAAGCTTCAGCAGAAGTCTCTCATCACTAGTATGCCTTAACAAATCTACCTCACCTTACGTTGGCAGGTTGCCAGGCAGGTTGCTCACTTGGGAATCTTTCAATGTCCTTGTTGGAATGCTTTGTTCCACATCGAATTTAAAATTCATTTAACTGGGTTTGAAGAACTTGCAGATGTGCATGCCTTTACAGTACCAACAGGCACTGCAGTTACAAATATTTATCAAATAGAGATGAAGAAATGAAAGGAATACTATCTTTCTTTACCCTATGTGAGGACTACCTGGCAATTTAGCATTATATCAGGTTGTCTCTGTTCTAACCTTGCCATGAAAAATTTGTCTACTTTTCTGAACTATACTAGTTGTTGTAATAAAATAGCTTTACTCTCAAGTATTCTGTGTTATTTTATAGTTTGTTGGTATTTCAATTGATTAAGTCATGATGCATGCAAAATGAAGTTCTTTAAAATTTCCTCTTCACAATGTAAACAACTCAAGTTTCTATTTCTCTAAATGTACCATGTTCTGGCATAGCAGTATACAGTACAGAGTCCAATGGGTTAACAATTTCTTTATTAGCAGTACCTTCAGACTTATCCTTTTCTCCCTATCAGAATCAAACTGCACAATTCAAGACTGCACGGAGTTATCCTGAATTTTCCACATCCAAGTGACTGTGAAGTGCACCAAGCAGGATGAAAGAAAGACAAGATGGCAAAGTTGTGACAATGACTAGTACTGAAGAGAATAAAAGGAGACAAAGACAGTGTGGCCAAAACTGGGGGAAAAAAAACAAACCCCAAGAAAAAGACATATTAATACTGTATATTTTTTATTATTATATTTGCTTTCATCTTTGAACTTTATTAAAGAAGGAATGATCAAGATCCATAGTATTTGTGAAATGCATTATGCATACAAACTTAGAATATCCTGAGTCAGAAGGGTCATGGAGTCCAGCTGGACCCACACCCTCCCTGCTGTCCCCCTTTGCAACCCCTCCCAGCACATCAGCCCCCTGGGGAACAAGTTCTCCCCAAAACCCTACCAGAGCCCACTGAAGCCGCAAGGTCTGGTTTTTGTGCCCCTTCTACACACTGTCTGCCACAACTGAAAGGAGTCTGGCTGGCTCCACTGTACTTGCAACGGCCCTTTAAGTAGCTGCATATTTCACGGGCCCAGCTACATCAACCTCTTACCTTTACTTATCCTCAATAAAAAGCATTGATTTGAAATAAATTCACAGAATAGTTATTTGGTGGTTGGAAAGGAGCTTTGGAGATCATCTAGTCCAATCACACCACCAATGTAGGGTCACCTGGAGGTGACGCAGGAAGTGTCCAGGTAGGTTTTTGTCTTGAATGTCTCTGGAGAAGGAGACTCCACACCCTCTCTGGGAAGATGTCTCAGTGCTCTGCCACCCTCAATGTAAAGAAGGTCTTCCTCATGTTATAGTGAAGTTTGGTTGTTCATTACCACTGAAGTCAAAGGCTGTCAGCTTGTGTAGCTATTTATATTTATATGTAGGTAATCAGAATAGCCACTGGTCTATAACAAGCAAAACAGACTTTACTTTATTGATTTTTTTGTAGCAGTAGAAGGACCACATTTTTGCAACTTTTTTCAAGAATGGTTCAGTTCTTTAATACATATGACTTTAATACATATGGAAATAATTCTGCATTTAACAAGAATGACAGTTCCATAAAAATGTGAAACAAATAATTGCTAATTGTGTGGAAGACCTGTCTTGCACTGTTGCAGCTGTCCTTACTCTTAAAATAATCTAAGCCTAATATAAAAAAACTCTGAACCCAGGAATAAGCCATAACAAATTGTTTACCACTGAAATCTACAGAAACATTACCTGAGCAAACCACTTTGATAACAATAACAGCTATTTTTTGTCAACTGCTTTACAAAATTAGATAAAAATGTGATGGTATGTTACAAAGCATGAAAATCAACACTAAAATGCTTTGTTATTTTTATTTCTGCGCAAAATATAAATGGCTGAAACAAATGATAAATATGCCATCCGTAGAATTAAAAAAAACCCCAACAAATTAAATTATTAGATAGTGCATTAAGTGCAAAAGCTGCTCCATGTACTGAGATCTAGCTTTGGCTTCAATTTGGATTGAAGTAATGTGTAGAAATGTGTCTCCTTTTTTCACTATGAGAACAGTCAGGCATTGGAACAGGTTGTGCAGAGAGCAGTTAAGCAGTGCCTGTCCTTGGAAGTTTTCAGACCGGGCTGGATACAGCCCTGAGTAATATGGCCTAACATAATACCTAATCCTGCAGTGACTGGGCTAAAAACTACCTGAGGTCACTTCTAACAGGAATTATTGTATTCTGACATAGTATTGTGACAGAACTACTCCTAGTAACAATCTACAAGCATTTCTGTTTGAAGGTTCACCATCACTTATTTCCTTAGACAAAATACCCCCAAATAGTATCTGATAATTTACAAGCAAGCGTGCATTTGAAACCAAACTTTGTTGGAACTAAGTTAGACTCTTACACTATCAAGTGTCGAGAGCCTGAAGTATAATTCAGCAAGGACCTTAAAAAAAAAGAAAACAGACTGAAAAATGTACAAAGCCTTATATCTGGACATCAAGCATCTTTTTAATATACATTTTACATTAAGTATACTGTGAGAATGATAAAGATCTAATTTTTGTATCTTTACACTGGGAGCAGAACATCAATAGGCAAATGTCCCTTTCCTGCCTCCTAATCATTTTTGCATTCTTCATGGACTGAACGCAGTGCATTGAGGGCTTCCACTGTCACTGTGAGCTTTCCAATTACTGCACTGGCATCTTGTGAATCAAAAACTAGAAAGGAAACATCAGAAAACAGCATTAGCTATTCAACTTAAGATTTCACTTTTGTTTTGATAGTTTTCTTTAGTGTTTGGACAGATTAAAGAGCAACCAGCATATGAAAAAAAAAAAGGAGAGATAAATAAATAATCTTGCAGTTCAGGCCCTCAGGCTACTGGAAATTAACCACTCCTAGAAGTAGAATATAAATCAATAAATGTATTCGTGTTGAAATTAATTTAGAAAGGAAACTATCAATATAATAATTGTTTAGATAAAACAATTATTTTTCACAATATGTAAATAAAGATTTTCCAAATTCTATTAAACTTCTATCTACATACATAGGAATAGTTTTAAGTAAAAATACAGCACATTAATGCTTTTTCTACACTGTGTATGATGGATGAGTCCAAATCAGCCTCGACAAATCACTCAGTAAACTGTCAGCTTCAAGAGCAGACTTCAGGGGACTGTATTGTTTTTATTTAACAGAAGAGCAGGATAATTATAGTTAATTATATCAGAAGATAGCATCTAATTCTATTTTCTCACTTCTTATACTGTCCTATTATCCCCGAGACATACTGTTAGATGTTTTGACTACAGTATTTTTCATCCATCTTCTTGCTTAGCCATTCACTTACTTGCTTCAAATTTCACATAAACCACTTTGACACAAACAGCAATGAAAAGAACAAAAGATGAGAAAGATATATGGTTGCAATCCTCAAAAAGAATAAAGGAAGTTTGGTATCTAACTTAAGAATGACTTTTTATTCATGCAGTAGTGTCCTATGAATTTCCCTGTGTCTAGGTTTATTATTTTTCCTTAAACAAATATCCAATTCAGAGAATGTGTACAACACTACTTAGCAATACTGTTTATTGTGCCCTTACATTTAATCAACATCTGTGTTCAGATCTGAAGAATTAATCCTTTTACAATTACTTCATCTAAGAAAATATACAGATATATTATTTTGCCATGATCTGACATATTTTAACATAAAATTAATTTAAATCCTCTGAAACATCTTAATTTTCAGAAAATATAAAATTTTATATGTTATGGATGCAATGAAAATCCCCAAAAAACTGTACAGCATATGCAGGAAAGGGGAGAAATGCAGAAGGGAAAAAGAATAAAAGTATTTCTAGCTATTATTATCATTTTCATATATATAATTAACATAAAGCAAAAATTGGTTTAAATTAGTCTGACAGTTAGGGGAAGAAATTCTCCTCACAATATTACAGTAGTTGTCATTACATGGTAATGAATAGCTTACAGTAACTAGTAATAAAACTCAGTCCTTATGGTCCTAATAAGTCTCTTCAGATGATGATTAGGAATTTTAACAGTTTTGTGAAAGTGACTTTCAAGAATTATGTTTACCTAACTAATCAATCTTATCAAATGGGAATTATGACAGTGGAGGTATGGTCATAAATTCCAGAACAAAAATCAATCTTCCAGTGAGAGAGTACAAAATACATTTTTGGAGGAGTTTTTGTACTTGGAGAAAAATTATTGGTGGAGAAAAGCTTAAGTTCCTCAGCCACAGCAGGAAATGCATCAAATCTGTATATTATTCTTCCAGAGTATGGAAATTTGATGATTCTTAGAATTTTCCTTATCGCGTTCCTGTAAATTGATTTTAGCAACAGTGTGGATGCAAATCATGCATGATAAGAATGGATATGGATAAGAAAGCCTAGTTTTTTCCCTCATTATTCAGCTCCCTATTGCTCAAGTACAGGAATTAGACACAACAGTAGAAGTAGTAAAGTTACATTTCCCTGGCATTCTGCTGGGGCTCACTAGAACTCTTGCTATTGCAAAAGGAGCCTTGTGAACATAGGTGCTTGGCATCCAGTCACTGAACTAATTCACTTACTGGGAAAGGAGAGTTACTCTTTTATAAGAGAGGTGCTTTCAGCTTCTTCACCGAGCTTCACCCCAAGGGGGAAAGAGGATTGAGAGGAAAAAGTAAAGAGAAAAGTGCACCATTGGTAATCGTGTCTCTGCTGCCATGGGGAACAGGAAACTGAGCAAGGAGAATATTATCCTCACAGTTGACAAAAGGACCACAAAGCCTTCTTAAGTCTTCTTATCAATGTTATAAAAACGCATCCTATGACCTTAGGAAAAGGAAGATTCCACACTTCTTAATCACATCACCTTGCTCTAATGAGTCACAATGAGTTTGGTCAGTCTGTTACAGAAGGGTGCCCACTAAAACTGATTCCTAATCAAAAACACCAGTATTTCACATTGTATCATACATGTTTCATATGGAGGAAACAAACTTGAGGTACACAGGGATATAACGTAATTTCAAATAAAATACAGACGTTAGTAATACCAAATTGCTGATGAAAATTTTAATACAAAACGAATTTTTATACAAAATACATATTTATTGTCATACCGCAATGAAGTATGTTGTAGAAAAGACAGAATTATAGCAGTGGACATAGCTTGAAAGTTCTTAGGTTTTATAAACTAATTTCTATGAGGTGAGAATGCTATTTGGTTTAGGGTTTTTTTAAAAAACTTTAGGGAATAATACTAACAGATAGTATTTTTGCAGACTTTTGCAAACAAATGTGGAAGTTATTAGTTAGTATTAAATAATTTCTTATTGAAACAATTACTTGCACAGTAACGCCTACAAAGCAAAGTAGAAATTCAATGAATTTTAGGCTACAGAAGTTTACAAGAAAGCGATCTTTAAAACTTACCATCAATATCTTGCTCAATGATATCTCTTTGTTTCTGGAATATCTCTTTTAAACTGACATAAGCAAACCCAATGTCCTCACATTCAAGATCCTGCTCATCTTCTGGAGGATCACTGACCACTGTAAATTTTAGGCTAAACACACATGCACAAAAAAAAAAAGGTATTTTGCTTTCAAAAAGGGTCAAAAATCAAATAAAAATAATTAAAAAAGAAAAAAAAAACACTATTTTACTAGTTTAAAATGCAGAAACACCCTTGGTGTTATGGGCAGAATATTTCCATAAATTTTGTTTCTTGGTGGTCCTCTTGATACAAAAAATGGGAAACTGGACTACTGATGAACTTCTGCCTTCCTATTTATTCAATACAGAACTGAAATTTCAGCACAAGTCAAACCAGACATTCTGATAACTGCAGGAAACAACCTACTTGTAACACAGGGAACAGTAGTGACATGATGGCACATCTAAGAGATGAATGCTTCTGTTCTGAGAAAAAGCTCACTGCTGTTATTTTACCTTATTTTTACCTCAGGTTTGTAAAATATTTACTATAGTTATCTAAGTATTTATAGGGGAAATTGCAGCACACAGACCAGCTATTGTTTCACTGTGTTGAGGAATCAATCCAGTGCAGGTGGCTCAGGAGCAGCTGCAGGTTGAGCACTGGAGGAGCCCAGCCCAAGGCAAGAGGCTGTGAAGCTACTATCCCTTAGCACAACAAAGGCCCAGGGACCCATGGCCCAGCCAGGGGAGGGACACTCAAGAGATACAGGCTGGAGCCAGTAACTCCCAGACTTTGGGTACAGCCAGGTGAGGGACACTTCGGAATGTGGCAGGAGCCGGTGACCCCCAGACTGTCCTGTAAGGGTGTGAAAGCCCAGGGGTTCCTTTGTTCAGGGTCCTTACTCTGAGGCTCCAACTTGAACTGTTATTGTCTTATTTAATTACTGCACCAAAAACTTATTTTAAGGCTTGGGACCTCTAAGACTCAGTGACTGGACACCTGCGCTGGAGTTGGTGAAGGCAACTAGTCTGACTGGGACAGTTGTGGGGGGTGTAGCTGCCAAGGGACCTCAGTCCCAGATCAGGTGGTGAAGTAAAACTGCCACAGTGGTCCTAGATGGTTGGACAGGGAAATTTCTTTAGCAACTAAGTTATCTGTCAGGGAAATAAAAAAGGGTATTTTATCCTCATTATTGTTAAATCTTAGTAAAACATGCTTTAGTAGAATATGTTTAGCAACATCCCTGATATAGATGCCAAATAAGGAATATGGAATGAAGAGAGATCACTCTTTCTTGGAGTAATCAGTGATTTGTGAGTAAGATTTACAAATGACTCTGATGCTTCAAATTTAATCAGCAGGTATCCTAGTCTTCTGTACATTGAATGGATCTTTAAATTAATAGTTGTTCCATTTTAATGAATACTGATATTCAAGAAGAAACAGAATCAAAGTATGTCATTCATTCTCTCCAAGTAATACACATGGCTACCTCAATAAAAAAAAATGAATAAGAACAAATTTATTACTATAAAATTGAACAAGTCTAATTTCTAGTCTTTCTCATATGTATTCATATAATAGATGTCTGCTACATCCATATATACACATATACCTTTTTTTATTTTAAATTCTGGGGCTAAGGAACACTTCCTGCAGTTAAGACTTCTTTTAGTATTCTGAATTCAGAAAGCAACAAATGTACTACTCTACCATCGCACAGATATGTGCTTTCCAAATTCATTACTGATAGACTACTGATGATAGACTCTAGAAACTCTGTTTTGTAAAACAAAGTTGTTTAAAAAAAAACACCAGCAAAAGAAACAACCCCCCCAGAATTAAACCACAGCACTAAACAAACATTAGATAAGTTTGTAATATTCCATTCCATATCCACCTACTCGGAGAAGAAATAAGACCAGCAGCAGCCAGATCACAATGCAGGCATCATTCCTAGCTGAAACAATTATTTTTTTCTTGTTAGTTATGTATTAACTACTTAGGGTTACCTTGTCAGTAAGGACAAATAAAAAGACAAACCATGAGCATTTTTTACAAAGACCTATAATAGAGGTTTTTAGTATTAATCTTTACCTGTCAGAAGGTAGATCTGGCTTTAGAAGAATTGACTTGAGATACTCTCTTTCTGCATGATTATCTTCCTTATCCACATTTATTGCTGCAAAGTAAATAAATTAATATAACTGGTTATCAATTGTTTTTCACCTATTAGAAGAAAAAAAACATTTTTTCACCTATTAGAAGAAAAGAACAAAATAAAATAAACGTTTATTTCATTTTCTTTTCTAAGGAAGAACAACAATGTTAAAATCAAATGTTAGAATCATAATCTAATGGTGTGTCACTGGCAGGTTTATATGACCACTGTCAAAAAAGATACAAAGGCAGCATCTAAGCATGTCACAGAGCTGCCGCTTTCTATTAACGGCAATAGCAGCCATGATTTTAAAAGCCATGATTTTAAAAGGGTCTTTACTGCTTTGGATTTGAAGTGATTTACTGTATTTTCTTCTACTAAGGAAGATAGAGATAATGAGAATGTATGGCAAAGTGCTTATCCTTTTTGACAGCCTCAGTAATTCAATCCTCCTTTCCGGCCACAGTATTTCAGTAGAAGAAATCTTCAGACCAATGGACTGGAGAAAATCTGTCATCTATATTCCCTCTCAAGTGGGCAATGCCAACATAGAAGTGGTTGATGTGACATTTCTGATTAATTTCAGTCTTCAGCTACACATGGAACAATCCAATAGTCTATAAGTAAGAGGAAGATCTAAATGAGTGAATTATTTGGGAAGTTGCATTCTAAAATCAGGTTTGTAGATGGTAGCAATTTTAAAGATCTAAGACACCGTTTCTGCAAAGCCACTTTCACGTAATTATTTTTAAAAGAATGCTTAATTTGAATGTCTGTACTAAGGGTTTGTCACAAATAGCAATAACCCTAACCCTAACCTTGATTCACCCACTACAGAATACTCTCAGCTAAAAGTCCAAGACTGAAGCACTCAGGCTGAATCTTAAATGAAAGACAATTCTACCAGGAAGAAGAAGTTAATTGAAATATTATGACATAGCTGGGGAAATAATTAACAAGAGAATTTTAAATTATTACAATAGTTCTATGTATGCCAGTAGTGTAGATATAAAGTATTAATTGGCAATGTATTAGTATGAAACAAAGATGAATTAGTTCCCCTATTAAAAAGTTGTCATTAAAAGAACACTGAGTATTTGCAAGTAGTGAAGAAGTCCAATTATATATTCTCTCTTTTCAACTAAGTTTTAGATGTACAGGTTAGAATGTTTTCTTTTGCTAAGATGTATCATCATGTACTGATAGAAAAATTAGATCATCATGCTCTTCTAAAAAGAATATATAGATTTTAGTTATGTATAGTCTAATTATGAAATTTATACACTACCAGCATATTTAAATGTGTTGTGTTGTTACCATTTTATATACCAGCCTCCTTTGGCATTTCATTGTATACTAGATAATTGCATACTTACCTCATTTCTTAAAAATCACTTTTAGTATTTCCCAAAATATCGGGAAAATAGGCAAATAGAGTTGGCACATAGAGAAATGCAACTATAATATATAGAAAGTAGGCTTTATTGCAGGTATTTTCATAAGACAGATTTTAAGAGAAGAACCAAGCCTGCTCAGAAATACATCAGACTTACCAGTGCTATAGTTATAGTGAATCCTCTGACCACTAGGTGGTTTTGGAAGTGACAGTGGGGTCTCCTCTGCAAGGAAATTGTTTAATCTGCATTCTACAAACAGCTGCTGTATCGTTTCATCTGCTGTTATTCGTGACTCAGTAAGACCAAGTGATGTAATTTTAATCTGGATTTTTTCAACTTCCTATTTAAAAACAAAATATAAACATAATACAAATTATTTTTTGTTTCTTTAAGTGTTAACACAAAACAAACATATATATATGTGTATGTAAATCATCAGCTTTTTATATGATTAACACTGATTGACAGACATATACAAAATGAGAATCTAAAGCTCCAGGGTTTGTAGCTAAGACTGTTATTGCAAGAGATACTGATTTCCATTCAATGATTAAAACGTTTTTGTAGTAGTCATAGTCTGCTGGTTATCTTTAGGTAAAAATGCTATCTGAATCACAAATTCCAGCTGTCATTATTTTTACCTACACAGCAAAGTGATCCTGTAACTGCTTAAAATACTGTCAGTAATACAAGGTACTGAAGTTTTCCAAATAAAAGAGAATTGTTAGTACCTAATGTAGACTATACTACAAACAGTTCAATTAAAATCCATCAAATCACAAAATTGTTAGGTATGTAATGTAATAATGTATTTGTAAAGAATTCAACTTCATGTAGTGAACTTTCCTAGTTAAGTCAAACACACCTTACAAAGCTAATTTTAACATGTGATAATAAAAGTAACATCCCAGTTGTTCTTCACTGTAGCCTTTTCTTATTATCTTTAACTGAAATTACATTCTTCTGTTCCTTATATGAAATGGTTTCACACTGTTCTGCAAAGTCTGGAATATTTATGTACAGATAAATTTTAGTAAATTTTATTTAGGTGGGCATGTCAGACTCAAGAGAAAGAGTCACAAAGATTTCCTGAAATTACTCTCGGAAGAAAGAAAAGCCACAATGGTTTCAAAACTGGAAAATGTAGGTGAGCATTCGATGATGATATTCTTCAAAGAGCAAAGAGAACACACTGGATACGGAAATGTTGATTTTTTAAAAACTTATTTCTTTTCAATATATTACTTTCTTTTCATAACTTTATTAAAATATTTCTTCTATAGGGAAATATTTTGACAATTTTAATTTCTAAACTTTATTCACTTGAAGTACTAAATCACATTCAAAGTACTAGCTTTCTATATTCAGTCAGAATTCCAAACTAATGTTCTTATTTAATATGGAGACAGCTTACATTTTGCTGAGAAAATTATAAAACTAATCAAAATGAAAAGCAATGTATCCTATCGTAAAAATATTCACCATACAGAATAATTTCCATTGCTGTCAAGTCCTTTCAGTATTTGATTATGTAATTTTACCCCCTCCTTTCAAAAGACTTTTCTTTTTATTATGTATCCTATGACACTTTAACAAAAAATCCAAATCTGGATCAATATTTCAATAAGGTTCTTTCACTATTCAGCAGGTACATGGAAATTCTACCAGGATGAGAGAAAAAAATCCACACCATTCTGTCTCTACTAATAAAGGTTCATGGCTTTAGAAATTTTTTTTCCCTAAAATCTAATAAGTTAAATGGCTACTGAATGTCATTAAAGTGATGATCTTTGACTTGAATATGCTTTTCATATTCAAATTTATAAATTAATTTGAACAAAATGAAGTATTTTATAATCAATCATACATCATAGACAAGAAGAAAAAATAAAGAAGCAACTGGTATAGTTTGATACTGGAAAATCTTTTAGATATGCCTTATGATCAATATATCTAAGAAATAACTATGAACTGTCTAATTTGCAACATACAAATAACCCTGGTGTGATCTTAAATTACTTATATAGTGTAGCATACAATTAATATTTATAGGATAATTAGCACAATGATCTCCAAAAATCACAAAACCTATTTACAGTATTTGAGTATCAGCAGGATAATTATCTCAAAAGATAAAAGGCAGTGATTTCTGATCTTAACCAAACAAAAAATAATTCAACAGCAATTTTGACATGCTGTATTCTATAATCAACCCAAGAATTCAAGCAAAGTAATACATATTTTTAAAATCCAACTTTTATCATACGTTGCCTTAATAGTGTACAGCTTTTACTGGTTTTATCTACTGTTCACAAACATGCACATTGTTACCGAAAAACAGATCAATGGAGGAACGCAGAAATTTATCAACCTGAAATTAATCTACATACAAAATCCTCTCAGAATTGTTTTTAAATAATTTTGATAAAATATAATACAGGATGACTAGAAAGGTATAGAGCAACTGTATTATAGTTTGACTTAATAGTGATTACTAGTATTCATTTTAGTTCTCAAAATTACACCTGAAATTTTTTTACATTTTACTTATAAATACTGCAATCTTCAAAAGTACCTTCTGTATTTTTCTGAAGAACATATAAGTGACAGCATTTCTACAAATCTACTGTAGTTGAAGATAGGTACTTCTTAAAGATGTACTTTCTACCCTTTAAAAAAGGAGCAGTATTTCTTATACATGTTTCTTGTTACTAGTTACTTTGTAAGACACCACGGAGCCTTAAAAAGAGCACTTAAAAAACCCCCCTACCCTCTAGGATATCACATTGCAGAATATTTAAACCTGTTAATTTTAAGTACTAGTTTTATGGCTAAGATGGTTCAGTCAATGTTAGATCTAAAAGTGTGAATTTTCTTTTTTTGAGAACTATCCTATTGAAATACTGTTCAAAGTAAGTTTTCCAAATTTATATCATGCTGTGCTATTTTGCATATATGACTTCTAGTCCTGAATTGCTGGTTTTAAGAATAAGTCAAGAGATTTGATACTGTACATGTACAGCTTCATTGAAAACTGATGTTAGATACAGCAAAGCTACTCTTAGAGGACATTAGGCTTAAAATATTTTTCTTAGTCTTACCAAATAATTGCCATGTATACTCTGACTCAGCTGTTTAATATTTGTGGATACTGGACTTGAAATAATACAGTCATCACTATCAGTTTTTATTGATTCAACAGCATCATCCTCTTGATGATCTTCTTGATCTTAAAAAAAAATAAAAATCAATGCAGGTAACGCCCGCTATATTTTAGGCCACTTAAGACTTAATAAGAAATCTGATAGCAATAAATTTCCTTTTCTAATATAAAAAGAGTAAGTGCCAGGTAAATTTTCTTTTCCTTTGAAGAAGACTAACACTGTGAACTGATGACATTTAGAGTCATGTAATCTGTATTTTTTCTGGTTAGTTAAAAAAATGTTTTCCAGATGCAAACTGGTTAATAGAGTAAGTCCTGAAACGAACTAAGTATGCACAACTGTTAGCTTTATTTAAGAATATGGTCTGAATTTCCTCTGACTTCTTTTAACACCATGCACATGTAAAAGAAGAATGCACCTTTTTTCTTTAGTAAAAAAGTAGTTCTATATGCAGGTGCATTACTTTCTGGAACACTGCAGAGCATTTTTTTTCCATGAAGCAAATTATAAAGACAACTGGTATTCAAAATCAACATTCAACAAGTTTTTCCAATCTTTTTAATGAATTCTTATGCAAAAGTTGCCAACAACTAAACATAAAATGTTAGCATTCTACTTCTGCTTTTATTTTAAACTTGGTATCATGGACTTGGTTATTGCTATAATAAACAGTTCAAGCTTGGAGCTCGAACAGGTTCACCTGGCTTTTATAATCTTTAAATAAATCTAATAACTTTGTGTCACACATGTGATATAGCATCCTAGCCCTCTCACTCTCTGAAAGGATTCCAGTATCAGCATGGGCTGTTATCTGCAGACAAAAAAAGCATATTCATTAAAAGAGTCTTTGGAACAGCATAGATCCAAGGGAGAATATGAAGACATTTAAAATAGAAGCCAGGTTTCCTTTAATAATTTTACTAATCTAAGTCATATATCAGATTTTTGAAATCAATTACAATATGGTTTCCATTTGGGAAGAAAATACACCTTATCCACCACCCAGCTTCACCTGTAGCCTATGCCAGAATATAATTTATGCCATGAAGTTTCTCATAATGAAGCAGCTTCCACTACTAGTAAGAAATGCTTATGAAAATGGAAAGAGAAAGGTTTTTTCAGAAAATACAGCTACTTATTAATAACCATGAATTCTACCTTCTGGTTCCAATTCTTCAATTATTTCTGTCTCATCTCTAGAAGTAATCAATGTTTGGTCAGCCAATTGCTCCTCTGACAGATGAGAGAGCTCTTCTTTTTCCTGCTGAATTTCTTCAGCCATGTGCTTCACTTTGTCACCCAACAGCTGTTTAGCATCCTGTACCACATGCTACAGAAAAAGAGAAACTTACAGTCTTTATAAAACTCCTTGAAAAGCAGAAGTTACTGAAGTTCAAAACTTGAAGAGTTACAACCCACATTCATTATCCAGAGCCTTTTAACTACTGTATTGCTTATGCACTGCAGGAAACAATGAGAAGGTGTCAACTGCTGTAACATATAATTCATATACAGCAGAAGGACATTTATCTAACTGCATTTGTGAAAACATAACTATTATAATGATTTTGTTCCTATCAACATATATACAGCCTGTTTGATTTCCAGTTTAATTTATATTTAATCTTTTTCTACAAGTTCTACAAGACTCAGTCAAAAAACCCCAAAACACACACTGTACCCAAGAAGATAGCTACATTTACACACATAGGCCTGCACATAATTTTACCTGTGTGCATGTGAATTGATTTTGGTATCAATGTTACTATCTCCAATCTGTAGTTAGGCCATTATTATAACTGTAGTGAACCCTATGGAACTGCATTTTAAATGTCAAAGTATTTTCGCATTATTTTCAAATACAGATCCCTAAGTTAGGAATAAAACAAGAGGAAGCCTTTAATATGCAGTAGATAATTATTATACAAAAGTAGGTATAGATTTACTGGTGGAAAAACATTTGGATAGAAAATGCCTCCTATGCTTCCCTGCATTAGCGTTACTGGTCCTCAGCTAGAACTTTTACATATGAGGCTGGACAATTCTCATAAGCAGTTTGGGTGAGACAAACCATTTATCCCACCTTTTAGTGAGTCTCCTTTTTTATTTGCTTTGGCATGTATCACATTGACAAGAAATTTTATTAAGAGCTAGATTCTCTGCTATTGAGAAAATGAACTGGAAAATGAAATAGACTTCCCATTTTAATCTGTTGAACTTTTGTTTTTCTTGCTAGGACGCTTTCTTGCCCTTCATCACAAGACTTAGACAGCAGAGAAAGTCCAGCTGTTTCATTATTTAGGCCTAATAGTATTTTGTCCTTAACCAGACAATGAGGCTTAGATTTTTAAAACAGCTAGAGGAGCTGCCACCCAAGAACAAAGACTTCTGATGGAGACTAAGTAGCTGTCTCACTTAGAAAATCCTAGTTTGTGAAAAATTGTCAAACTTTGAGAAGCTACTGTTTGGACAGCTGAAGATATTTTGTGTGTGCAACTATCTGACTAACATTTCAGTTTTTCATATCTAAGCTCTCAAAAGATTATATTCCCCAACATTTGACTTTTTGGTTTTTAAAGTTTATAAATGCAACGGATCGACTTAATTCTTATTTCCAGTCTATACTCTAGCTCTCAACGAAGTTCTAGTCAGAGTAAACCAAACAGTAACAGAATCTGCTAATCAAAAATTGATATCAACATTTCAAAGAATAAATCCAATTAAGAAATTTATGAAAGGAAAAAAACCCACTAGTTTTTAATTAATGCAATATTATTAATATTATAATCATATGTAATAGATAAATATAACCTTTTATAATTGCCTGTTGAAGAATATACCTTTACTTACTGGATTTACTTAAAAGACTAAACACAACCTATTTTTAGTACTTCGAATGCAAATTATTTCAGAAGAAAATTTACAAAATGCAGCAAATACATCTGAGTTAGTTCCATGTAAACTCTCTTAGACTATGGAAGGATGTACAGATGACAGTGTATGCTAAGAAGTATCATTAGTTTCAGAATGTGTGCAATCTCAGCTGATAAACTTAATTTTAGAGATGACTCTGAACTGTGTCAAATTGTGTATCCCATTAGCCCAACAGTCAGGATCTGCTTGGATTAAGCTGGTTTCTATAGAGGCACTTATATGCAGTGCAAGTGGTATACAGTAGAAAGACACTTGAATAATGCAGAGAGTTGAGAAACGTAGTGTAGAGCGAGCTGATTGGTCCTGTTAGAATCTGCCCTAAGCCAGTGGAAATTGAAACTTGTAAACTGTGGAGGATATCACGGAGTTCTGAGGGAGTCACACAAATACCACTGCATTGTGTCCTCCACCTCTATGCAGTACTATGCTATCATTCATTGCCTGGGACAGTGCAGTATTGTTCTGCTAAAATAATCCAGTGTTCTCAATTATTAGTTTTACAAATTGTCCATATGGAGCTACAAGTAGCCTTTCATGCTTCATCGTGCATAACAGAAATACTTAGAACTTACTGCCATCTGTACTGCACTAAGATCCAGAAAAGAGACTCTCTTGTGTGCTTGAGCTGCACGCTGCTTCATTTTGAGTGCTGGAGTCTGTAATAAACAAATATATTGAAGAACATTTATTGCCATCTTATTTTATAGCAAATTATGAGGAACTCTTAATTTTTTTCAAAGCCAAATCTAATGGCACTAAATTTAATTCTAATCAGATACAATTTAACAGAATTCATACACAACATACTTCTCAGATTACATCATGGAACCCATGGAGATTTTATATATAATATAAATTTACATTATGGAATAATATAAAACATTAGTTACTCCAGACATAGAATATTCTAAACAGCTTAGGTTAAAAAAAGCCCACTAAAAACTCTAGTATTTTAATTTTTGCATTTCAACCTGTTTGCTTTTATTTCTTAAATGACTGTTAAAGATGTTTGAAAGTCCCTTTTTTTCCCATGGCCCTAATTTAAATGTGATTGTAAAGTGAATTTTATTTTCAAAATGCTCTTCAATATCCAGCTAAAAAACTAAGTAAAAAACCCATTGTGAAGGAATTTCAATTTCGTAATACTCCAATGTTAAGGACTTCAAAACATTTTGAACAACTGCTTCACCTACTCTATGTATCCGACACCTAGTTGGTTTAAAATTCATGAGTATGATACTATGAGTATGATCTGCCACTTACAGCTCAAGAAAATTAAATAAAATGTCAAATGTTATAGTGACAATTTCAGTAAAAATAAATAACTTTAAGACTTTGCCTCTTCAGACAAGGGATAATTCAACTAGTTCTTGATTTCTTTATATGAAAAACTGCTAACGTGTTTTCCAGTTCAAGAACCTTTAACTTTATTACACTTTTAACATATCAACCCTGGACCTAAGCTATTTGAACTTAAAAAGAAACAACTGAACAGTTTATTTTATCAAAACTATCGCAGAATCACAGAATGGCTTGGACTGGAAGGGAACTTAAAATTTTGTCACAAACTCCCTGCTATGGGCAGTGACACCTTCCACTCTACCAGGTGCTCCAAGCCCCATCCGATCTGGCCTCAGACACTTCCAGGGGTGGGGAAACCCAAGCTTCTCTGGGCAACCTGTCCCAGTTGAAGGAACAGCTGGAGAGGGATAGATTGGACATCAGGAGCAGGTTCTCTGCACAGAGGGTGGTTGGGCACTGAACAAGCTCCCCAGGGAACAGTCATGGTCCCAAGGCTGCCAGAGCTCCGGGAGCATTTGGACAATTAGGATTGTCCCAGTTTGCATTTGGAGCATTTGGGATTGTCGAGGTGTCTGTGCAGGGCCAGGAGGTCAACTCATTCATTCTGATGAGTGCCTTCTAACTCAGCCAATTATATGATTCCATGAAGAATTTCTGCCTTCTAATCTAAATCAACTTCCCTCAAATTTGAAGTCATTCCCCCTTGTCCTGTGCTCTCGTAAAAAGCCTCTCTCCAGCCTTCTTGTAGGCTTCCTCAGATACTGGAAGGCTGCAATTAGGTCACCCTGAAGCTTCTCTTCTCCATGAAGTAATTCTCTCTATCAAGTACAGACCCAAACATACCTTGGATGGTTGTTCATGCTCCCTAAAACTGGTCATTATATATCCCAGATCCTTTGACCTCTGTTTGTAGGGAAAAATAGCTTGGTCCATAGGAACTTGTAACCTGATCCAGTATTCTACGGTACCATAATTTTGAATGTGTCCTGTTTTTCCTAAGGAGTAAATAGGGGATTGCATTAATTTTCTTTTCAACATTGAGGTATGTTACTCAAAAGCTAGGAGAAACCACAAATGCAAGATTTATAGAACAGCCACAAATTAAAGATTGTGCCTATGCATTACACCAGTGCTTGTGATGTGACATCTGTAGTTCATGTTAGAAACAGAAACAATTCCTCAGGCTCCCACTGTATGATCCAAAATCAAAACACAGCCATTTTTCCCTACTTAAATATTTACTACAAGGCCAAATCAAAGTTCAATATTTTTATCTCCTTAAGGCAAATAAAGGTTAGGACACTTTTGTTTGTTAACAGTTAGAAGTGGTATGCAATTTAAATTACTGGCAAAGGTACCATTTTACAATGCCTTATTAAACCAGATTCTCTACAACAGTAGGCAGTTAAGAGGTCAGTGAATATGCTGATCTGACAAAATGTTTCTAGAAGAAAAAGTAAGCTGCAAAGAACATTCAAGACATCTTAGAAGTGTCTTGTCCAGGATACCTTAAATTTATTTCAATATAATGAATATGAATTTGCCTAAAATAATCCATAAAATGTAAATAAACACCCTCCTAGATTATGCTGCTATATATATATATATTATTAAGCATAATCACCATCATTTGTACCTTTTTCACTATTATACGGCAATCTTTGTCTTACCAGTTTAGATTAAACCATTTCTTCCTTTGTTTATGGATAAGGAAAGAGAGGATATACTTATGACATTCAGCCCAGATACAAAGCATTGATGGGCAAAATTGTACCCATCCCAGCTTTCCACAAATGTTGGCAGAACCACAAAAACATGCTGCACATCCAACAGAAAATAGCATTATTGTAAACACTTTTTTTTTCCCTTTTGAAACAGTAATGCACAAATTAATTTTTGGTCAAATATGCATTATTTATCACTTGCAATATAGTGACACATAATCAAACAGAATACTTTGTGAGATCTTAACTACCAATTAAATTTGCTGTGTTGTAGATCTTGCCTTCCTTTTCCAAGATTTCATGGAACTTAAGCTGACAAGAAGCAATTGTTTCATAATCTATGCCATACGCATGATGAACCTCCAGTGTGATGCTGTTTTCCTGTATATAGTGAAAGAAGCTATCATCAGACTGCACAAGAAACTGAGAAGTGAAGTCATATGATGGAGTCTTCCCATGAACTACTGGGGTTATCTGAAGTTCAAAGTCATAGAATGCGTAAGTACAAAAGGTTGTAGGTTCCCAGTCACCAAAAGTGTGTATAGCTTCAGAAGAGAAGATCACTTTGCTGATATGAATTTCGAAAAGGTTCTCTCCTCTTTCTAAATGAACAGTTTCAACAAATCCACCCACTGGATCATTCGGCAATACTTCTTGTCTGGACTTAAGTGGTTTTGTATCATACACAATGTCTCTTAGTTGGGCTGCAACAGATAAAATAAAGTTATAATATGATTGTCTTTTTAAAAACTCAAATACAATTAATGACTGAGAAGAAAGGATGAAAGTATAATTCAATTATATTAACAATGTTACTGTCATAAAGGCATTATCAAAAATATTCATACACTGAATGCCCACTGAGCACACTGGCAACAATCAAGAGTATTTCCTCAATGGATCTGCCTCAGTATGCATAGACACAGGCCTCTAACAGTTATTATCAGGTTATAAGGGAGTGAAAAAAGTAAAATTCAGAAGTCTTATGCAATATTCAAAGTAAGTATCGCTGTGCAAATGTAGCAGAGATTTAAGATGCACATTTTTATAGGGTTGATCTAAATTTGCCAGAGAAAGAAATAATACATCTGACTTTTAACATATGTTACATCCTGAGTGGATAGAACTATCAGCAAAGACCTTCACATGTTTCCCAGCTTCAGGTGAATAAGTGGTTAATAAGTGGATAACACAGGTTGGATGGGGCTCTGAGTCCTGACCCTGGAAGGGGTTTGGAATAAGATGGATTCCAGCCCAAGCCATTCTGGAATTGTATGATTCTAAGAAATCAAAATACATGCTTACAGAATTAGGACATAAACCATGATGCAATAGATGCAACTTGGAAACAAAATGTGAAAATTGTTTCAACATCAGAGTTTGTAAAATATCCTACTTGAGGCTTCCTATGCACCTTTTACACAGTGAAGCCACTAAAAAATACCTGAAATGCATCCTGTTTAAATACTATGTCAGTATATTATAACAAGGTTGGGGGATTTTAGTAACACAAAGTGATTCTGTAGTGATAGTACTGTAAAGTAAAAGGTTGACCATAAAAGTATGATTTATTAAAAAAAACAAGTTTGGTAATTTTATTCTTATTCAGCAATAGCTGCAGTATAAAACCACTTTGATGGATTTGGTTTAATTAATAACTGTCATTTAAGTCAATGAAAATTAACTGGAACAGATACCTTTCCATTAAAGAACTGACTTCTCTAGTAGTTTTAGGAGTGGAAAAGTGTTTCACCTGGAGAATAAATTTAAAACAGTAATTTGGAAGAGATAAAATATAAAAAAAATTAGTGAAGAATATAATTTAAAGATACCTTCTAGTTTTCTGATACGTGCAGCTCTAATATCGAGAAGATGGGTATACTGTTCCAATTTTAACTCATAATCTTTCTGTAGACTTTCCATCTTTCTTGTCATGGTTTCTACTTCAGTCTGAAAAACAATTGCATGTAAAAAGAACTTCTGAGGATTGTCTGTACTGATGTTGTAAATGCTTTCGGCTACAAGTTAAAATACAGTTAGATTTGAGGAAAGAACATTTAGAGTATGCAAAAATAGCAGTTTTTTACTTATCAATACAACAAATCAGTTCTAATGTCAGCAAAATCTAAAAACATCAATAGAAAAACAGAGTAGCTTTTATTTAGGGCAATATACCCAACAGTTTCTTTAATGATTTTGTTATTTTAAATGCTAATTAATTGAATGAAAAGTCAAAATATGATCTGCACTACTCCAACAGTGGAAGTAGAAAGAAGACAGTGAAAGCAGAGTGGAGGTATGGAAAAGGAAGCTTCTTTGATAAGCACATTTTCTTGTGAAGACCTGGTAGAAGCTCAGAGATAACATTCAGAGAGAAGGAACAGTCTGAGATTCAAGGGCAGGATGAGCTAAAAGACTACAATTTAGTCACTTGGATCTCACATTTTTTAAACAATACCTTAAACAACAACAGATTTTATGTTTGGTTCTGTATGCACAGACTGGCTTTGTTGTTGAATTTGCAAGTTTTAATTATTACAAGTGTCAGAGCTACAAAGGTTAAAATGTTATTATTGGGTTATTTCCCACTGTGAGTAGAGTTTAGTACCTGGTAATTTTTGCTAATTTTCTGCTGCACAAGTAACAAATTCCTTGTCTTTTCAAGTTCTTGCACAGTTTCCGCATGTGTTAACTGCAGCTCCTGCATGGAGTATTCTACCTCTTTATGGATATCATCTTCCACTTTTTCCAAGAACAGAAGGTCCACATTCTTTTGTTGCTTTCGATCCTGGAGCAAATTAGAAAAATTACAAGAAAATATTTTTGCAAGAGATATGCATGTATTTGTGCATGGCTTAATGCAACACTGGCATATACTTTTGGTACACCAGTAAGGCAGTAAGCAGAACTTTATAAACTTTAAGCACATGGTAACACAAAAATAGGAATGAGGTAGACTAGAATGTGTCAGGATTGTTTTCAGCAATGTAATCTCATGATTATCAGGAACCAATTAAAATGTATCAGATATTCAGAAGCAATCACTCCTGTCAATCCAATGAAAATACAAGCAGATATATTTGCCTTTCTCGTAATTAATAATCCTACCTCCATAAATATACAAACCGCAAATTACATAAAAAACATAAATTACCCAAACAGTGGAAGCATTCCAAAATTATTTGTTCACTGATTTCTTCCTCTCACTCCATTTTTAATTTGTGCAAAAGAAAAAAGAATACAGTATTTTCTGAGCATTTTTGTTTTTCTGTTTTAATAATCAAAGACAAGTTCCTAAGATAAGTTCCTGTGGTATTGCTATACCACATACTGGAATTTCCATGCTTATGGTACACTTGCATCAATTACAGAATTCATAAACAAAATTGGTTTTAGTAAACATTATAGGGATCACAAGATGCTGTGATAAGTCATGTAACTAAGAGAAAAGAAGCTTTTTTAAATGGCTGTGAATCTGATTTAATTCTCTTTTGTTGTTATAATGAACTATTTACATAAGTTAAGATTTAATCCTGGCAATCTTTTCATCTTCCCTTCTGATTAACTGTAACTAAAAAATAACAAGACCAGTAGTTAATGCCTCATTTGAGCTAGAGGCATTAACTACTGAAAGATGCTCAAATTATTCAGCCCTTGAAAATTCCAGGTGTGTACAAAGCATACAATGGTCAGCCAAGGGTTTAACAAAAGAAGAAAAAACCCAACAAAACCAACAAACCAACAAAAACACCTTGCACAAATGAGAAAATAAGAGAATGCAAAATATGGAATTCTAGAATGGTTTGGGTTGAAAGGGATCCTAAATATTATCTAGTTCCTACCCCACATTCTTTGTAAGATACCTTTATAAGTAAGAGGGTTTCATTGAATTCTGCCACACCAACATCACTTTCCTGAAATTTAATGGAAAGTTGTTACCAGATGTGAATTGAAGAAATACATTCAGAATAACAAGATACATTCTCACTAGACATTTTGCTTGATAGCATGAATAAATATACACATATTTTTCTATATTCTTTGACTAGAAGAAAGTATAAAGAAGTATCTGCACTATGCATAAAACATAGAGGGTGTTTTTTTCCTCATATTTGAAACAAAAATACAGTTCACCTTGGTTAAAAACTTCACTTGATTTTTCAGATCATCTAGTTGTTGTTTTTGTTCCAGGTAGCGCAACTGCAGGTCTTTGTTGTCTTGCATTAGCTTTTCCTTTTGGTCTTGATATAGAAGAACAAAATATTACACTTAATTAAACATAGTTAAGAAAATTACAAACTTGATTTTTTCATATTCATATATGCATGAAAATTTCATTGCAAAATGCAGAAACTAATGTATTTTGTGTGTGAAAATCTTTGTGTCCTTGTTCTGGTTAGGACAGGGTTAATTTTTGCAAGATGTCAACTTTTACTGACACAATCAATACTTCTCTATTAAGACAATCATAAAAAAACTGTACTTATTAAATAGTCTACTCTGTAGAACAGTACTATAAATAAGAACAACAAATGCAGCAATAATGAGATTTTATTAATGTAAAATAAAAAGTACTTAGACATAACTAAGTAAATACATACACTGTATGAATTTATGAGTGACAACAATCTTTGCTATAGGAATTGTTTAAACTTAGATTTTGTATTAGCTCATCTCAGTCTTTTAAAACCTGCATGAAACATTACTGTTAGTAAGCTTCAATGAACATGAACCAAACAGCTATTGTAATTTATGGCTGAGAATCTGGAAAATACTGGTAAGACAAGAAACACAAGTATAAATGTCTAAGGGAAATGAGGCTGGTGGAAGGGTGATCTACCTTCTGAAAGTACTATATTAAAAAAACCCCAGAAAACATAGTTAGAGTGTTACTCTATTTTCTATCTAAATACATTTCTTTCAAGTATTACAAAGCACATTATGATGTTATGGCCAGAAAAATACTACTAAAACAATCAGATCAAATTACAGGATCATTGTAAAAGGGAAATACAGAAGGAGGACAAAGAAAATGTCAAGATGATGTTGGTCCTCCTGTAGCATTAAGAATTTTCAAGGCTTCACTTATTTTACCATCTTAGACATGGAAAAGCTTAGGAAAAAGACTCATATACCAAACTACAAAGGGTAGACAAGACATTATTTCTACACTACTAGGCAGTAGTTTAAGACAAGCATTAATTTCAATTCTTCAACTTCAAAGAGGAATGTGCAGCAAATCAGATACTCTGAAATATGTGACTGAAGAAAGTTATACTGCCTATGTTTTGTGAAAGACGGAGCTGTAATCAAATCCTATATACAGAGGCCTAGAAGGATATTAGAACATCTACTCCAGCTGCAGCAAGTCAATTCAATAGAAATCAGAAGTGTAGTACTCTGGTGTTTCAGTTTAGGAGTACAACAAGCTACCTGGGGAAGGGATGGTAAACACCTGACAGTTAAACATAATGGCCACAGGAAGGAAAGAAGATGGAATGCCAGTTTTTTTCATAATCATGCTACAAGTAACAAGTGTTAGTATGTCATAACTTCATAATAATGTAGCTTAAGGCATCTTTATTTTAGTATCAATTAAGGCTATTTTTGCAAACACTTACTGTGATCAAATAAAATATTTAAATATTTAATCTGGTATGTGAAGTCAGCAGAGCTACTGAGAATCCTAATGGTACGCATGTGCTGAACTCAACCCATTATCATAAGAATTATTCACAACAAGTTGGCCCACTTCATTCCATGAAATTGTTCACAGAAATACACCTCTTAAAAATTGAAGAATCAACTCTAAACTAAGTATCTTCACTTTCTGTCTGTGCTTGTCTTTTGTAAACTTCATATTGCTACAGTAACCAGTAATGAGATTAAAATAAAGATTGGAAGGTCAGTATTCACTAAGAAGTTGTCCTACAGTATGAAGAAAACACATATGAAATAATCTGTTCATTAGATTAAAAGAAAACTGTTATTTTAAATGTACAATGCTGTAAATAAAAATTAGTATGTACTGAAAATAAAAACAAATCTGAATTAATGAAAGACAAACATTGCCAAGGGCCTATATGGGCTTCACATAGCTTTGTACAGTGAACAGAATAGTGGTTTATAATTTGAGAGAGACTGTCAGAGGGGGTCTCTTTTTCCACAAGAACTTTCAGTGTAGAGAAGAGAAGAAATACTGAATAAAGAGTAGATATGAAAACACAACAGATGAAGGATAAATGCAGCTCATTCAGATCATATTCTGTATTGGGTAATATTTTGCATTTAATAGATAGTCATAACTTAGGAGTATTTAGCAAATGTATACTTAAAATGCAGCTTTGAAAACACCAGCAACAGAGATTCCACTTTTCTGGGTAGTATATCTCAACTCCAACATGGGCATAATCTCACATTTTGAGAAAATACTAGTTTTCTCAGAAATATACCTCTTTCTAATTTGATCTTGTCAAGGATTTCATTTTTGTCTGCTAGATCATTTTTGATAGCTGCCTCTAGTTTAGCAATTTGCAGTTTCAGTTGCTGTTCCTTTGATTTCCATTGCTGTTCATGAGGCAGACTGAAGACACTGCAATAAAACATATGTTATATGAAAAACTTTTAGAAATCAGCTCCAGCAGAAAATAATCAAGGAGAAAACCTTTTAACAGCACAGAGACCACTGTCATTGTGGCTGAGGAATCATGTAAACATGTTGGCCGGCTGCTCTTGAAACCCAGGTGGCTCTCTCAGGATGCAATTAAAAACCATGAAAGATTTGTGGGATGAGCAAAGGAACTGACCTTAATTTACAGCTCCAAAGTTAAAAAAAGTTGGTAGCACGCAACATTTGTGGGACTAGGAAAGCAACTGAGATGCATATCTCAGAATAATCCACAACAGCAAAATTCAGCAAGTGACAACTACAAAACTAGGGGTTTTTTTGTGTGCAAACCCTCTTAATTAGAGAATTGGAATCATCCACCTGATTTTTTAAATTTGTGAGACATGCAGAACCTCAAGTCAGTTGCCTGGTCAAAGAAATGTTGACCACAAAGTGACAACAGTTTTCTCATACTCTAAAACAGCAATTCTGCTACTGCTTAAGAAGCATATATAAAGTAATCTTCCTCCTACTTGAAGAAATAAAAAAAAAAAAAAAAAAAAGTGGGAAAAGAAATTGGAATGACTATTTTGGCTTTAACATTATTTGCTTGTAAACTGCCAATCTATTTGCAAGGACTGCAGGGGTACAGAATCAGAACTGCTGAAACCATAACAAAATGTGTAACTCAGACTGAAATAAAAGAAATTCTATTATATAATTTACAGTACAATTCCTTGCAGGTAAAAAGAAAAAGTAATGTAATGTGCTTTCTTAGCCAGTGAGTACTATGCTCTTCATATTACTGTTGTTCAATTCTTGCATTCTTATTGACTGGAAAAATGTCCATCTTAACAAATCATAAACCAGTTTTATTCATTTACATATTCTGTGAAAAATCATAAACTATGGGGTTTTCTTTAAACAAAGGCATCAGTTCCTCAACTCTTTCCTTTGCAGAAGCTCACCAGTTAACAAATATTATATTTTATATTCATAAATGTATTTAAAAATCTTATGGAATCTATTTTGCACCCCATCTCTCCCAGACATCTATGTAACAAGCCTCAACAAAAAAAAAAAAAAAAAAAAAAAAAAAAAAAAAAAAAAAGAGAGAAGAAAGAAGTATTGCAGAAGGGACAGCCCACAGAGCCTTGTAGACTGTACCTGTAGACTCAAAGATAATGCCTGCTCTGATGGGTGACTACATGCAGTGATTCTGAGTACTTGTAAGTGCAGTTACATCAAAAATATTTGAAGAATGACCTTAAAGGAAAAAAAACTATTACAGCATGAACTGTAGACTCTGAAGTACATGGTGAGGGTTTATATTCCGGATTTGTGCTCTTCTTAAAAACTGTTTTATTTCCCTGTATTTTGTCGTTTCTTCATAGTATACCTAAACTCTTTAATACATTTCTCCAGTCACAGAACATCTTACACGTTGACAGATTGTCTTTTACAGCATGCATGAACTTAAGGAATGCTTCTAAGTCCTGCAGTAAAATAAGATTTATTTTACTCTCCTATAATTTTGAAGATAATATGCAGGGAATATAATGCACTGCACCCACTATCATTCCTTAGTACTGCCTAGGTATAAAAAAGATACAGTGTGTTCTCTAACTGCTCAAAGTCTCATTGGTCCCATAAGGAAACAACAAAGCATATCAAAAAAGGTATCAAATACCCGTAGTTTTCACACTTCTGAAAGTATTTTCACATTTCAATGACAACTCTATGTGCATTTGCTTGCTTTAGGTACAATAATTTCACATAAAGATTCAGTTTTTTGGAAGACTATACTGTCAGAGAAACCATTAAGAGTTACTATGATGGCAGTTCAAGATCTCAGTATTTAAATGAAGAAGATTTCAGAAGACAGGTTTCCTCCAAGCCTATGTAATGCTAATGATTATATTTAATGTTTGATGTTTAATGATTATGCTTAATGTAACGTTTTTGTTTGAATTGAGTCCACTTGTGTTGTTTTTTCATTTGAATTTAAGATTCATGTGGAAAATCTGTAACATCTATGGTATTTCATCAGAGTTAAAGCCATGTGAATAAACTATAATGGTCAACCACACTGGGCACCGTTTCTTTTGAAATAATTTAGGCATTGTCAGGTTTGCATTACAAGGTCATATGAAAACCACTCTTCCAAACCCTTTATCAAAATGTATTGTTTTCTTGGGCAAAGAGTAAATAATAAGAGTCAACTGACAAATTCATACTTGTTCTTTGCAAACTTTTCAGGTGCAGTTCTGCAGTCTTGTCTTTGGCAAAATTGCTATCAACTTCCCAAAAATAACATCAGTAAAGGATGGATTTGTGCCTCTTTTCCTCTATTAAAAAGATTTATTAATGATCTAGCACCTGTGGGCACTTCCTACTCATCACTAGCAAAAAGTAAGCTGCAGTAGAGTTCCATTGTGAAAATAAGAAACTGGAAAAGCTAGCCATTAAACAGTGGTTATAATGAAATTATCCATTTCCCTAATTTCTTGTCACTCAAGGTGCTGGTTTTGGCTGAGGCACAGGTACTTTTTGTTCCTAGTGGTTGGTATGGGGCTGTGTTTTGGATTTGTGCTGAACACAGTGATGATAAATACAGAGATGCTTTTGTTACTGCTGAGCAGGGCTTGGAGATAACCAAGGCCTTTTCTGGTTTTTAAACTGCTGTCCTGGGGAAAGGGCTGGGGGAGTGTGGGAAACTGGGAGGCGACACAGCTGGGAGAGCAGATCAAAGGAATATTTTCTAGTAGATAAAGTGAGAAGAAGGAGGAAAAGGGAGGACATTTGGTGTGATGGTCTTTGCCCTCCCAAGTCACTGTAATGTGATGGGGCCCTGAAGGTGTGGAACAACTGCCTGCCCCTGGGAAGCCAGCAATGAATTCCTTGTTTTGCTTTCCTTGTGTGCACAGCTTCTGCTTTCCCTATTAAACTGTCTTTATCTCACTGCACAGTTTTTCTAGCTTTTACTTTTTAAATTCTCTCTCCAGTCAACTGATGGGGAAGTGAGCAAGGGCTGTGAGGGGGTTGGTGGCTGGCTGGAGTAAAACCACAATACGGAATGATGAAACATGAATCAATGTTTAAATGGGACTATATGAAAAGACAGATCATTTTAGATAAAAGAACAGTTGTATTTTAGGTTACTATGTGGTAACAGAAGCATATTTAAATTTATTTAAACATCTTAAATTCTCTATTACTTAAGTAGAACAGGAATATCATAAGTTGATTTCTTTTCTGCATAATGATAAAAGAGAGAAAGAAATCATAATCGGAAATATTTATAACATGATCAAATTTTGGAGAAATCTGCAACAATGAACTTAAGTGACAGACAACTGATCAACTGCCCCTATACAAATCTCTGAGTATTGTGATAATACAACTGTTACATCTCATAAGTAAAAAACTATTTTAAGTTATTTGTACTCACCATTTTTCACTTCTACAATTTTTAATTTCACTACAAACAGTACAGGAAGTATAAGAAATATTGTAAGAATTCTATAAACAAAAATTGGTATCACTCACATTGTGTTTAGTCATTGGTATTTTTTTGACAGCCATCACACTGACAAGCCAAACACTTTAAGAGGAGAAATAATTTCAGTACACAAAAATATGTTAAGCATTTTACATACTTTCTGAGACAATTATTAACTCTAAGACACCTGTCTTATTATCTAACCCTCTTTAGTGCAATAAAATCACAATTTCACAATAAAGGAAAAGCTCATTTGAAGGTCATTTTTTTCTTTCATATGCTTGTGGCAATTGGCTAGAATTATTTATTTCTGTATCAGTAGAAGTGAAATAATAGCTATTACAAAAGAAACAAACCACGCCTCAAAAAAAAAATAGTGGAAAAGCTAAATATCAGACTTTATATAGGTTCACTGTGAAGTGCTGGAAGAACTTTTATCCCATTGACAAAAAATTCAAACACCTCTTTGTTAAAAAAACCCCAAGAAACAATCCCAAAACCCAAAACAAATCCAAATTAATATATATCTATCTAGAAGTATCCTTCTTTCAAAAATAACTCTAAAAAAAATAATGAGAAAGTCAACTAAAAATTTTTTCATTTATGTTCAAAATAAAGTGACTCCTACTTATTTTTAATTAAGTTTTTAGAAGTTGTGTCCTATTGTTTCAAGAGTATTAGCACAAGTTGGTCCATTTAAACAGGGCTCATGAAACACATGCAGAGTACCATGAACATTTCCATATACAATTACTGATATGATAAACTGGAGCATGAACATATTTACATGTGTGCACAAACACTTAATAGGCACATTCCAGCACTTAGTGTATGAAGTCCTATTCAATAGGACAGGAACCTAATTTTTTATATACAGAATCCATAACTCACCTGTTATGCAGCTTATCACAGTTTTCCTTCAAGAGTTTGTTCTCGTTTTCTAGATCATTTATTCTTTCCTGTAACTAAAATGAAGAAGGAAGTTTTATTTGATGCACAGCACAAAAGCAAATAACAATGAATGTGTGAAGACAGATAGTTAATTATTTGTAGGCATTGTCAAGCTATTATTTGTTCTTTTTATACAAAATCAGCATCACAGAATATTCTGCGTTGGAAGGGATACAAGGATCATCAAGTCCAATTTAAAGTGAATGGCCCGTTTGGGGATGAAAACCACAACCTTGGCAGTATTAGCATCCTGCTCTAACCAAAAGAGCCAATCTCAGGGTATACATGCAAAATAAAATAAAAATCTAAAAGTCTAAGTGTATTACTGACATGATAAACAACACATTCTTGTTTTCAAAACATTCACTAAAGCAAGACATAACTTTAAAGCTATGAGATAGCAAGAAGATACCTTCATGCATTACAATAGTTGAAAGGTTTGGAGGAAGTATCTGAGTTACTTCTTGGTAAACCTGGTTCATGCAAAATACATTTAAAATAGGTAAACCAGGTGGTGAAACTAAATTTACTACAAAATGTAACAATAAAAACAAGTAAGACTGCAGACTCTTACTCCTCATGCATTGAAGAGAATGAGAAATAAACCACTTGATTTTTAGCCCTAAGTGTGGATGACATCCACAGAGAGCCTCTAGACAAAGAAACGGAAGTAACTGATTTGAACTGCTGAATCAGATATAACACTATAGTGTACTGGAATTAAATCAGGTTGAAAGAATACTAAAAAACTATTATCAATAAATTAAGTATCATTTTCTTTCAGTTAACAAACCACTTGTTCAGTATCAGAATTGACATGGAATCCTATACCTTAACCTCAAATATTGTCCAAACACTGGTGCAGTGACTATGTGGCACAGGCATCAAGTGTGGTTGATATTCTACCAAATGCAAAGTAGCAGCCACTGTCTTTTTCTTTTTAATGGGATAAAAGTATATATATCACTAGTATATATATCACCATGTCAGTCTTCTAAATGTGTTTGAAACATCTATTCACATTTTCACAATTAAAAGGTTTCTCATCATTAACTCTTCCCTTATCTGTATGTAGTTCAAGCAGATTCAAGATCTCTTGAACACAATCTCACCTCTTCTGTCCTTCTGTTTGAAATAGTTACCGTCTGCAATTCTTTTTGAAGATGAAAGCACTTTAACCGCTCCTCTTTAAGCTGAACATTCAGTTCATCATCTTTTGCTAATAAAGCATCATGGTTGGTCTTCAAGTTCTTTAGGTTCTGTGAAAAGGAAGGAAGGAATATCAAAATAAACCTTGTAGAATGTTCACACACTGTGTATGTATTTCAACACAGGGCTCTCAAGGCGCTATTGAGTAGATGTTCTCAATGGGATCAGCAGGACACATTCTTGAACTAAATAACTAAAAGTAACTTTCACTTCCCATGGCCAGCAGAAGGTGACCTGGTTGCCCTCAGGAATATCAAAACCTCAGTTTCCTCATGATGAAAATGACAAAGAAATAAATCTGTAAAGCAATTAAAAGATTTTGCAGTGCTTACAGTGATTGTACATGCTAATCAAAAACCACTGCAGCAGCAAGCAGAAATCAATGTCATCCACATCTATGTTAATCATAGAGCTTGCTACAGCTCTCTTAACCCTTATATTTATATATACATATATACACACACACATATAAATCTTTATACTTATAGATACACATATACACACAATTGTAGATATATGATTCTTTTGCAACCCTCATGCATTCAGCTCTATTTCCCAGCTAGAAGAACTTTAATAAGAGACTTCTGATTTCCATCGTATTTTCATTCACTTTGATGGCACATTTAACCAATTTTAAAATTAAATGGAGGATGCCAATAGAGCCACTATTCCAAAATATTAGTTAATATTATACTGCCTACAATCCTGTAATTAGGCCTCATTCATTAAAAATTGGCATGTAAATCACATTCAAATTACGATTTGAGACAAAATAGTTGAAAACCCAATCACCTGTTTCATAAAATGACTGGATGATAATTTATGCCAAATACATACGTGAATATAGTTAATGTTTAATGCTTTTAGACAGCAAGAAGTTAGCTTCATTTTTTTCCATACAGCATTCCTACAAAGTAGTTAAATGGAGAAGCTAAATGTTAATCCTGTAAAAATCGTTTACGTTCACATGCAGTCTGAACAGACTGGAAATTAACAAAAAACCTATGAAAATCAGTCACCAACTTGATCTTCAGCTTTTCATATTCATTTCTCAGGAAGACAAAAATCACAGAGAATACACAATATTAGCAGTCAGTCTAACAAAAAGAAATAGAGTTATTTTTATAGCTGTTTTTATAACTAGTTATTTATAAACAGAGAGAATTTAACTCTAAATTCTAGAGTAACCTCTCTCTATTTTAGCTTTTTTAAAGTGAAAGAAGACAAAATGCCATGTTAAACCGTTTCTCAGTTTGGCAGAGAAGATACAGGAGTTACACTGAAGAGGGGGAAGGAGGCAAAGCAAAACAAAATGCAGAAACAAAAAAACATGGCCAAAAAAAGGAATCAAAGAAAAATCTAATGGCATAAGTGTTATTTAGCATGCTAACAATAAGCACACAAGTGTTTTTAAGGATACTCAGTGCTTCCACTTCTTAAGGCTGGATACGTAACAAAGCTCTATTGCAGGTAGGATTCCTTCTTACAGGAAGTCTCCCATTTCCAAGGTATTATCATACCTCCTTTGTATGCATATGCAGTTTTCCATATACATACAGGAAAAAAGCAGAAAAAAAAGCAGTATAATTAAAACCTACAGATAATCTACCATGGAATTGCATGTTCTGGAGATATTTTCATAAAATTGCTCTTTTTATAAGGAAAATTATTACTTAAAGTGGCCCTATAAATTAATTTCCAAGAACATATGAGCAGAGGTTAAATCCTAGGAGAACAGAAGAGCCAAACTGCCCAAACTTCAGCAAAGAGTATTAAGTGAAGGGGGCTTGGTAGCCTTTTTTGGTAAATCAGTCCATCTAAGTCAAAATCCTCTCTTTAAATGATCAGTGATCTCTTTCCATAGCCAGACAACTCAGTTCATTCTTCATAATCTGTTTGGTATGACTTTGCAGATGAAATCACTAAGACCTGCTAGACCCTGCTGAAAAAAAGAGAGATTAAGACTAAAAATCCCTACTCCATCTGGAGTAGTTTGAGTGAAATCTAGGCTGTGGTTCATTTTAATGTACTCAGTATTGACTTAGATTCAAGAACTGTGTATAATTTGTCTTCTGTTTAGCATGCTTATGTGATAAGAGCATAGAAATGTTACTGATCAAATTGCAATTACCTCTTCAAGCTGGAGAAATTTTCCTTCCATTGCTGAAAGAGCATTGCTTTTCTCAGCCAGCTGTTTACGGACCTTGATCATTTCCACATTGTCCTGAATGTTTAGCCTTCAAAATTAAAAACAAATGCATCATAAACATGTACTTGAAGAAGATGTAGTGTATAATAGCCAAATTATTTTGTTCTTCTATAATTCACACTAGACAGTTTAGGTAAATAAACATTTTACTGTTTGATGACACAGCAATTTCAATCAATACATATACATCTTTGTTTATTGTATAAAGCTGTATATGACAGAAAAAGAAAACAATCCTATGCCTAAAGAGATTGTTTTCCCTCTCTCCCACCATCCAAAATATTTGGTTCCAGTAGAACACCATTTTGTGAAGTTTCCACCTATCAAACACGGCAAAGAAAATGAGAGCTAGCAATTTAGACTATAACATCTTAAGTCCGGCATTCACACAAGCTGCCAGTGTGTCTTAATTACATGAAAATCATTTAATATCTATGCAGATATTCTTACAATTCTAAGATTAATTTGAGCCTGTACTGTTTATTAGAAAGGATGTTCAAAATCATTCAAAATTGAAAAAAATATTTACTTAAATGTTTTTCCTTACTTCAAACGGTGCAACTAAACCCCATTATTTGTACAAGTATGAGAGGAGAAACTAGTTGGGATTTTTATTAATATAAATTATGATAAAATCAGAATAGATTTTCAATGTCTGAAAAGGCAATTTCTCTTCCAATATTTGTTTATTTTAGACACACAGGACAAATTGTCACAATCCCATGCTGGAGCAAGTGAAGGGGCTACAAAGCTTAGACATCTGGAAAGAGCTGAGTATGTGAATAAAGCAATGTTGCTCTCTAATACTAAAACAGTGTTAGAGACTTTCATTTATCTCAACATTTTCTGCAACAGCAGAGCCAGTATTTTTCTACTATTTGTAGACTCCAAATTATTGAGTACTAGTGAACATTAAATTGTCCACTATGAACTTACACCTAAAATTTTATAAGAATTAAAGTGAAGGAAAAATAGGTGATTAAAATTTTATGACTTGAACTTCAACTGAACCTGTATCAGCTGGAAAAGAATTCTCTAAAATGGTAATTATGAACTTTTTTGTTTATTTATGAAGAAACATCATAACTTATCATTGTAACTATTTTCTTGCCTAGAATTATCCATGCTATTTGGCAAAACATTTTATGGCTTAGTTTCACCAATCGGACAAAAATTAATAAGGCCCATATTTCTTTACAGAAGTAGTAACTTCCACAGCTACCTACAAACATTATGATATAACTCTTCTAACGTTTCCACCACAGAGATTTTAATTTTTCACAATACCTTTGGCTTGCTGTACCCTGCTCTTTCAACCGTAGGGTGGATTCTTCAATTTCCTTTTCTTTTCTTCTTAGTTGACTCCCAAGAATCTCTCTGGCACGGTCTAGTTCCTCAATTTGGTTCTTTTGGGACTCAATGACAGTCTCCCTGCAAGTACAAGCATCCTACATACTAAAACCAGCTATATATTTTTTCAAAGAAAAAAAAGAAGAGTACTCAAGTAAGCCAAACTTTTACGTATTCAGCAAAATCTGTATTTCTTATTAACATACCTTACAAGAGAGGCTTATGAGTTCAAATTTCTATGAAAGTGCAACACAAACTCTCAAAATAAATGTTTCTGTGGACTGAATAACGTTTAGCAGAACCTCACTAAGATGCTGTTTACGGTTTCTTATACTCTATATTAGAAGTATCCTCCTCATCCATTAGCACAAATGGTTTCTCAAAAGCAAAACACCATCACTAGCTATCACAAAATTAGATCTTCAATGGATGGAGCACTGAAAGTAATTTTTAAACTTTTATTCTGAAATGGAAGAATCTAACCCCCAAAAAAATCAAAAAAGAAAATAAAATCAAAATATGTGTTTTAAACAGTGGAATTTATCCAATGAATGCATTAAAAAGTAATTTATAGGAATATTTCCATACAGTTGTTTCTTATTATTCCAGTTAATCATTGCATTTATAAAATTTCAAGCACAAAATAAATGATTGCACATTAATCCATGTATTTCTAAACTTAGCTTGCCCATTAATTGGAAATTTAGCATTGCCAGAGAAGGTAATCGATAATCTGATTTAAGTAAATGACTGTGAAAATAAACTAACAGCTTTTAGAAAACCCAGGTTCTAAACACAATTCAGAGAAGAAAAATATTCTAATCAGACCTCAATATCTTTAAATTAAATGCTAACTACCTTTTCTATAAACCACCTCTCTATTTCTCATGCTATCTCTACATCAAGGATGTTGTAAGGGTTTCCTAAGCTTCAATTTAAATTGAAACGTGCAGATTAATTACAAACCACACTTCAAAATGCAAAAGTGAATCAGAATCATTTTACATAACTATCCCAATACTGTGATTTTTGTGCTTATCCATAAAATCTGTCTGCCTCTAGGAATGAAACTTAAATGCATCAGTGAAACACATTCACATAGTTACCACTTGCATGGTGGTGCACATTTCAGGACTTATGTTGGTAAAAATTTTGCAGCTAGGGTTCTTCTTTTGTCAGCTTTGACGCATAACAAACAAGGCAGGCATTGCATCCTAGCAAAGAAAGCCTCACCACTGGAGACCAGTTTTAACTTGTAGCCAAATTCGTATGTACCTACATTTTGCATTCTAAATAGTTGATTTCCTGTTTTCCTTAACATTCTGCATTGTTACCAGTGTTATTATTGTCAGAACCAGCCGTTTTATTTTCTGAACTGAAAACTTCTTAAAATATATACTTTTTTTCTTCAAGAAAACCTTAAGTTCTAAGAACTATAATGACAAAAAAAGAAGTAATATGAAAATCATACAAATTTCTGATTTCAGCTCTTGAATCCTCGAGCAGACTCTGTCCACATTTGGGAAGCACAAGGTCAGATGATCTCACTTCTAAACCTTGAAATCTCATTCCTGAATACAAAAACAAAGATAAATTTTTGACTTGTTGAATGAGAAAGCTCTTAACAAGCCAACTAGCTTAATACAGCACAAATAATTGCAACTTCTATATAGATGTCAAAAGAAGTATTTTTACATCAAAATGACATAGAAATAATCATAGTATACACAACATAAGCGGCTGTAAAATCTGAAGGATGGGCGATGCCAAACAGTGTTAAAGCAAACTGTTAAAAACATGTCCTGAAAGATTTTTAGAACATTTTACTTTCAAAGAGAACAGAGATTGTGTCTTCAAGGAAAATAAATATCAGTATTATTAGACAGGAACATGAACTTGTAATCACTTTTTCTCACCATTTTCTTTGCAAAATCCCAAGTGACATTCACCCAGACATGCAATTGTTAGGCCTGTATTCTAGTAGCATTGCAGATAATTTCATTGTGTTTAGAAGCATCCTAAGCCCATTGTGAAGAAAAGAAGTGAGAAAGTAATTAAGGAAGAGTTATTACTTTAGGAGCAAATGCAAAGGTTTCTCCACATTTTTCTCCTACTCTTAGCAAGAAGAAATTATCCAAGTTTTGTGGTGGGACCAAATACATTTCATTTGAAAGACACCATTAAGGCAGCCATCCCTCAGTCCTCAGAACTGCATCACTTAGGTTTAAGGTACAATGACACCAGCAGTTTCCCAAAATGCCTGAAAAAATTACCTACTTCAGTGCATTAACTTGACCTATGTAGAATTTTGATCTTTACGTGTTATGTTAAGGTACTGGTAATTGCAATATAGATATAGATATAGATGCTATAGATATAGATATATATATATGTGCGCGCGTGTGTGTATATGCCTAGAAGTTTTTTTTTGTTTACTTTTGTTCAACTCAAGGTACTTCTTACATAATTGCACTCAAAGAAAGCAAGTATCTCCAGAACATCCATACCTGATTAGCTTTCCATGGTATTTTTAAATCAGCCAAATAGAAAGCAGATACAGGAAGCTCTAATTATTATTTGCAGAGTTTTCTTGTCTCTTAATACCTTAGAGACAGCTAAACTATCCTTATTTTTCCAGGCATTTTATTTTTCAACAATTGCTCTGCATATTTTCTGATCTGAACTAAAAATGTTTTGAAATTCAGAATCATGGTTTCAAGTGCAACGAAAGAGTCAGCTGTTTTAATAAATGTGAATTATACCCTTCTTGGTGTTCTCTGGCATGCCAGCAGTCTCACTCTCTTTTTTGAGACCAGTGTTCACACGAGATTGAACAGAGCTGTACGGACAAGGCCTATGGCCTTGAATCTGGAGCTGCTGTTTAGTCGAAATGAGTTTGTTGCGGAGGCTCTCATTTTGTTTCTCAAGCTCACAAACTTTTTCTCGCAAATGCTCAATCATTTCTTCCAGCTCCAGAGCCTGACCCAGCCGCTTGGGTCCACAGCCAGCCTGGTCACATTTTCTTTTATCATTAACGAGCCGTATTAACTTGGTGGTCATTCTGGGGAAATCAAGTGAAAAAAAAGAAAAATAATGTGAAAAGTTAGCATAAAAAGTATTCTGTTGAAAGGAACATAACCACTGTGGAGACATCAGCATAGAACCTTGATAATAAATTTCAAGTTTTGATGTAACTATTGTTGCCTAGGACAAATTCTTTGAAGATAACTGATACCACTGAGCAGCAATCTGCATTATAGCACTGACAAATAACAGTTTCCTAAGGCTAATCATTTAAGGTTAGTGAAGGAAGGACACCTTTACATTGTATTTTTACCTAAGTGGACTATGAGTACACCCACCTGGTGTAAGTGGATGATGAGTGGTATTTCCTGTGCACAGAAACATAGGAACTGCCATTTGAAATAATGAAACAATTAATTTCATCTACAATCTTGTATTTGACAACAACCTGACAGAAAAGATGGAAATTATGTAATGCTGGTCAACTGGACAGTGGCTCACTGAATACTGAGTCAAAAGAAAATAATGTTTTGGATTTTAAAGTATGAAATAGGCACTATTTTCAACTACCCTTTGATGAATTCATTAGCTCCTTGTAGGAATCCATAAAATCAGAGGGTTTTGGGAAAGCTGCAAAAGGCAGGCATCAGAGATAGCAGAACTATGATTAGAGCTAAGGAGACGCCATAAGATTGGTCAACAGAAAAATTATGTAAGAAGTAGAAAAGTAAGGACGAATAGAACAATGCTCTGTGTATTAACGCTTGTCTAGAATAACTCCCTAAGCTGCAGAAAAGTATATCTAGCGAGATATTAGGAACTTATAAGCTTAATAATGGAGCTCTGTGCATTGTGTTTTAAGGCTTACAAGCAGGTATTGTATTTGAAATAAGCAAGCATTGTTTTAACTGAAGCTACATACGCTTATAGTGGTTGGATGGAACTACTGTCAATATGCTTTTGCTTTGTGTGATTGGTCAAAAAAGTTTTGAAGTAAGTTGTAACCATTAAGTCCTTGGTCTGCTGCCTGGGATGTGAGCTGATGGCATCTTCCCATTGTCATAACCATGTAATGAGACTGATACTGGAAAATAAAACAGCTCAAGACACGTTCCTGGCAGTCCCATCCTGTTCGTGATTTGTACAGAGCCCCTGGCTGGCGATAGCCCCTCACCAGAAACTGGCTTAGATGCAGAAAGACTTTGTTAACAATTAGCACAATGCAAACACAGTCACAGCATTCAGCCTTTCTGCAATATCGTAATACTACAAACAGCTCGTCACAGTCCAGATCAGTTTGCTGCCACACTAAGTCCTGGCAAAGATTAGCACACAAATCCTAGCATACTGAGTTTAATAATCAGCCTGCAGTTGCTTATATATTTGTGGGTAAACTGGGTACTGTGCTCCCCATGCTATTTGGGACTTCTTCTGATTCTGAAGTTATCTATTACATTTAATATCCACATGTTTCATGGTGTCAGTGGTTGGAGACAGGGACAACGCACACCCTGACGCCATGAGGCAAAAGAGTGCGTTTATTCTTCAAGCCCCTCTTTAAAAAGGCATTTGAAAAACCCAGTCTGGATAGCTCATCGGTCTGATCTTTGACACTGCCCAAGCTCCCGGACCAGTGAGATGTCTGCAGCTTAGGATGGAACATAATTGGCTGAGGTTCCTGTCAGTCAACCCAGGAGCCAAGTTTATGGAGCTGGCAGGGCTTCTTATCTATAGCTGAATTAACTGCCCAATACAAGCCAGCTTGTACTGTGACATAGTGTGACAGCTATCTACTGAATAAAGGAGTGATGATTATAAAGACATTTTAGTGCTAATTCAACAATACAAAGCTAGACGCTATTCAACTTCTTGAAAGACATACTGGGACAAAAAAGGGGCAGAATCTCTCTGGATAGACCATTCTGATCCTAGAATGAAAAGCCCGAAGAACAATTAGGCTTCTACAGCCTGCTCTCCAATTCCCAGAACACTCCACCATCACAGCTGGAAATCCAAGGTATCATCAATCAATCATGTAGTAGACAGCAGTGTACCTCTGTACAGGGAGATCTAATAGGGATAGAAAAAAACCATCTCACATACTCAGAGACAACAGATTGTAGAAATCAATACAAAAATCATGTCCAGTGGGTGATTTTTGGTACTGTATTAAAAAGTGCTCGGAGAGAAATCAGCATGATTTTTAATTTGTTGATGATGCTTTAAAGAGACAAGAAGGTACTGTGAGTTAAAATAAAAATATTAAACCCCATACCTTTTAATTTTCTCCTCTTGCTTATTGGCATACTGTTTGAGTAGGATGTGGTCATCACTTAGACGAAGAAATCTGTCTTCCAGTTCCTCTCGACTGATTCTTGATATGACTTGTCGAGCTTTTACATTCTGTGTAGATGATGATTCTACCCAAACCAAGGCAATTTTAAATTACCTTCAGTACATTCAACAACAACATAATTCAAAGTCTAAATCATTTTGAAATTCTGAAAAAAAATTAACAAAAAATTTCAAGTAAAATGTATTTTACACTTGTTTCAGTCTATTGATTAATTTCCTCAGACTTATAGGCAGGTTAATCACTTCCTTTTTCCCTTATCTAAGAGACTAAAAAAAAACATAGTTCAAATGGTGCAGCAAACTGATTACTTACCAGGCAATGCAAAGATAACAATTTAGCAAGCAACTAGGAACGGTCAAACATAATTAAAAGATAGGATGAACATTACCATTGAGATGTCTTCTAATGTTTCAAAGTGAACATACTCTCTTGAAGCTTGAAAGAATTAACTCACAGTTGTGAAAATGAACTCAAATACAAGACTAAGCCCAGCAGTCTCATTCTAATAGCAGCTGAGTAACATATAAGAATTGTATAGTACTTTTGGCTCCCATTTTCTTAAATGGATCTGACCTTGTCCTCAGTTCAGCAAAAACGTATTCTCTTTCCTTCTGGAAGGGTGAATGTTATAGTTTGATGAGTTTTCCAGTTTTTAGCATCTCACAGCAACTTCTCTTTTACAGCAACCTACTTGAATATAGAATGAGTCACCGTACCTTTCAAAATTTAACCCAGATTTTGATCTTCATTTTGTGAAACATTTTTAGAAAGAAGCTAAGGAAGCCACTGAGCAAAGTCTGCAATTGCAATAAATAGCATCTGGTACAAACCTTGTAATCCTTCAATTCCAGCTGGAGTAAGGACTGTATCTCTCATAGCCAGGTTCCCCACAGTTTCATCAGCTGAAACAGGCATGGCTTAACTAGGAATAACAAAATTCAAATGCTTCTACATCTGCAATTTAAACTGTGAGACTAGAATGAAGTACAAAACATCATATAAAATGATGGCAAAAGTAATGACAGATTCACTGGAATGACTGACTCGTGTATTGCTGTAAATGTTCCTATCTCAATTGAATTCCTTAGAGGACAATCAAAACCTTCAAGTTTAACATTATGCCATTTTTATTCCATGCACAAAATATGGCTTATTTGGTTATGCAGTAGCTAGCTCCAATTGTATTTAATGCATTCAGAATGTATGAGCTTTTAAAGTTCTAGATTGTCTTCAGCAATCTTTGGGTTAAGGCCATATTTCCAAGTGGATGTGGGAGGAGGATCTGATGGGGTTTCTTCTGTGTCTTTACTTCTGGGGTGTTTTATTCAGTTGGGTTTTTTGGGGGTGTTTTTGTTTTGTTTTTGTTTTGTGGGTTTTTGGTTTTCTTAAATTGTTCATTTTAAGTCATGTTGAAGCTTAAGGCATCAACTGGTAGGTGAATGATACCCTTCACATTTTGAATGGGACTCTAAAGGACTCTAAAATGAGGTGCTGGGGGTTATGGAATCATTTCAGTATTACCTGCTGTAGTATATGGTAGAGATAATTCATGCTGTTAATATATAAAATATTGTAAGATCCAATCTAATCTCTTTTGACCACCCTGGCTGGGAGCAGTGTCTTATTCACGGACTACTTGCGATAACATCGGGTTCTTTAACGCAAGAATAGAAGCTTCGAGGGTGATAATCACCGGCTTCCCCAGGTCACACAGAGTGATTATCGCCTCAACAATTACATCTACCACGATGATCGATGGCGCCACCCTGACGCATGTGAATGCTGACTTCCCCAAAGTTCTCTGACATCATCTAGACACCTGGACTGGATCTTTGTCTACCTCTGCACACGTAAAGCCACGGTTATGCATGTGAAGAGACACAAAGAACATTCGGTCATCTCTGCCTCGGGCAGAATAAACTGTATAAGAACTCGCTGCGCAAAGCAGCATTCGTGATCAGGGGGAGACTGACATTCGGGAGGTCAGATCCGTGTGCTCACCCAGCGCCGATCCCGGGCTCCCCGCTGACCTTGGCTGTGGTGGTTTTTTTGACGACAGAAATTCGGTCCCGCGGACAAATTATTAAATCTTTGCTAAATTTTCTTATAAGTTTGGCTCTCAATTTGATCATTTATAACAATCACCAATCTCTTAGTCTTCTTTCAATCACTGTTCTAAGAGAAATTACTTTTTAAAATAGAGACATTCCTATGAATGAAATTCATAAATCCAAACACATTTCTTTTTTAAGACAACAGAAAGACCAGCTACATGACAAAGTGAGATTAAGAAAGTATTAATTAGAGTATTAATCATTGTAATATATGAAGATACTGCTGTTTTTTTCTTGTCTTCCAGTGCAGAAAATTAGATGTTGGCCAGAGAATTAAGAAATGCTGAAACAACATAAAAAGGAGGCACATGAAGTTCTTAGGATGGCCTTTCCCCCCCACATTGTTACACCCTTCAGATGAACTCGTTAGTGAATCCAAAAATACCTAGGAATCTATTGGTATATTAACAGTGATGTTAAAAAGACTTGGAACTGAAGACAGAAGTGACATAGTATAATCCACAGACATTCCATGAAATATCTCTTAATTTTTTCATCAAAACTACTGCCTATGTGATGCCTTTCTTCTACCAGCAAATCCATCTATCATAAATTAGTGTCCATAAGGCTTTGTCCTAAAGGGACAAAAAGGATTAATGGAAGTTCAGTTTCCAATAAGTCAGTCTTGCTTTCAATATTTTTCATCACTAAAATTTAGAATAAAGTAACAATACCTGGACAGATCCAGATCCTATGCTGAATCTTAAAAATTTTAATCAGATTTTATTTCTAAGAAAAGTAACCATACAGTCACTTCAGCACTTTTGTTAATCAAAAATAAGTGAAAAGAACTTCACATACAAAGAGAGGAAAATTTTCCATATCTCTAGAATTATCCTATAAGAACTTTCAGTTAGATATAAAGAAGAATTTTATTGTTACTGGAGTTCAAGAAACTTTAATTTTCTTATATACTGCAGTACTTAATGTTTCTATCACCATCTGACAAATTACAAAACACTGTGTATGACTTTGCTGAGTTATGCGAGACCAGCCTGTAAGGAGATGAATGCTTAAAACTAGAGAATCAAACCTCATGCTTTAGGTCCAAATTTTTATGTAGGTCACAGAAGCAAACTATTGCACTAGCATGATTCCAAAGTAGCAAAACTAAAGATGGATTACCTAAATTTTTAAAAGTACTCAGCCAGTGGGGTAGGAAGCACTTCTAGGGAAGGAGGTTCTTGAAAATTACGACATCTAATTGTTTCGATGTGGATATAGAATTTCATGAGTCTTGTACATGACCAAAATGATGCTTTTCTTGCTATTTTCCCATACTCGGGCAGGGTAACACACCTCCCGCTTGAATCCAGTGGCCAACTCCCGCTTTTTACGTACAAAATAGACACTGCAACCGAAAAGGCCTCTCGGGCTGTTCTGAATAAAGTAGTGAGGCACTGCCTTTCCCACGGGCATCGAGCTGCGCGCGAGTGGCCTCACGGGCCTGACATTACCGCTTCACGAGCTCCGCCGCAGGCTGGCTCCCCGGCTGGGACAGCCCACTGCAGGGAGCGGTGCCACAGCCCCCCGAGCAGCTGCGGCCGCGCCGCGCTCCCCGCGCCGCGCCCGGAGGAAGAGCAGCCGCTCCCACTCACCGCCCCGCCGGCCCGGCGCGATCCCCGGCCCACCGCCGCAACTGCCGAGGGACAAACGGCTCCGTCCGTTTCCGGGGTCGCGCGCCCCGCTGCCTGCTGGGAGTTGGAGTTCGGGGCGAGACCGAGCGCCGCCGCCCTACACTCGAGACACTCTCGGGACACTGTCGGGACACGCTCTCGGCCTCTCCCGCGCAGTGCTCGGGGAGCAGAGGAGGGGAGCGGCTGCGAGAACTGACGGTACTGCTTCAAATGTGCAGTATGCAAACGTTTTATTGAATGCTGCTCTTGATGGCTGTTGTACCTCTGCTGGATTTGTTTACAAAATAGCAGTCCAGAAAAGCAGTAAGTGATTCCTTTGAAAGTAATTTTAGTGATATTAATGAAAGCAAGGTTAATTCTATAAAAATATTAGAAAAAGCTTTCTAAGATTGCAGTCAGATACACCTGTACAGGGTATACTGGCTTTGGTATCGCTATTAATTTGCTATTCAACATTAAAAGTGTTTCACTATGGGGCAAGTCTTGGGAGGAAAAGGTTCAAAACGGATTGGTGATGACAAAGTTGTTTCTAGAATTGTTCTGCCTCAAAGGCCAGCCTCGTCCCTGAGAGATCCTAAAATTATTCAGTGTGGAAATTTTAGGTATTTGTGTTTGCTTTAGGTTGTTTTCTCTCAGCTAAGAGAAATAGAATTCACTCAAAGAAGATAACAGCATGTTAAAGACTTTAGTGCATTTCCCCCATATGCTTAAGCCTACTTGTGGTGGGGGGGAGGTGGGGGAAGAGGGATAAAGAAGCTTAGAGATTGTAAAATCACAGCCCTGTGAAGCAGTGTGCCTGTGCCAGGCCTGATGTTGCATTAAAGTGGAGCACAGGCCTGTTGCATGCAGTTTTTGTCCTTGCTAACATAGAATAAGCTTAGCAGTGTCTGTGTCTGATGTTTTGCCAGCGTGGTGATGGAATAAATCTATTCTTTATACTTCAGATATGGATTTTGGCCATCTTGGTTACCTGCATATATTTTTGGCTCCCACAACAGGTGGAGCGGTGGCCGGTGGAAAATAAAACGCCCAGGCTAGATAAGTGTCCAGCCAACCTCCAGCCGGTAAGGCACTTCCCCAACCCGAAGTCAGGGCCTTGTGCCCAAGGCGATGTCAAGCCTTGCGGACGTGTGGCCGCAGTAGAGAGCTCCGAAGTCGCAGGATGAAATGAAGAGGCGACTCTCAGTTTCTTCAGGGAGGGTGATTTTATTGGTAGGGAAACGTGGAGATTCAGGTGGAAGGAGCTGAGAGCCCCGAGGCAAGGAAAGCCTCGGGTTTTACAGAGGGTGGGAGGGGTGAAAGATAGCAAATCAGAGAGGGATACATTAAGGATTGGCATAATCGGAGAACCCATCAAACACAGTTGCGGGAGGGACCCTGGCCCCTAACCCAATCACCCGACATCCTGTCCTGAACTTTCTAGAAAAAGAGGCAGGGGTGTCGAGTGACAGGCAGGCTGCCAGGGGTGGGGAACAAGAAAGATAACCAAGACAACTGGGGAGGGGTTTGGGGATTGACACAAACTGGTAACAGGGCAGGACCTTCTGAGAGAACAATGGGGGGAAAACTGAACAAACATAAAACACACCACAACAAACAGGGGAAAGATCTAAGTCTGCAACTAAGGATTTTAATGGAAAATAACTTCACAGCCTGTTGGCAGTAGTAAGATTCTTAACTCTTTAAGGACGACCTGGTTATTTTGTAATTGGTCTTGTTTTGGTATAGTTGTATGCAGTTAAATGCTGTCTATCAAAATCCCAGAGATTAGCTTTTGATTTGTAATTATGCAGTATGTTTCTTATATGTGGTAAGCTGGTCTCACTCTCTCAAATTTTCATGTGTATAATGGGTTTTCATTTATGCTGTTATAGAAGAACAATTCTGTTCCAAGTACACATATTAGAAGTTCTTTAGAGTGCAGAGCTATGTGGTGGCTGTTGCTGCCACTTCGGGCTGGCGTCCCAGGTCGAGGCCGGTTCAGTGGCGGCGCCTCTGCCACATGGGCCAAGCACATGCATACACCAATGTGGTGGACAGTAACTGGCATTTATTAATGGTTATGCAGGGTCTTTTATAACAGGGGGTAACGGTCAGTAACAGTAAAAGGGGAGGGGTTCTGCGTGACCTTGCAATATTTCAAGACCTCGCGATATTTCCCCACATTTCCCCCCCCTTTTATGACCAGTTAAAAACATAAAGCAAAACTGACGAGTAGGAAACGTGTAACTGGCAAAATGCAATTAACTTGAACAACATAACACAACTGCAATAAACTTGTAACTGCAAATGTTTAACAAATAAAAGGCTAACTATCTCTAACTGTTTTTTTCTAAGAAAAAACAACACAAACTTGTTTAAAATGTAAGGCGATCATTCATGGGACTGACTGAACCCTGCCTTTGAATATCTTTGTAGGACCTCCTCAGGTTTTTTTTGGTTTGTTTGTTTGGAGTTTTTTGTTGTTGTTTTTTTTGTTTGTTTGTTTGTTTGTTTTTTAGTTGACCTCCTAGGACTTAATTATTTTCCCAGAGTCTGCAACCTGTTTGATCTTAAACTAGAGAGGATTTGGAGAGTCCATGTCCGGACTTATGTTCCCTCCAAATCGCCCTTTGATCCTCTGACGCAGGGAAGAACTCTGGGTTACTTGGCATTCCATCCAAGTAGAGCCAGAACCTGGCCAGAACTCGAACTCTACTTGATGGATACCTCAACATTTTTGCTGAGCTGTTTATCTCCCCCGTCCTTCTCTGTGCCAGCCTCTCCTTTAGTTCGGTCACTGAGTTCTTTCACGACCCTGGTGTGGTCTGCAATCGGGCTGCTTGATGATTCGTTGTGGCCTTTAGGAAGCCGGGTATACAGGCCGCGGGGGCGTCTGAGGATTCAGTCCTGCAAAACAAACTTTACAAATTTCATTAGTTTTTGCCCTGAAGGTATGGTTTTATCAACTTAAGCGGGCACCATTTGATTTTACTATTTTTCTTGACGGCTGTGTACCCTCGCCCTGTGAGTACCAGTCTCCAACCCTGTACTGAAGGAGGAACTGGTTGGGGCTGTTAGGTCAAAACCCAGCACTTTGAGAAGCAAGTGTTCCGTTCTTAGCAGCTGCTTCTTTGTGTAGGTATCATCTGTTATATAGACAAATTCATACTGATGATGCAGTTGGGCACTTCATTTTTTGTACATGAAGTGATGGTGTTTTCAAAGCCAGAAAAGCGACTGATAACAGCAGCACCCTGGCCACCGGGGCACTGCTGCTGCTGCCCGTTCTCCGTCAGCACCCCCAGCATGGCCCGGCCACCGCTGCTGTGGAGGGCAGCGGGGCAGGACTCCCGCCGCCCCACACGGCTCTTCTCTCCGGTGCAATGCATCGCCCCGACGTCGGTACCGCGCTGCCCAGCTCCGCTCGCCACCAGCCCACGGAAGGGTCCGGCCGCCCCGTGCTGCCCAGGCTGCCCGCCGGCCCTGCGTAGGCATGGCCCCTGGAGGCGGCGGCTGTTGGCCGTGGCTGGTTGGGAGGCCGGCGGCTCAATCCCCGGCGTGCCGCTTTGCCAGCCCCGCCGGCTGCGGGCCGCCATGGTGACACCCCCCCTCTGGGGCTCGTCACCCTGCGGCGCGTAAGGCGGAGGCCTCGCCCAGGCTCCCTTGGACTCCCAGTCAATGGCGGTGCCTCGCACCTCCGAGTCAATGGCGGTGCCCTGTGCTTCCCAGCTAATGGTGGGGCCCCACGGCCCCGAGTTAACGGCGGGGCTCCGCGCCTCTGAGCTAACGACCGCACTCTCCGCCACCGAACTAACGGCCGCACCCCGTGCCTCTGAACCAACGGCCGCACCCCGTGCCTCTGAACCAACGACCGCGCTCTGCACCTCTGAGTTAACGGCCGCGTTCTGTGATTCCTTTAGCAGCCCATCCCAAAATGACAGCTTTTTCCCGGTAGATGGGGTGCCTGGGCTCGGGACCTGCGAAGAGCGCTCCCGCGGCTGCGAATCCCCACACTCAGCGGACCCACAATCGTCCGCACCCTGCCAGGGACCCTCCCACAAGCAGTCCTGGGTGGCCTTCCACTTTCCCCGCTCCCGCTGGACTGG